GAAGCGTCGGCGGTATGCGAGCTAGCAATTACAACGCCGTTTCACTTGGAAATGTGGAAAAGTTGGTTCAATATCTGAACGACTTTGCCAGCGCATAGTGGTTCACTAACAAATAGCTAACTGAACATCTGGTCCAAAGATTGACGGGAGTATCTGCAAGTGTTGTATAAGACTCTTTTCAGAGCTTCCATACTGACCAGCCGGAGATATTTAACTCTTTCAAAATACCTCGCAGCGGCCCTTGGACCTCCCGCCCATTATGCCACATCTTGGGCCCAGCAAGGTAGCTGACAAACCCATCAGGCCCTGATATAATGATCAGTTTCTTCTTCCTTGGGCCCACAAGTGGATGCTGTGCCCTTGAGTTTATATATTTCATAATAGAATCTTTCCCAATAAGTGATTTCTCTTCATCGACAAAGTAGTCAACAGTGAATTTCTTGGGGTAGAGGCGTTTGAGTTCGTCCAGCTGCTCAACAACGTAATTCCTCCGTTCTTCTATGTCTTCTCCCGGGTCTATTGTTTTGTTCATAGGGTACAGTTTTGACCACCAACTCCACTGAGAACCGACAGTATCACTACGGCCCCCGAGACAATCCTCTCTCCGTCGGTTTGCCCATAAGATATGTATTCTTGTTTCATCCCTTGGCCGCATGCATTTAAGGATCGTGTGAGTGCCTTGTAGAGCTGGGGCTATGCCCGTCCCTCCCACAATGAAAAGGATCTCTTGGACATCCGGGGTCAGCTCGAGTCCTAGCTGGGGCCCGCGCATCTCCACAATACTGCCAGGTTGAAGATCATGTAAGTAGCTCGATACCTCGCCGTCTTTTCGGATAAGGAATTGAAGGGACGTGTCGTTTCCTTTGTCTAGGGAGGAAAACTGCATTGAAGGAGGTAAAGGGGTGTAGTCTCGGCCAACCTGCAGCTGAGGCTGTTTGAATTGTACACTCCAAATTCCAGTTTCAAAAGCATCCTGGTAGACTTCTGCATTTATTCCTCCCTCCCTTTTCGGCCGCAGGTTAAAGATGCTGCAGGTTGACGACACCGGAGTCTTTGAAATAAGTTCGTAATTCGTGAACGTAACCGGGTCCAGGGTGGTACTAGAGGTATCTCCCTGGGAACGAGTGTATATACCAGCTCCACCAGCCGCAATAGCTACAGCAGCAGCAGTCAACCATAGCTTGCCTGACGGGCCCTTCGGTGGCTGTTGGGATGTTGTGGATGAGTTTCGAGGACGTTGATGACGATTCGCCGACAGGAATTGAGAGTTGACATTACATTGTCGCGGGATAGACGAGAACCGACACAAACGAACGGGCCGAGGAAACATGAAAAGAATAACAATAGCTATACAAAATAAAACAGACTCCTTGATATTCTTTCGTTTCAACATCTCGTTTCTCCAAACTGGCTCCTTTTTGCCGCGGTCTTCCAATAAAGATGAATCACGTGCCTTGAATTAAGGCCGCTTAGTCATAATATCATCTGGTTTATGATTGGCCAAAATTTTGATAAGGACTTCAATCTATCGATCGCTGGAAGGGGAAATCTGCTTGATCAGATCTTCAACTCCAGGTTTGTTTGCTAACGCCTGCATCCCCTTTTCAACATCCAGGTTTTTCGACGCGAGACATTATCCCCTTTCCTCGCCGACTAATTTGATGAATTAACGCAGTTTTCGCATTGTCTAGCAAGCCAGCATAGCAGCGTCTTCTACTCCAGTTACTTCCATCCTAACTATGGCCGCAAGCTCTCCACACCCCCTTTCCTCCTAGAAAATCCGCGGTATCCATTGCGGTCTTTTCTTTTACAATCCCTTCGCAAAATCGCTTTTTATTCCCTCTTTATATGGGTCGTTGAATACATACAATGAGAGACTCTCTTGAGTTGGCATCACTCGCCTCATCGGAGGACGACCTAGCACAATCCTCATCGGAATCCGGGGTTGGCTCATCACGTCGCGCTTCCCTAGAGAATGAGGATCCTATAGCAGGCGAACTATACGAACCCACACGCCCTGGCCACGGCCGATCATATTCTGTCTCTTCTGCTTTCGATTTCGGCACTACTCTTTTCCCCCTTTCTCAGACAGTCGGAGGGTATGCGCCATTAGGTGCGCCTTCAGCAGTATCCCTGGAACATGGCGGTGGTATAAGGGATGGATCACTAGAGAGGCACAAAACATTGACATACCTAAATGGATTGTCTCTGATTATCGGGTTAATAATCGGATCTGGCATCTTTTCGTCGCCTGGCCAGGTCAACAGCAATGCTGGTTCTCCAGGTGCTTCACTCATTGTATGGGTTGTTGCTGGCTTGCTTGCCTGGACAGGAGCCGCAAGCTATGCAGAACTGGGCGGAGCTATTCCACTTAACGGTGGTGCACAGGTCTATCTTTCAAAGATATTTGGCGAGCTGGCCGGCTTTCTTTTTACCTGGACTGCGGTTTTCGTTCTGAAGCCAGGGTCCAACGCAATAATATCGATTATATTCGGTGAATATATTGTTGAAGCGATAGTTGGCACAAAGGTTGACTCTGTTAATCCCTGGATCTCCAAAGCTGTCGCGTTGGCTGGCATTATCGCCGTTACTCTGCTGAATTGCATATCAACGAAAGTGGGCACCCGCGTCGGAAACCTCTTCATGTTCTTCAAATTTATTGCACTACTTGCGGTTACTATTATTGGCATTGTTGCTGCGGTCACAGGCTTGTCTTATGATGGAAACCCTAATAAGGAATGGAAGACGAAAAATTGGTTTGATGGTACCAGTACAAGTATATCCAGCTGGGCTGTGGCCTTGTACTCTGGTCTATGGGCTTTTGATGGATGGGAGAATGTACGTCGTACCACAACTTCCTTTGCTGCATCGATTTGAAGCTAACGATATAGTAGACAAACTATGTAACCGGGGAATTCAAAAACGCGGGTCGCGATCTGCCCCGTGTAATTCACACCGCCATGCCACTTATGATAATATGCTACGTACTTGCAAATATCTCCTACGTTCTGGTTCTACCAGCATCCACAATCTCCGGTACCAATACCATTGCTGTGCATTTCGGAGCAAAAGTGTTCGGTCCCATTGGAGCCGCTGCCCTTGCCCTTGTTGTATCTGGAAGCTGTATCGGGGCTCTGAATGCCTCAGTTTTTACAAGTGGTAGATTGATATATGCAGCTGGTAAAGAGGGTTACTTTCCATCTATATTTTGCAGGGTTGGGCTTAGCGAATCGTCAAATCCTATGACAGGGCGCTTACAACGTCGTTCCTTTATTAAAAAGACGATTGCGCGAATGTTCGGCGATGACATTGGTATCGGATATACCCCAATATATGCAATGACCTTTAACATGGTACTTTGCATGTGCTATATCCTTATTGGTGAATTCAAGACCCTTGTCACTTTTTACGGGGTAGCTGGTTATTCCTTTTATTTTCTCACGGTCTTGGGACTTATTGTGCTTCGAATTCGTGAGCCTCGGTTAGAGCGGCCTTATAAAACGTGGATATCGACGCCGATAATTTTCTGCTGCGTGAGTTTGTTTCTGCTCAGTCGAGCCGTGTTTGTTGAACCATTGCAAGCACTTACCGTTGTTGGCTTTTGGATTGTCGGAGTTCCTGTATATTATTGGCGAATACACCAACGAGATGGAAAGCTCCAGCTTGGAAGCTGGTGGAAATTCTGGGCAAAGTCCCGGGAATGATTAAGTGTGGATAGAATATTTTATGTGGGACGATCGTTCTGGGGAACTTTTATGGTCATGCTTACTCCCTAATGACAGGTGGCACGTTTCTATGCAATCCTCCTGAATCCATACGAGGTTTGGACTCGTTTTGTTATAAAGATAAAGATATATTATGTTCGGGTATAATAATTCAACTGTGAATAATTCATGGTCTACTTACAACAAATCCCTACCCTAGCCGTTTTATTCTTTAATGTTGGCGGTATCATAATCCGCCGATAATTCTTACTCCATCTGTGGTGGCTATCAGGCACTGGCTGGGTCAGTGTCCTTAAGAACAGCTTAGTTAATGTAACTAAGGTTTGTAGAAGTAAATAGCCGCGCGGCCCTCATTCGGAAGCCTCTTTCATGCCCACAGGGACACGTCTTAGTCAACCTTATTAGCCGCAATAGCCCACCCTCCCATATTAGCTTATTTGAAGTTGGCCATATTTCCACCTGGGTAACCTGGGGTGTAGTTTTTATTCTCCACTTAGCCTGACGAGAACCTTGGAAGATAGTTATGTTCCTTAAAATTCCATCGACAAGATGCTATTGAGAGCAGGCTATGGGGCAAGCCGCCTCGCATCCCTTATCAATTCAAAACCACAACCCACTCACCCCTGCCTACCATGCCCTGTTTTGCCTAACAAGATGTGTCGCCCGTTGACCAGCTCCGGCATTCGGGAGCAACAGTCAAGGCCACCCTCTAGTAACTCAATGGAGCATTTAGATCCATTCTCCGGTTCAACTCCCATCAACGCACTGGATTTTAAACTATGAAATCACTAACGAGTTCCCATTGAAGCGTCGTATCCATTCGTGTACACAACCGGGCGATGGTTGAATCAAGATGAGCTACAGCGCCAATCACGTTTATTAAAATTCAACTTCTCCCTTCTGTGCGACACTGTTGCGAAAATATACCATGGAGCATCTAAAGTTGATTCTTACGAGAAGAAAGAGGGGGGATATAATCGAGTCTTCATTTTTACCTTAGACAATGGCAAGAAAGCTGTTGCTAAGGTCCCAACGCCTGTTGCAGGGCCCCCAAGGCTTACAACAAACTCGGAGGTCGCAACCGTGGCATACTGTAAGTTGAGATGGCAAATTCTTAGCAATTACTTCTAACTGCCGTTGAAAGTACGATCAAAAACTCCTCTTCCTATACCAGAGATACTTCTTTGGAGTGATGACCCATCTAACCCAGTTGGGATTGAATATATCATTCAAGAGTACGCTGATGGTGTCAATCTGCATGAAAACTGGCCTGAAATGGATATAGTGCAGCACATGCAATGCACCAAGGAGCTCTCACTGCAGGTTAGAGAGATGGCATCTCTTGATTTCCCGGCATATGGAAGTTTATACTTCGCTGATGCACCTATTGAAGAAAAGCTAAAGATACCATTTGACAATGGTTTTTGTATAGGGCCGTATTGCAGCCCCCTCTTTTGGAATTGTGGTGCTGGAGAAAGCGATATTTATAAAGGATTGAATATTAACCGGGGTCCATGTATGGTTGACTTCTCTTTGATTCTGTTATTCCAGGAAGTTAACCAATTGATTTCATAGGGAGAGATCTCAAGGAGTATTCGGCCGGGCTAATAGATACTGCTCTGTCACGTCTACCCAAAGAACAACCAGCCGATGACCGACTTCCATTCCGTGGAACTATCCAGGAACATTCTGACCTGATAGATGCGTGTCGAAAGTCTATGAATATATTAATTGAGGATGGGCGAGTACAGACAGCAGCGGCGCCAGCCCTGATACATCCAGACTACCACAAGAGGAATATCTATGTTTCTCCTGACGATCCAACCAAAGTTACAGGATTGATTGACTGGCAACTGGCATCGATTGAACCGGCATTCATCTACGTTCACGGAACCCCTGATTTTGCCTCGCTCGCCGACCAGGACCCAGCCGAAGCAGACGAGTCCGAGAAAGCGAAATCGGAAGACGAGAGACGGCTCCAAAAGGATCTTTCTATATGCCACCAAACGTATGACGTTATTATGAAGGGCAAGGTACCCAAGATGCGAGCAGCAACACGGCTCGACCCAACCTTCTTCCGCCTATTTCACTATTGTTTTACCACCTGGAGAGACGGTGCCCCCGCCATTAGACAAGAGCTTCTGGACTTGCGGTCCTTATGGTCAGATTTGGGGCTGCCTGGAAGCTGTCCATATGACCCAGACGAGGAAGAGCTGCACAGACATGCAAGACAGTATGAGGACTTTGAAACAAGGCAGAAACTGAAAACGTGGCTTACGATGCAGCTGAACTCGGGATCTGATGGCTGGGTGCCGAATGAGATATGGGATGCTGCTCAAGAGGCGAATAGGGCAGCGTATGCAGAGTGGATGGAGTCTGCAGAGGAGTTGGGGGAGGCGGAAGGGATGACGCCCGAGAAAGCTGATAGGCTGTGGCCCTTTGACGCAAGATAACATATGTATGTATTCTATGGTTAATGTACAACAAATCTCCAATCTCAATATACATCAGTTAGGATGTAGACAATACAGTGTCTCGTAGGAAGTCGACGGCAGCTGAAAAGGGACCACCACGTTCGTTAGTATCAAGCTCTTGGGGGTACCATGGAAAATATCAAAAACCTACTCTGTCTAAATTCATGTGGCTTCTCAGTGATGACCCAATGCCCACAATCGAAGTCTACCATTTTCAAGTTCGGGAAGAACTTTTGCATAAGCTCCTTGGAGTGATCCGGCAGGTAATGGCTCCTTGTTGCCCTGACGATCAAGGCTGGCTTCTCGAACCGGTTTTTCCGAGGGTCAGTATACGGGAAATCCCCTAGAGCATCCAACGAGGACGAGAGTATATCCAGCGGTACGCGGAAGTGCAAATGGTCCTTGCCCGATTTCCTTGTTAGATTAGTGAGAAGGAAGAGACGGATGGCAGGGTCTGGTTCAAATTGTGAGAGGAGCGCATCGGCCTCGGACAAGGAGGAGACTGGAGTAGCCTGGGACTGGATATGTCTCATGCCCCTGATGTACCGTGGAAAGTCGTCGGTTAGGGGCAAACGAATGGGCCCGTTATCTATAGCAATGACACTCGATACTAAAGAAGGAGAGCGTAGAGCAAGCGTCAAGGCTGTTTTGGCCCCCCTAAGTAATTGTAAATTTAGTTAACTCTGCTTTTTAGAGAGAGTAATGCTGATTAGAGCATACATGGAGTGGCCGATGAGAATGGGATCTCGCAGGCTGTTCTGGTGAATGAAGTACTCCACGTCAAGGGCGAGCTCGGTGTAGTCATGCTTTGGATGATGGAGGGAGTCTCCATGGTTACGGAGATCCTTCTTATGGTCAGAGTAAAGGGCGCTCAACGGCTCGTTAAACAAAGGATGTCAAAGGTCGATGACATACCACAGCGTAGACTGACGTCCCCAGATCAGCGGCCAGCACCCTACAGGCTATCAGCAGTGGCACTCGGGGGAACAGGCTATGGTAAAGGGAAGAACCGACTTGCTCATGCTTCTGTTGTTTTTCCTGCTGCCAAAAAGGCCATGCATGAAGATGATGGGCGGCCGGCCGGCATGGTAAGTGCTGCCTCGCGGCTTGTGCAGCGTATAAGCTAAGGGCACTCTGGAAGCAGCAGAGGCAGTAGAGTGGTGTCGCACGAACAGGCGTCCTAGCTTATACATGGCGATTGATTCTCGGGCAGCAAACGGTCGATGAGTCAAAACACAGCACATATCGCAGAATACCTCAACAATATAACCAAGACCAAAACTCTTCTTTGCAACAGCACATAAAGCGCAGAGACAATGAAAAGAAAGGTAGGACCTGAGTCCAGGAGAGGTGCCAAAGAATATGCCTGTCAAAACCCCGAAGGATGTTGAGTGGCAAGGCTCTCCACGCTGTGCAATGTAGGAGCCTTTCCACGGCGAAGCGCCTTTTTGATCGCGCCAGCCCAAACAAGGTAAGTATGAAGAGAGAAAGAGAAGAGAAGAAAAAAATTTCGAAGAAGGCGGGCGCCCGGCGGCTGTTTATATAGAGCAGAGTGGCACGTGATAGATGACTAAGATTAAGCGAGGTTTGAGCTGAGGACGCTGATTGGCTAGAGAGCAGCAGAAGCAAAAGCTTATTAGTAATTGAGGAAAAATAGTTTTACCGAGACAGTACACGTGACCGTGACCGTGACCGGCCGGGGCTCCAACGCTGAAAAAAAAGATTATCTGGGTTGGAAGCAGAAAAGGACGACGCAGCAGGCGACGTTCGACGAGGATACCAGGAGCCGGACAGGAAGATACACGCAGACAGACGTCACGATGAGGAACAAGGCGACCAGCTACCTCCGGAAACCGGTTTGTTTTTTCCCTTCTGAGCCCTCTCTGGTGTGCAATGGCTAGATTGCTAACCCTCGTTTTTTTCTTTCTTCATGGGCAACGATAGAAAATCCGCCAGTCCTGGAGCAAGTACAACCTGTTCAACATCACGCAAGTCCGCCTCCCGTTCACAAAGTCAAGGACCTTCTTCCAGCAGAAATGGTCGGCCAAGTCGCTTGCCCGCGGATACCATGGTGAGCAGGTCCGGGAGAGTCAATGGGAGCGCATGTTCTCTCGCCGGCTCCGAGCAGTTGTGCCCATGGACCCCTTTGATCTTGCCCGCAACGACGGTTCAAAAAACGCAGCTGGCCGTGGCTCAGGGATGGACCAGGGGGGTAGAGAAGACGGTCGTCAAGTCCCGGACACGCCATACATGCTGATGACATTTGCACCGCTGGAAAGAAGATTGGACGTTGCTATATTCCGTGCTATGTTTGCAAGCAGTACCAGACAGGCAAGGCAGTTTGTCATCCACGGAGGCGTAACGGTCAATGGCAAGAAGGTTGGTCTCCTGGCTCCTTTTACAAGCAATAATGTGCATTTCAAGCAGCTAAAATGTGACGGTAGATGCAATATCCTGGGTATCTATTGAACCCCGGAGACATGTTCCAGGTTGACCCTGAGCGAGTGATGTATGCTACTGGAGCACCCAAGGACAAGAGTCTACGCCGTGCCGGCCGTCTCAGACGACGGATGGGCGCAAAGTCGAAGGAGGAGAAAGAAGGGGAAGGCGAGGAAACCAAGACAGAGGAGACCAAGGCCGAGGACAAGGAACAAAAGAAGGAGGAGGGCAAAGAGGATGAAGACCCACGGCAGATGTTGAAGGAGTTGCTTTCTGGAGCCAAGGGGATCATGACATCGTCGGGGGACCTGCTCCCGGCCAAAAGAAGGCAGGCCATCCGTGCTTTCCAGCGGTCCGTCAAGCAGGTGCTCTCGCGGTCATCTACCACCACGACCATGACAGACAACCTGGAGGCCCAGTTCCTCGCTCTGAAGAACATGATAGACGAGGATACCAAGCGGGCAGCCGAAGCTGCAAAAAGGGCCGCTGCTAGGAAAGCAGAACAGGCCGCTCCCAACACTGAATCACCATCCTCTGCCACCGAGCCATCATCTTCCGCATCACCCACTGCGCCCTCTCCTTCATCTACTACTCCTAATGCTGATACCACTTCTACTACGACGACGACGACCACCACCACCACCACCACCACTAACAACAACAACGACAACATCAACAACCAAACCAGCCGAGATAGCAAGGCCTCCAGCGAAATCGATGATCTCGCAGCGTCCCTGTCCGACGTCGAGCTGGCCGACTACTCTCCCGCTGACCTGAAAGCCCTCAAGCTCGCTCTGGAAGAGATCCACGAAAACCCCATCGACAGCACGAAGCCGTATGCTACCCCCTGGCGGCCTCGCGACTACATGAGCCCCTTCGCCTTTGTGCCACGCTACCTGGAGGTCAACCACAACATCTGCGCGGCCGTCTACCTGCGCCATCCCGTGGCTCGCCCTGGCCGGGCAGAGGTGCCAACCCCCTTCAATGAAACCATCGGAGGCGCTGCCTTTGCGTGGTACCTTCGCCGGCGCTGAGGTCTGCCGCCTGCCTGTAATAATACTACTACCTATATAGACCTATCATTCTAGACAGAACGAGGACATGTACCATAGCATCCTTCCTCCCCTGCCTCTCTCTCTCTCTCTCTATCTTCTCTCTCTCTTCGCTCTCCCAGCTGTCTAGCCAGCCCATTCTGTAGCCTCCTTTCTGCCAGCCTGTCTGTTTCCCCCTAAAGGCTCTCAGGCTCTGGCATCTCGTCCGTCTGCTGTGTCGCGGTGGCTCAGCACGTAGCAGTGACCTTCCCGCTTACTGTCGCCCGTCCGTCTCTTGGGCTGAGCATGACTTTTTTTTGGCGGCGCCAGAGCGAAACTTCTTCGACCACAACAACATCAACAACGCCAACCTCAAAACCTCAACCTCAACCTCCAACCGCCAACGTCAACTTCGCCCACCGGCCACTCGAGCAGACGACCGGAGCCAGAGCCAGCGCCAGGCAGACAGCCAGCCAGCCAGCCAGCCCGAGCCGACCACAAGCTCAACGGTTCTCGCCGTGCGTACAGTACCAGGGGCCCTTCGTTCGCAAAAGCAAATAAGCCCACCGTCGCGCAAAAAAGCAAAGAAGAAGGGAAAAAGAGAAGAAGGACGAAAAAGCCCAGAGAGACGCTTCTATTTTGTCTTTTTCCCTCGACTGGCATCCATCGCTCGATCACCGTCGCCTCTCGAGCCCTGCTCCCGCTCCTCTCGCCCTCGCTGTCCCTCTGCTGTGCCCTTGGACGACCTTCGCCTGCCGTGCCTGAGACGCAAGAAGCCCCAAAAAGACACGCAAGACGAACCGCCAGCCAGACAACAGGGAGGAAAAAGCAAAGAAGAAAAACAGAAGGGGAACCCAGAGTCGAAGCAGCGGAAGAGACGACGAAGCAGAGCCAGACTCCATATTTTTTTAATAATAACCTTACCTTGACACTTTTTTGCCGCCAACAGGAAAAAAAAAAAAAAAAATAACGAAGAACATCGCGAAGTTTCAACTCCTCCAGGCCAAAAGAAACACCGACGAGCAGCCGTCCAGGACACGCAGACAAGTTCAAGCAGCTCGAGAGCCCGCCCAAAGTGTCCTCTTCCCGCCCTCTCCCTTTTCTTTTCTCTTTCTTCCCTCTCCCTGCCGGGGGTTCCTCGTTCTTTTTTTGCCCCGTTTCTCTGTTCTTGTTGTGCTTGTTGTTTTTTCCCGTCCCTTTTTTTGCCTTCGCCGCTGGCGTCTCGTCGCTCTCGCTCGTCCCGTCCACGACTCTATACATGTTCAATTGGGCTGTCGACCCTACCGCCCCGCCAGGTCCTACCCTCTCATCCCGTCAGCAGCATCACCAGCAGCAGCAGCACCAGCAACAGCAGCAGCAGCAGGGCCACAATCAATGGCTGAACGCGGCGCCAGGGAGGCCGCTGAGCAGCGCGCTTCCTCTCCCGCCCATCTCGACCCTCCGCCAGCCTGCTGCTGTCAACTATCCCATCCCGACGCCGCACCATGAGCCGGTACCGACACCTCAGCCGCAGCCGCAGCAACAGCATCATCATCCGAGTCAGCACCATCAGCACCATCAGCAACAGCAGCAGCAACAGCCGCATCCACATAGTGGTGGAGACGTGACGACGTCCGAGAGCCCCAGCCTGAGGGAGAACCCGTTTACGGACCAAGACGCGGACGGGAAGGTTGTGTTGCATGGGCAGGAGGTTCATTTATCGGGCGTACGGGGACCGCATGACGGGCATGGGCAACATCAGGCTGCTGCTCGACGGCGGCAGCAGCAACAACAGCAGCATCATATCCCGCAGCAGAAACAACCTCATCAAACTCTTCCACAGACTCAGCAGCAGCAGCAGCAACAGCACCATCAACAACAGCAACAGCAGCAGCAGCAACAACAGGCTCTATCTCGTCAACACTCACATCAGTTGACTCACTCTCTCTCCCAGCAACAACATCCACAGCCACAGTCTCAGCAACATCCTCACCAATTACCGCAACAACATCTCCAACACCAACAACATATTCAAAATCACCATCAGCGGCAGAGACACCAACAACAACAAGTTCAACAGCAGCAGCAGGCTCAGGCTCAGCAGCAGCAGCAGCAGCAACAACAGCAACAGCAACAGCAACACCAAACGCCGCAAACCCAACCCACCCCCCAGCAAAAACATCACCAAGACCAGCAGCAAGCTCAGCAGCAACACAGCTTACAGCAACATGTACATGCGCAGGCGCAGCACCAGAGCCAAAAACGAAAACATCAGCAGCAACAAAGACATACCCAAACGCCCGCCCCCCAACCTCAGCAACAACAAGCAGCGGCCGCGGCAGCAGCAGCTCAGCAGCAACAGCAACAGCAACAGCAGCAGCAGCAACAACAACAACAACAACAAGCACAACCTCAACCGTCACAACAGTCTTCAGCCTCCCAGCCGGCTTGGGAGCGCTCTGTACCCGTTTCAGTACCCGCAACCGTTTCACAAGAAGAAAATGATGCCGAAATAGCAGTTCTTGAAGGCAACGCACCGCGGAAACATGGTAAACGCCTTACAACTCGCGAAGAAACCGCTTTATTCGAAATATGTAATCGTCACGCAGACACCTTTGGCGAGCGTAACAAGCTCTGTGAATGGTGGATGGCTATAACTCTGGAATTCAACCGGATAGAGGGTCATCCATATTCATGGCACAGCGTCCGTCGGAAAGTCGAATTCGTCACACAGCAACGCATCAAGTTTTTGAACGGCATGGGTGGGAAACGCGGGGACGACCAGGCAGACGCCGCTTGGAGTGCCGCCGTAGATGCATGGGTCCCGGTCTGGAGACGGTTTCAACAGCAAGAGACAGAAAGAATAAGCGCAAAGCAGGGCAAGAGAGGTCGAAAAAGGAAGTCTATGGCAGTTGATCCTGCAAACCTCGATACCCCGAATCACCAACCCCCTACTCCTCAACCACCTCCAGCTACACAACAACAGTCACAACAGCAGTCACAACAGCATACCCCCCAGCAGCAGCAAGCTGAGATACAATTGCCCATGGGATTTGGAACCATGTTCAATGGCACTCCTACCAACAATGGTGCAGAACACCCTCATGCCCACCCTGTTAATGCTGGCACCCCGGATCTCCTCGCGCCCACGGCTAGCAATCCTTCCTCGTCCTCTCCACAGGCAGATCCCAATAATGTCTCCGCAGCCACCCTGAAAGCCATCTCACGTCTCAACAATACTCCCAAGACAGCCATATCTCGAAATCCAAACCTCTCTCCTTCCACCGCCATGCTAATGTCTGCTGCTGAGAACTCTTCTACCCGCCGGCCTTTCAATTCCCCTTCTGTCCCCGTCTCTGTCTCTATAACTGATACCCACCAACAACACCACCCTCATCAAAGCGGCCCTGGTGCTCGTGGCTCCAATCCAGCTAATCCAGGCGTACCTGTCACCGGCGTTAGCGGAGCCCCTACTGCTAACGGCAACCTAACAGATGTTTATATGGCTGATGTCTCTGCCGCTGCATCTGCCGTGGCCCAGTCCATATCGGTCTCAACCATAGACCAGATCCGCACTGAGCTACGGGCGGAATTTCGTGAGCAGTTGGAGAAGGAACGCTCGCAACTCGAAGAAAAAATTACTTCAGTGCAGCGAACGCAAGAAATGATTCTCAGCCTGTTGAATGACCAGCGTTTCATGAAATGATTTGACTGAGTTCCCCTCTATGCCGATTTTTATTTCGTTCTTATTTTATTTTTTATTTTTTATTTTTATTTTTATTTTTTTTATTTTGGTCACCTGGTGATATTGGTATTTGCCCATCACCTTGTCCTTTGCATATGGAATGTGGCTCTTTCTACGCTTATACCTCGATAAAAAAACTGGGTTTTACTTACCGCTTGGACTGGGCGTTTCCTTTTGCTTTGTTGCTCTACTCTCTTCCACCCCTATCTCTCTCATCCTACACTTTCCTTCCTCCTATTTGCATCTATATGCCATATACTCATCGGGATCTCTTTTTTCTATCTCTGCTGTTATACATTAAAGGGGCTATTTATCCTATCATCGTATTTCACTTTTTCTCTTTCAAGGGTCTGGTTTACATTTCTTTGGAAGGACTTTGGTTTGCCTTAAGGATTTCATCTTTTTTTCCCCTTCTTTTTCTCTTCTCTCCTCCTCGCCCTTCCTCGCCCCTTTTGACATCTTACGATCAAATTGCTTTGTCTCGTTCTTCTAGCGACCGTTTCCTCTCTGCTTCCATACTTGTTTTTTTCATTCTAACGCCATGAAAAATCATGATGGACAACTGTACCTATAAAACTACACACCACTGCTTTCCACGATTGCGATCGTGTGCCAAAATGGGGGACGATATTAGACCTTGTTTTCTTGCTAGCTTCCTGCTTCCTTCTTCCTGCTTCCTTTCCCCCTTGCTTACCTTATTTTCCCTTCTATATCATGTTTTCCTTTTGTATATTGGAACTGGAATTGGAACGGGCTCAGATGGAGAAGATTGGACCAGAGAAATTTAGTATCACGGCCCAATTCTACCATCGTTTCTTCTCTTTATTCTTAATCCTCTTGTTGTTTGTCGGAACATTAGTTAATTGTTAGCGAGCGGTTTGGCTGGTGGCTTGGTTGGTCTGGATGGGACAAGGTTAGGATTAGGACTCAAATAGATATGAAGAGCGATCAAGGATCTAATTCAGCATTTGTTCCTGCTCTAATCCCCATTTGAGTAGCTATGTGGTAATCAAGAATCAAAAAAGTACACGGTAGATGAGATGGTAGGTGTATATATCATGGTGGTGGAGGAAGATGTAAAAATGGGGGCATAGAGAAGTGGGAAAGGGGTGGTTGGATGGTGAGGAAGGAAACGGGGAAAGGTTCATAGGGCGCTATTTTGAATCTAAATTACACACGTAAAAAGAAAAGAACCAGTGGTACAGCACAAAGGGAAGGCCGGATGAGCCACGACAACCCAAGGTGTAAAGAGAAAAGGTCGGGGAAGGGAATTGAGGAGTAGGAAAGAAGGCGGAAGAAGTCTCTGTGTGAAGGTGCGAATGTACGTAATTTAGTAGTAGAAGGTCTCGTCAGCGGTGCGGCCACGCATCCATTTGGGCTCACTGCCACGGACGTAGATGTCTTCGAACAAGATACGCGGAGTAGCATCTGGAACAGGCATCTTCTCGGCAATAGCAACTTCTTCATCAACCATCGATCTGGCATCCTTGTCAATGGCCTTGAGCTCCTCTTCGGAGGTGATGTTCCAGTCAAGAAGCTTCTGCTTGAGTCCTGCAATAGGGTCATTGGTGCTGCGCATGCGCTGGATTTCCTCACGGGTACGGTAGGTGGTGCCGGGATCAGACATGGAGTGACCACCGTATCTGTAGGTGACGTATTCGAAGACAAGAGGACCCTGACCGCTGACAGTGTACTCGCGGCCATACTGGACGGCAGCCTTGATGGCAAGAACGTCCATTCCGTTGATCTTGATGCCGGGAATATACTGTCCTCGTTTGTAGTAGTCGGTTAGAGCGGAAGAGCGGTTGGCAGCGGTTCCCATTCCGTATTTGTTGTCTATAAGTCAAAAGTGTTAATACGGCCACAGCACAACATACCAAGGAATGGATAAAACACGATCTGAAACGTACTTTCGCAGCCAAATATGACGGGGAGGTTCCATAGCTTAGCCATGTTGAAAGCTTCGAAAACTTGGCCCTGGTTGGAGGCTCCATCACCGTACAGACAGATGGTGGTATTTGCCTCACCGTTGTACTGCTGAGCAAAGGCAAGGCCAGCGCCAACGGGTACCTGAGCACCGACAATTCCGTTACCACCAAAGAAGTTCTTAGCAAACATATGCATAGATCCTCCCTTTCCGTAGGCAATTCCCTCACGGCGACCAAGCAGCTCACCGATAATCGAGCGAACGGTGCCACCGCGCATCATGGCAAATCCGTGGCATCGGTAGGCAGTAATGAGCTTATCATCTGGGGTAATGGCGTGCTCAATACCGGTAGCGACGGCTTCCTGGCCAGTTGACAAGTGGCAGAATCCCCGAATCTTCTTCTCCTTGTAAAGTCGATCCGCGGCCATCTCCATACGTCTGGGGAAAGAAGTTAAAAGTTAGACATGCCCCATACTTAGCGCACAAAGAGAGCTGATGCATCTTTACCTTATCGATACCATGTCGTAGTACATCTGCTTGAGCTCCTTCTTGGTTGTCTTCAAGGTGTATGGAGGAGGGTCGAGCTCGTAAGTCTCGAAGCTCTCGTCGGAGAGCTTGACTGAGAAGGGCTTGTCATCTTCCTGTAATCCCGCAAATGAATAATTAGCACTCTTTCTACCAGCATGTATCCGCTCAATTGGCAGCCCTGGGATGCGTACAACTGGAATATCCTCCGCGTGGGCGGAGGCAGCGTCGGTGGTCACAGAGCGGCGAAACAGCTGTGTCGAGGGCTGTCTGCCAACTTGGGCGACGCCACGGGCCCGGATAAGTCTCGAGAACATCTCAATTGACGATTGAATACTGCTGTGTGGACGAGCAGCAGGCGGCAACGGGAAGATTGGAGATGGTCAATAGAAGGCAGCGCAGAGGACTTGTTGAGGTCGTTCAGTTTGTTTCGGCCGCAGAAAGTTGTTGGGCCTTTTTCCTGCTTATGTCATCAGTCTGGCCAAACAGTGCAAACTTTCCCAGACGGAGCTTAGGAGGGCGACCAGCGAAAAGCATCAAAAAGAGGGACGAGGGGGGCAAGCCAGCCAGCCAGCAGCAGCAGACAGACAGACAGACAGACAGACAGGACGAAGCAGCATCCCAACGGCTTGACACCAGAGACACACGAGCGATGTCGTTGACGATTCCCAAGGCGCCCAATGCTGGCCTGTTCAAGCAGGGCTATCAGAGGTACTTTCGCTTCAGTCCTTTGAATTCTCATTTATTTTATTTTATTTTTGTTTGCGAGCTTTGGCTGGATATGTGCGTCAGGTAGCATGCCCACTAACTGTTTATATATATAGCCACGACTCCGAAGATGGCGCGGTTATTCGAAATATCGAGGCATGCAGAGCCATTGCCCAGACTGTCCAGACCTCTCTTGGGCCTCATGGCCGGAATAAGATAGTTATCAACCACTTGCAGAAGATGATTCTTACATCTGATGCTGCCACGATCCTGCGAGAGCTGGATGTCGTCCACCCTGCTGCTAAACTCCTGGTTATGGCCAGTCAGCAGCAAGAGGCGGAGATGGGAGATGCTACAAATATGGTTATTATCCTCGCTGGCGAGCTTCTACGAAAGGCGGAGGATCTCCTACGGATGGGGTTGAAGACGAGTGATATCGTTCAGGGGTACGAGATTGCACAGGGTTTTGCTCTCAGTACTTTAGAAGGTAAGTTCTGCGGGTTCCTCCTCAGGGCATGGACATCCGTTGTTTGCTGTGCTCTATGATCCTCCCCACCTTGGACGTGCCGGCTGCCTGTTTGCTAACGCTACAATCGCTACATAGAACTCGAAGTGGATAGACTAAAGGAAATGCGCTCTGCCCCTGAGCTCGGGAAGGCCCTAAAGACGGTTATTGGAAGCAAGCAGTCTGGGTCTGAGGAAATTCTTGCCCCGCTGGTGGCCGAGGCTGTTTTGGGTGTTCTCCCAAAGAATCCCGCTAACTTCAATGTCGACAACGTCCGTGTGGTCAAAATTATGGGAGGAAGTTTGGAACAATCGCGTGTTGTTAAGGGTATGGTCTTCGCCCGCGAACCAGAAGGCTCCATTAAGAAGGCCAAGAAGGCGAAAGTTGGGGTCTTCAGTTGTCCAATCGATATATCCCAAACAGAAACCAAGGGAACAGTGCTTCTACACAATGCAAAGGAAATGCTTGACTTCACAAAAGGAGAAGAGAGTCGCCTCGAAGCTGCTATTAAGGAACTTTACGATTCAGGCCTCCGCGTTGTCGTTGCTGGCTCCACTGTTGGGGAACTGGCCCTGCACTACTTAAACCGATTCAACATTCTTGTGATAAAGGTTATGTCCAAGTTTGAACTACGCAGATTATGCCGTGTCATCGGAGCCACCCCCCTGGCCCGCCTTGGTGCCCCTATGCCAGATGAGATGGGAAATGTTGATGTTGTTGAGACTATGGAGATTGGGGGTGATCGTGTAACGATTTTCAGACAAGAAGATACCGGATCTGTTAGTCGCACCTCTACTATCATCCTTCGAGGAGCAACACAAAACTACCTGGAAGATGTTGAGCGCGCCATTGATGACGGTGTGAATGCTGTGAAGGCTGTGGCTAAGGATCCGCGGTTGGTACCTGGAGCCGGAGCCACAGAGATGCAGCTGATTGAACGTCTCACTCAGTTTGCCGATAGAACCCCTGGACTTGCCCAGCATGCTATTAGAAAGTATGCTGAAGCCTTTGAGGTCATCCCACGAACTCTCGCCGAATCAGCTGGCCTCAATGCCACTGAAGTTCTCTCTAGGTTGTATACCGCTCACCAAGAGACAGCTAAGGAATCGGATGAGGAGGAGGAGGATGACGAGGAAGGGGATGAGAGCTCTGAAGAAGAGGATCCCAACTGGACCACTGGAGTTGACGTTCTTGCCTCATCCCCATCTGGAACCATTGATGCCGTGGAGGAGGAGATTCTTGACCTTCTTGTTTCCAAGTCGTGGGCCATCCGGCTGGGTTCTGAGTCTGCACGAACAATTCTCAGCGTGGACCAGATTATTGTCGCCAGACAGGCTGGTGGTCCCAAGCCACCAGGCCAAAACCCTAACTGGGATGAAGATTAAACTACTGACATACGAGACATATGGTGCAGTAACGCTGGTTGAAAATAGAGTGAGCATCTTCGCCCGGGACGGGGAATGCTTGCGTTCAATAGATATTTTAATTAATCATAAGGCCCTCTTCCCTTGCCTTAGTTAATTGGCCATTCACGAATAAAAAGTCTATGATTCGTATGATGCAGAAATGAGCATTCGTGCAGTGACTCTAGAAGATCTATGCTCCTGTGGGGATAAAACCTGTAAACCTCTAATTCCTTGAATCCAGCAACCTCGAATGTTGTCGGCCGTCGGTTGGTTTTAATGTTTCCTTTTTAGGTCTAACAGTCATAAGAGCTCAAACTCGGTCACGTGACAGCCTAGCGGACTTTCGCTCACAGCATCAAATTATTATCAAGATCAAATATTTTCTATCCAGAAGACGCAGAAAACGGCAATTGAGGTACAGAGCCTTCTCGCGGCCTCTCTACTCACGTCCAACCCGTCTATTGGAGCCAATCCCACATCACCAAGCTCTCATCTTTGCCCAGTTCGGACACTTACCTGTCTTCCGCCTACGGTAGAATTTTTTTTTTCACTCTCCAAGCTTCGGCAAACTCCTACAAAAATGTCTTTCGCAACTCGATGCTGCCGAAGCGCTGTCCGCCTCTCCTCCTCAGCCTCTGCCCCTGTTCGCACCTCCTCTCAGATCACTCGATTGAATGCTAGCACATCATACATCTCACAGCGAAGAAGATATGAGTCCACGACCGCCGAGCCAGCGGCACCTACCAGCGAAAAAATTACCAAGATTGTCGACCAAATAAGCCAATTGACACTCCTTGAGACCGCTGATTTAGTTTCAAGCTTGAAGGTGAGGTTGCTCGGTCTCCATGCGCAGTTTAGCCCATTAGTTCTACTCTCATCTATCAGAATGCAAAATGATAGAGGCCACTCCCACTCCGGAATTCTACATGCTAACTCGAGCTTTCCTTAATTAGACCCGCCTTAACATTCCTGACCTGCCCGTTGGGGGTTTCGCTGCCGCCGCCCCTGGAGGAGCCGCTGCTCCGGCTGCTGCTGCAGAAGAAGAAGAGGCTGCCCCAGCTGCGCAAGAAAAGACCTTGTTCAACCTCAAGCTCGAGTCCTTTGATGCTGCCTCCAAGGCCAAGATTATCAAGGAAGTCAAGTCCATGCTTGGACTCTCCCTCGTGGAGAGCAAGAAGTTTGTCGAAAGTGTTCCCAAAGTTATCAAGGAGTCTGTCCCCAAGGAGGAGGCTGAGAAGATTGTTGCTTCCTTGAAGGCTCTGGGTGCCGTTGCCTCCATGGAGTAAGTAGCAGGACAGGTGGTTTCCTATATCTTTGTTTCAGGCTGGCTCGCTGCTTGTATTACTAGGCCCACCGTGTTTATTTTTTATTTGCTTTGCTTTCCCAAGTTGTTATGTAGGGTATGGGAAGCAGGTGTTTTAAGACAGGGCTAAGAGGCAGTTGGTTGTTTCGAAGTCTCTTCTTATGTACAATATGACATTGGCAAGAATCTTTATAATCTACGTTAGAATTTACACTTATAGCACTGAGTTTCTGAAATAGAAATCGGCTGCCAGAGTGAACTTTTCACTCAACCGATTAACGTATGAAAATGGGGCCAAGTCTAAAATATCAGAATTGATTCGTTCTATAAGCAGGTTGTAACCCAACGCCACATAAGCTATACCCCAAAACCATGCAAATATATATAATGAATAACGAGCTATAAACAAAAAGCCACATCAACCTCAAAACCCGAAAGGCAATTAACCAGTTCTCGACATTAAGAATGAAAGATAGAAAACATAAATCAAGGGGCATCACCGTCAGATATATCCAGAATAAGCGTCGTAGAATATGATTGTATAAAGGTTGGGTATAATAAGCAATTAAAAATGTACCCACGCCCATGATATAGGGTGAGCTAGGATGTAGAACAAAAAGAGTGGAGGGCAACATTACGCATTAGATAGTGGGTGGTGTATGTGTTGTATATAACTTAAAGGGCAGCGAGGATAGAACGGTGCTTCGCACCTATCTCGGAGTTGGTAGATTCGCTTGCTGCCTATTCTTCGGCCAAGGATTCATCACCAACCTCACGCCACTCTCGGGATTTCTCAGTCAAGCGCTTCACGCCTGGGATGCGCTCTGCCCATAGTGATTCAGAGGGGGTTCGGAAAGTGTATCCTCGTTGTGAGGAAATGACGCCAATAGCTTGAAGAACTGCCTTGCGTGAATCGCGGCTGAAAACAGCAGGGTGGGTGATCCATTCTAGAGCAGCCTCAAGATCGGCATCTAATGCTGATATAATTGCAGAATCAACAGCAGCAACAGGGGTAATGGTTGGCGCTTCAGGTGAGTGCGAGGAAGCACGACAATCAAGAGCATCCGGGAAATGAGGGGAGTAGTTTCCAGGGGAGTGCGCTTCGGATGCAGGAGTGAGAGTGGGGGTGAGAGTGGCTCGCGGGTTTGGTGTTGGGATAGCTCCCGGTGGTAGCGGCGGCAAACCTCCCTTCCCGAGACCCTTGAGAATACTCCTAGTTTCGGTGAGAAGGTGGTGAGCGCGGTCATGCTGACCGCGAGTCACTAGAGTAAGCGACCTCATCAACATATCGGATGTAAGCAGTTCCATGCGACGTTGAACAATCGAAGGATGAGGCGGGATTGGAGGGCTAATGGGCCGTCCAACATTCTTTGATTTCTGGTTTTGTGGGAACATTGTGATAGCCAAAAGGGATGGCCTCGGTGAGTGGGTTAGGTGACCTTCACGTAGTATGTCACCATATGTAACGTCGGCTTGAATTAGAGGTACCTCTTCTATACTCGCTACCCGCTGGTCATCACCATCAATTGGCCCGCCAAGTGCTTCTAACCCAGAAACTATGCTTTCCCAAGGATCTTGGGGCACATGCTCAGGGGCAGAGGTGTCTGGAGTAATTGCGAGCTGGATAAGAACATCTACAATTTGTGGAGTAAGTTAGTGAAATCGAATCTAGAGAGGACAAGCAGTGGTGGCTGATGTATACAGTACTTACCTCGTTTGTCTCCGAACCTCAAGTCACCCAAGATAGCTTCTGCATCTCTTCCCGTTGCACGCTTAGTAGTATGCATGGCACCGCTAATCTTAACAAACCGTGCCGGAGAGCCTTCTGGCAAACGCAGCTTCAACTTGACGTTTTGATGTGACGTTGACTGTAATGCTCCAAGACACCCGGCAATGCATTCTCGTAGCATCATCCAATCTTTGACATACGTGTAAGATGCTTTTGTTCGACTTGAGAGTTCGATCATAACATCTGGCTTATGGGTAAGTCCGAGACCAAAAGTGTGAATGCCAACCCTATAATTGGAAGGAAAAATTAGTACCCATTTACCGGAAGTTAATAAAGCCTAATACTTACTTTGCTGCCTCGGCGCGAGAGACGACAAAGTCACCACTTTCTGGGTCAGTCGTTTGCGAATCGCTAATCAGCAATATCGTAGACACGGGATTGAACGATTTGCGTTGCATTAGCAAATCCATGGCTACGTTTGCACCCTCAACAACATCCGCACGTAAGCTCTTTTGACCTACGGGCCGAATTGAGTTGAATATCTTTCCCCAGCCGTTCCATGTCTTTGAAGTCATTCCAACAACGGGGACGCCTCCGCCAGATGAACCAAAAGTAACCAGACCCATGCGATCTCGGGGGCCAAGGTTCTGGACGAGAAAACGCAGAGTGTCACGAAGCAAGGAGATTTTGAGGCCTTGCATCGAAGAAGAGACAGGTATGACGACAACAATGTCGAGCGGTACATGAAATGCGGATACAGGCATAGGCTCACGCCCTGGGCTAGTATAATCCGTCATTGCAGTATTGCTAGACTTCCCAGCGCCGTAAGAAGACGAATAGCCGGACGACTCCCGTTTACTGGGTGTTTTTGAGATTCGGTAGTCATCCTCCTCTGATGCGGGAACTTCTACCCCAGGATCAGGGCGAGTTACCACGCCCCCGTTCCGTAAGTCCCCTAAAGCCCTTTTCCAGATATCTAGCTGGTGAAGGGTTGAGAACCTCAGGTGGAATCTGGGTAGTTCGTTCACAGACAAGTTTAAAGTCAAAACAAGATCATCTACACATGAATCAGCTTCCCTTCATCTCTCTTAAAGCAGGTCAAAACAAATGCTTACCAGGGATGGTCTCCAGATCTTTAAGATGCTTCTTGATGAGAATCGATCCCTTTAGAGTGAATCTCGTGCTTGTGCGCTGCGTTACTGGGTCCTCAAACATGTTCTGGCTCTGACTGGGCTGTCGGCCCTTCTTCTCCTTCACGCAGATGAGCATGTCGGAGAAAAGGTAGCACTCCAGCTCTTGCCATGAGTTTCTGTCTTTACCCACGCGGATTGTTCCGTGGAGGTTAAGCTTGCCGAATCTGGAATGCGGTCAGAACCAGCAGAAAACACGAGCTTATATCAACGACACCACAAGAGAAACAACCACGACGGGGTCAACATCCTCAACATCCTTAACACATACCTTGCGAATTCCAAACCGTGCCAATTATCAACCCGAAGACGGAGGTCTTCTGCAATGGTGCTGAGCATATCTTCGGATTCGGTGAGGGACTGTTCCTGCGCATGCGTATCGGGGCTAGAGAGACCTTGTGCTTTTACCGCCAAAGACTGAGCATCTTCTGCGGGAAGGATGGTACCGGGAGTCTGATGTATCTGCTCCGAGTCTGGTGACCATTTCTCTCCGGGAACTTCGACTGTGACCAAACAAGTGAGGGGCTGCTGTTGGCGGGAACGATTCAGCGACGGGAATTCGCTGCGGACTGTCACTATGGGTGCCGGAATGAGGTTCTTGCTGATGCCTGGACGAGGGCCAAGTTCAGCCTCCATAGCCTGTACATCGTAGTCGTGGCGTCTCGACACTGATGACTGGTGGGCATCGTGCTGGTACTCTGACGCAGTTTGTCCTCCAACTGTCCCAGTCTCAGGACGGAGAATTTCATTTCGCGAGCCCAGCGTCAGCCTCTCGAGCCTCTCACGGTGGCTGTTGGTGTCCCTACTGTCAAGACGAGAATGTTCTCTAACGTCGCGGCTGTTGCTGAAAGACCGATTGGAATAGTCCTGGTTCATCGAACCAGCTCTGTTGCTCCCATTATCCCACGACGCTGCTGGTGCATGGCCGCTGCGATTCGTTTGAGACTCGGCTACGGACACAGACCGTACGAGGTTGCTTATTTTTTCTGTTTCCAGCACGTCAACATTCACGTTCAAGCAATGACCAATCATCGCTGGAAACTTACCTAGGTCGAGGACATTTCCACTTCTGCTGGCATCTAGTCCCAGGGGCGCAGAGCATATCGGACAATACTGTGGCTCGACGTCCCGAATAAACTCGTAAAAGCATGCCTCATGGGCAACATGAGCGCAAGAAAACTGCAGAATACGCTCGCCGCGGAGGGTATGTTCTAATGGTTCTTCACAAACGGCGCATGCGCTGCCAGCAAAGGTTCGATCTCTCCTGTTCCGGGATCGGTCGACATCCATTGTGCCCCCGCCAGAGCTGCTAAACAGCGAAGTGACGGTGGAATTCGAGCGATTGGTGGAGGGAGAGTTGGAGCTGCTGATGATTTTATTGGCTGTACTGTTAGGGGTTGCTCTATGCAGTCGGTTAAACGGATAGCGGCCTGCTGAAGAACCTGGCCGAGTTGATAAATCGGCTATTCAGAAGGAAAGAAAGGGGAGGAAGAGAAAATCAAGTCAGTCGTTTTTGGTCACCAAAATGTTGGCGCAGCGCCAGGTGCAGTGAATTAACAGCGAGAGCAAAAGGGTAAACCCAGGAGAAAGGCTAGCTGCAGCGTTATGGAACAAACTCGACTGATACGGTGAGAGCTCCACTGGTGGCTTGTTTGGGCTTTGAAGGCACTAAAATAGCAAGACTCAGAGAGGGTGGGCTTCTTGACATACCACGAGATGAAGGCCGAGAGCGAAACAGGCTAAAGGAGGACGACCTGCCTTGGGGGTCGGGATCAGGCTGGAGCGAAGAGCGATGCCTCCGCATGAGAATGGAAGATGACGAAAGTTGTCGAGCGACAGTAAGGAAGAAGGATGCTGGCTAGTTGCTATTCCTTTCGCAGGCCTTAAGCAGCTGCCACCCACGACGATGCAATGACAGTGATAGTGATAACAGCAAAATAGGCTGCGCGCATAAAATCGCAGGCAGCGTGGGCAATCAGGTAACAGAAACACAGTCGAGCAGGACTACTTCGTGCTGGCTGCATACACTAAAAGGCTCCTGGGCACTCACAGGGGTCGCTGGTGCTCGGGGATGAAGTCTGAGGTCCAGAGTTATTCTTGAGTCAAGAAAGATATGTTGGGGTTTTCGATTGGAAAAGAAGAATGAGAAGGCAGCCAAAAACTGTTCGCAAAAGAAAAGGTGACAGAAATTAAAAAGGAAAAAGTGACCTTCTGTCAAGGAGCCGTGATTTTTCTTCGTTCGTTCGTCAGAAGCCCGTTATGAGCTGGGTAGGACGGGCGTATAATTGGCTTTCCCGGCTGAAGAAAAAGAAACGGGAAGCCGGACAATTAGTTCAGTGGTTATATGAAAGATCCGCTCAGAATACACCTGGGAGAGAGCAAAGAAACACTTCAAAAGGGTCTAAAACGGGCGAGCAGATCAACGGACGACAGGCCTTGCGAAGGGTTACCTGCGGTCGGATCGATTTTACCACTTTATAGCTCCTGATGGTAAGGGGACCGAAAAGAGCATTAGATCACCACCCCAGAACCATGCTCAGTGCCGTTCGGAGCAAACCAAATGTGGTCCTCACTTTGCTTTCCCCACGAAGGACGCAGCAAACGTATGCTATCTACAGACTACTCCGTACATGACTAGGGAAAGCCACCAGAGAGGGGGTGAAGGTCCGTTCTCCAGCATCGGCAGCACTTCAACCAGGACCAGGACCAGATTTGCGAAGGCCCTTTTTCAGTTCCTTTGGGTCGACCTGGCGCCGTATTCCACCCTTCCAACCAGGCACTACTCCGTACTGGCCATGCAAGTAACTCTTCCCCCTACTTTTAGCATGTGCGGAACCACATAAATCATTAGTGTGGACCCAGCACTTTGCTTGTCTGCAGAAGTGGCTACTTGGTGGATTAAGCGACAGGCATCTGATACGCCGTTCAAAGTATGTCCCAAGATCCGCTTTCCGTGTGTGTAGAACGGTTCGTCCACCATGGGTAAAGGTTTTGACTCCTTTCTTTTTTTTTTTTTTTTTTTTTTTTTTCTCCCCTTTGCTGCCATGGAGTAAGTGTTTTTCCCTTCCCTTCCGGAGTACGGAGTTACAAATGTGATGAGATTACCCTGGCTTCATGTTTCTTTGCGTATTGAATGGAGGAGTGATATATATACACGCTGTACTGACTGTGCGAATACCTGGAGCTAGTGACCCGAGGTTCGTTTGTACTTCCGCTAAGAGAACAAATCTCCTTCAAGCATTATTATGCAGTTTACGGTTACGGAACGAGAGAAGTGTTTCTATTTCCCATGGATCGGTCGCTCAGGCCCGCTTTTGTTCCTGCGCCAGGGAAGGGAACCCGAAGGAGCGAAAGGGGGAGCAAAAAAAGCCATTTTTCACCAAGCTTGTGATTCCGCGCCTTAGTTAAGCAACCATGGGCCACGCCTTCTCCCCCTTGCACGTCAACCAGTTTCTCCCGGCTACTCGTGGCATTTATATTCAGACTCTGCCGGCCATTGCATGAGTGGTGCATACGTCCATCCCCTCCCCTCCCGCTGATGCCTATCACCTGTCTCTTCATCACGACACTAAAGGTCGAAACGTTACATCGAAGACGTCTGTAACGAGTGAACATCCACACCATTATACACGGATACGCTGGCAAAGCTGATACAAAAAGCATATTGCGATCTATCAGTTTCTTCGGTACGAGCAAGCGCAGGGGGGCCGAAGCTAAAGTTGAGTCCTGGGAGGCAACATAGTTCTTCGCCTTTACTGGTTTTTCCTGGAAATAACGCCAAATCTTATCAAAAACCATGAACAACTACTCCGTACTAAGCTGACCTCCCTGACCGATATTCGCGATTTCCCTACAATAACTTGAAGAAGCAGCTCGTCTACGGAGTACAATTTGCTGGATTATTGTGCCGTACTTTCCACGTGGTGGACGCGGTAATAATATCGACAAAAGAAAAAGAAATAAAACCTTACTTGACCGTCTGCCAGAATTTATTCTTTCTCTGTAATAGTCGTGAATTCGAGACTCTTGCATCCACCGTCAACCCGTCTGACCCTGGAAACCGCGACAAGACCATACCTCCTAGCCAGCCTTGTGTGGTCCACCTCCGAGGCATCTCACAACGGGCAGTGAGCCGAAGTTGACTTACGCAATTTGGGCGGCGACATCCCGAGTTTATGCTGGCAGTACGAGCTCCCACCGTCATATTTCACGTTAACTATGCCTGTAGCTCCCCTTGTGAGATTTTCACACAAAAATGCATCGTTTTCTTCCATTCAGACGCCTAGCCTTACCCACCCAATTAAACCTCACAACGCCCGGCTCTGTAAGGCTTGCCTCATCTCGCCCTAGGAAAGCGCCTTCAAGTCTGAGAAAGACGCGAAAACAAGATTCACCTTCACCCCATTCGCCGTCACCCCATATAAGTCGGCCAGTGTCGCCTCTGCCAGGGCAATTCGGCCCGGGAGATCTGGACAATGCGGTTCGACGGATACCGCTGGAGCTTTTTCAATCTGCATATAAGGAAAAGATGATGACGGTCAGGGTGCAGGACGCCGCTAGGATTACACAGGAATGCATTAAGCTTGCTGGAGGACTGTCTTCTATAAAACAGCAAGTTCAAGTTTCTCAAGCAATACAATATGGTAGAGTGATCCATAATCGCTTCTCGCGCATACCTTTCGGCGGTATTAATGGCTTATTTAGAACTTGACGAGATCTCTCAGGTCCTATTTCTCCTCCTTCGATCCCCATACTTTGCACCGCTAGCACTGTGGTTCTTACCACACTTAGCTGCGCAGGGAGACAAGAGATCGTTATATTACTTATCCCACATCAAGTCAAACTCGGCACGTCCGCTCCCTTCTTCAGATCAAGCGAAAGACCCCCTTCAGATTGTCATTGATGGTCAAATGCTACAAGATAATGGAGATTTGGAGAATGCAGCACAGCGGTTCAAGGAAGCAATGGATATGTCAAAACCCGTTGAAGCACCGTATAGCTTTGATGCTCTGTTTCCTACCAAGGTCCGTCAACCTTGGGAGGCCTACGGTTCATTAATGGAGACATTTGGTAAACACGAGGAAGCAAAGGAAGCTTATACCATTGGTTCAACAGAGTATGACCATCCACGGGCGTACAGACTCCTTCTCCCAGAGCTCCTAAAATCGGGTGACTTGGTCAAGTATGAGGAATATCTTACAAAAGTAGCCATGGGCAATGACGTACTAGCTTGTTACCAACTCGGGAATCTATTCCTTACCCTACATCTAATGCACGAAGGCATTGAAGGGGGGAATGCTGCCCGAAACAATGAGGAGATGCTGCTTGTATCACGGTATGGAAAGGATGAAAGTCGGCAACTAGCTGCTGAATGGTACGAGATCGCTGTTGCGGGCGGCCATGCACGGGCAGCCCTTGTTGTGGCTGGGTTGCTACGGCAGCAGAACAAAGGGGAAGAAGGGTTGAAATATCTGCAAATTGCGGAGAAAAGTTCAGACTACCCTGAATTGGCTGCAAAACTGCGTGGGTCGTGGAATGATTCGCCGTTCACTTTTGATTTGCGAGACTTAATAAGGTGATCAGAGGGCTATGATACCCCAAATCCTGATACCGGTTACTGGTTACAAGCGGCCGCTTGAGTTCAACCAGTGACGGACATTGTCCACCCCTAGCCTAGTCAGCGATGATGCCCGTATAGTGGCTCGGCATTCGTCACTCGGTGAGCTCAGAGATTCATACCAGCCTACGGAGTATATTTCTCAGTTTACGCAAGGCGTTGGGCCCGCAGCCACATAGAAACCATGGAACTATGGATGATTTCTTAGCTGTAAAATATGTGTAACATATAACTAGTTATTCATGGATAGCCCTATCATTTATTCTCAATACTTCTTCTGCTGTGGACTTTTTTCTTTTTTATCTTCCTACTCCTGCATATTATCCCACTTTTGGGCCAGGTTGAGATGCCGAATGTCACAACTGTTCGAGCCGAGCCCGAGGGCTGCTGCTTACTTGTTCTTGCTAAGTACCCTCTGAACTGAAGCAACTTTGCTCTCCATTGTTTCCTTCTTGTCAGTTCTAGATTGTCGATCAACTTAGTCAAACTGGCTTTCGATTCCCACATGTTCCTTAAAAGCTGAAACAGAGTGCCCAAACTCACCTCGATCCAACACGGATATCAGAATGGACCCGTACCAAGCCCTTATCGTGCAACACTGTATGCGCCTGGCCGATTAATGTCAGGACTTTGTCCCATGGACCCTCTGCAGAGAGCAAGCCAGAGCGGAGTTGTTAGCCTCTTGTTTCCTTTTTCTGTCAAGGGCGTTGTCGTGTCGGGAGAGTGGCTGCGTCTTACCGATCGTAGTGCCAGCAGAGTGCATATGGAATGTGAGCCCGGATTTCTCGATCAGGCACTGCACTTCGGCTACCTCCTGGGAGACAGAAGGCGAGGATGTTCCGATCTTCCATGGACAAACGGTAGCGGGTTTCCATCACCGTTAGTATTCTTTGCTGTCACTTCACTCCCGGGCCCCTTCTTGACATGGATCTTCCATGTTCAGATAGTTACCATGCACAAGAGGGGCCAAATCTTGCTCCCAACGCATCCGAATTCAAGAGACGAGACATCAAAGGGCTAAAATACTACTAGACATCTCGTCTGTGTAAAAAGGGCAAGGGACAGGGATAGCTAGGGAATGGAAATGAGTATATCACATACAGGAATCATGCAGACATCCGCAATGCAGTGGGAGGGCGTAGGGATCTCCGAAAGACCAGTCATTGCGAGGACGTGTGGCCTATCACGCTATCTGCTCCGTGTACCCGTGATTGGTGCCGGTTGAAAGGTCTCGAGTTGGGCCTGCAGTGCCTAGGAAGACGCAACCTGCTGATACAATTCGATTCGATTCAATTCAATGGTGAATACTGGAGTGCTGGCCTGTTGCCTTTTGATACCAGGCAGAAAAATAGATGATAGCACTGCCCACCAATATTGACAGGGCGATGACATCATACGAGGGATATCCCCAACACCGCCAACCCAGCCCTACAAAAGAATAACAAACAGCAAATAAAAATGAAAAAAAAGAAAAGAAAAAAAAAAAAAAGAAAGGACAGAAAGAAGTCTGGACGATGGGGGAATCGAACCCCCAGCTCCCCAATGTTATCCTGCGAATGGGGTGTTTTACCACTAAACTAAACGCCCGGCATTTGCACTTTGGTCCCGCACAACCGCTACTCCAACCGCAGACGTGAGATGGCTTGGCATAGAAAGTCAATTATATAAGCACAGCCTCTCCAACATCGAAAAGCCGCAAGAAGGACGACGAACGACGAACGATAACGTCAACCATAGCACCAGCGGCAGCACCGGCAGCAATTGGGCACATCTTCGGCAGAAGAGGGTGCGTGGCTGACCTAGCTCGTGCGGGAACCAAGGCAGCCTTCAAAGAGTTCTGGCTCTTTTGAGATAATTGACAGAGTTCCGCTTCAGCCGTCGATACACGGAGGCGTTCTTAGCAGCGTCAATCCGCTCGTATTCTTGTCATGGATGCTTCGTCATCCGCACTAGTAAGTAGCTGAATCTCGTATCAATGACGCTTTATTTCCTCCATATTGGCAATCGTCACTCTGTTCACCAGCTGGTCCATCATCTCCTGAGCTCCGAGACAAAATGGGGGAGGGGCTACGTCTCCGCAGATTGACCTGTTCTCCTCAAAGTGCCACTGCAGTTGAAGCATGGAGTAAGATAGCCTGGATCCATCTCAGAAAGCCAACAATCCATACACCAGCAACTACCCATGGGCTCGGAGTGGCTGGTTTGCTGCATGGGAAGCCAGGCCGTTTTGAACGCCTTCTCCGAGTCGTCTATTGATGACTGTGATTTGCCAACACTTCAACTTTTTTGAAACCGCTCAGGGCATTCGATTCCCGTGCCTCTCGGCACCAGTTTCGGTATCAACTCAATAACCTGACAGCTTTAACCAACTCGTGGCTGGGTTAGACTCTCCGCTTAACTGGTGGAGTTGATTGCTGAAGGATCCTGTTCCACCAATGTCGATGCAGAAATGCCATTGCCACCCCTGTGGCCCAAACAGTCTATGGCCACGTTATACATATGGTTACTGGTAGCTTTATGCCTTTCCACCCAAGGAACCACTTTCTCCTCTTCCAGTCCCTTACCGTCAACCACGCGTGGGTTTGGAATGGACTAAAGTTGAGTTGCCGGGGTGGAGATACATTATTGAGAAAGGTAACATACTTACTCCGTACTTCTTAACACTTGTAGCATGGCCTTCACACCAGGATCGTCTCCGCATTGTTGGTGGAGACTCCCCTCGTCGATCTCAACGGTTGCCGGCCAGATGGATTGCATGGGTACCTACATTTTGCATTGAATGACATACTGGTAGACTCGAGGACACCCCTGTTATCCTACATACATACGCACCTTTGGTGCGCATGACCACCGCCATGACCGGCCATCAAAAATTGCGAAACGGCAAATCATAGCCTTCTTGAAGTCGTGCATACTCAGTAATAATAAGGTCCATGGACGCCGCATCATACACAGTTCATCCTTTTTTTTTTTTACTCAAGCTGGTTTGCCGGCACGGGGTATTTCTTGAAATGCCATTATATCCCGCGTGAGGCTCGCATGCTGTGAATATTGTGGCTTACCTGAGTTCCATTCGAAGCCACGTCTGAATTAGCACTCGTGTTCGCCTATTATGGGCGAATTATATCCCTGTGCGACAAGGTTCCTTTTCGTTGAGCAATTGCCGTTGAAGATCAGCTTATCCATACATACGGAGTAGAAGATACCAAACGGAAGCAAGCAGACTGGCTACATGTGTGAATACAGCATCTCGATATATTTCTTCTCAGTGAAACGAACCAATGTATTCCGTACAGTGAATCAATTTACAGAGACAATTACACCATTTGACAGGGTTTAAACGGGAGGCGGAGTCGTGCCTCATGCCTGAAAGGACTAACCACGACTTGCATTCCATGAATAAAAATGAATATCCAGGGATGGAGTATGGTCTACATGCCTGATATGTAACTTGCATCCAATTATCTATGGAATCTATTTCGTACTTTGCTCAGGGGCATTCTCACACTGCGAATCCTTCTCGCTAAAACATGTCAATGATGAATTTATCCATCTCTACAGAGCATAGATCCAACGAACATGCAGGAGAGGGTATGCTATGTTATTTCCTCCTTATAGGGTTCGATGGTCAAATAGGAAGATCCCTCGGAAGATCCTGGAGTGAAATGGCAGGAAGAATATCCTCCCGCTGGCCATATTCCCATCCATTTGTCATCTTAGTGGTCTGGGAAACTTCACAAGCCTCATGTCAATGCAGGGCAAGATATGAAGTTTAATAATTAACCACATCAGAAGAAGGCCGAAACAATACATCGGTCTGATTACTCTGATGCTTCGGGCCTTCCGCTACTACGTACGGAGTAGCCCTTTGACAAAGGAGAAGTTGCCAATCCCATAACTTTACCATGCATGATAAGCCCAGCCCAGTTGCCAATTCCCCTCTCCTTTGGGAGGTATGGGAAAGCCACAATTTGTTGTACTGAAAGCAACTTTGAACACAATGCGATTTATTCCAGACGCAGGTCATGATTCTGCACTAACGAGACAGAAATATGCCCTTGGAATACACAGCCTAGGAGACTGTGTTCGCAGGCTTCTACCAGCGTATTTTCATCCTTGATACCTTTTTCTTGCCTTGTTACAAGGCAAAATATCAAAGAATCCTTGCTTGTCCCGGGTATGATGGAGAAATTTGCTTCGGCTCGTGAACGTGCATATATACCACCCACCACAACCCTCCCATGTAAACCCCCACGGTGATGTTTCGTCATCAATGCGGTTCGCTGCGCACTTCCTCGAGACTAACGCTTCACAAATGTAGCTGCCGCCAGCTTCAGAACCAATTAGTACTCAGAACCGTCAAAGTGACAAGCAGCTGGGTTTGACTTGACGCGAAAGTCATCCCACCAAAAGGGGTAACAGAGGGAAAAAGCAATGATCACCAGCCGGGATAAAAAGCCACTGCTGGGTGGCCGAAGGCACAGATAACCTTTGCTCGGAGAAGATCACCGCCGATTCGCCTTCAGCAAAGGGTGCTCCTTTCCTCTTTTGGGGGGTATACGAGCCAATATCAGCAAAGCTCCAAAGCTAGAATGGAATGGAACCTCTTCATCCCTTTTAACTATAAAGGTCCCTAGCCACTTGACCACGTTGCACGATCCACGTTAAAGGATCGTATCGTGAGCATCCGGACTGGTTCCTAAAGCATCTACTTGTCTTCATCAGGATGTTGACGCCCTGCTGGCTCGAAGGTGAGCCCGGTGTCTCAGTAATTGCTAGCACATATTCGAGGCTCGCTTGATCCCATAGCTTGCATGGGGAAGCCTATTATTAGGTTCGCAGGCCAGGCTCGCTCCCCTGGTCTCAACCCTGGTAGTCGACTAGCTCGACCGGGGTAATTCAGCCGGCGCCATCATCCCGAGAATCAAGTTCAAAGAGGTCATAGCCTGAGCCTTCGCTCAACCGGCCTCGACCCTGCCAAAACTTGCCCTCACGCCAGTGCTGCCACCTCCGTACGGAGTATGGCTTCACCGTTGGCGGTGGCGCTTCCAGGGTTCCCAGCTCTCATTGACTTGTTAACTAACAAGTAACTTCACACGATATGTTTCATCTGTCTGAAAGTAGACAGTATGTACGCCAAAAGGGAGAACAGCAACCAAAAAAAAAAAAAATTTCTATTCCCCTTCTTTTCCCCGGAGTCACAGTTGAGGTGGCAAGGATGGAATTTTATAGGAATTGTGTGTGATTATTTTTCGAGGTTCTGCCCAAAAACGCCCTCAGCATCCAGGGAGTTCTCTGAAAACATTACGATACCATCAATATCGGAATGCTCACGCTCTGCGATAGCTTGTGAACTAGCCCTACATATTGCAGGTAGTCCGAGACATGGTCTCGATGCGTCTTTCATTGCTAAAGATGGATATCCATGCCACCCTTGCTAGCAGTGTTTCCATGGGTTAGCTATTTTGAACACGAGAAGACGAGGCCTGTGTGTTCCTGGCGTACTAGGTACAAGACACCTTGAGCCACTCATGCATTTGCCGCATCCTATGGTTCAAGCCTGCATATTAGTTAAAGCTGTGTGATCCAAATCAGACTTCCGTTTTGCATTTTGTTTCCCTCACTGCTCTTAATTTTTCCGAGGAGGCTTTCTTTTATAATTCTCAGTTTGTCAAAAGCAGTCTGGACTGCACTATCAAGACAGACCGGGCTTGAAAAAGCACTTCTCAGGTCGACTCTGGTGTTCCCGCGGCTGGTATTAATAGAAGGAACGGAGTTCCGGGTGCCTGTCAGCTTATTCTCATCCTCTTCCTGAAACCGAGAGGGCTGGACAAAATATAGAATAACAAATTCCCAGGCCTGCGGCCGAAGCTTGTTTGAGGCGCAAATTTTTGTTTATTCGTTATTATCAAAAGAGATAACTTGGGCCTTCCTCGCACTTGATTTTTCTACCCGTGTAGAATGACAGCACATTGATACCCATTTGATCTATATATTCAGTTGAAAGGGTTTATATGACATTCAACCGCTGAACAGTCGAGATGGGGAAAGTATTTGCAAACGAACCTCTCGACAGGAACCAACGGCCGGTCGCACTGACGCATATACCTAGGATCCCCCTTCTTGTGCGTAGATCTCATGATACTCCGATTGATCATCTGAACCGAGGGTGCGTTTTGCTAACAGTGCATCTTTCTTTAGATAATACTCTGGTCTTTTTTTGCACTCACGACGGTTGTTATGATCTTTCGGCTAGCCATCAGATTATGGCTTCAACGACGGCTATTTTGGGATGATGCCTTTGCAATAGCTGGCTACTTTGGACAGGTAGCCCAACTAGTGATGGTCACGATTGTATCACCATTGATATATATCCATCTCCAGGGGTTTTCTGGCACTCGCCCACCACCAGAGTATGGGATAAAAATCACCAAAATGATCCGGCTGGTATACGCACATAATGTAGTGTTTACTGCAAGTTTATACTGCATCAAGGCAAGTTTCATGGCGCTCTACTGGAGGCTGATCCAGGATTTAAGCGACTATCGGAAAGCCTGGTGGGCAGTGGCAGTGCTCTGCGCAGTCTCTCTGACTATAAATGCGGTTTTGTTCCCCGTGGGGTGTTCGACCTTGGAAGCATGTAAGTGGGCATTAGTATGGCCATTATATACCTCCATTTGCGGTGCTAACGAGGTGGCCTATAATAGTCCATTGTATTGACAAGGGAAGCATCGACCGCACCCTGGTAAGCTTGCGGTTTAACACAGCAATGGACATCGTGACAGACGTGTGCAGTAAGTCCAATCGCATGGCCCAAGCGAGTGTTATCCTTGGGAGTAACAGAAAAGGCCCTGTTACTAACTGCTAGTTACAGTTATGGTCCTTCCGATTGTCCTAATCGTGCGGTCCAACCTCCCAGGCCCAGAGAAAGCAGGCTTGGTCATCCTCTTTGCTTTGGGTTTCAGTATCATCACCATCTCGGTGGTCCGCATTATCAAGAGCAATGGCTATCAGAGCCAGCCGCCCCTCTCCTGGCTCTTGTTCTGGAGCACAATGGAAACAGCCGTGGCGGTGATAACGTGTTGTCTGGCAACGTTCAAATCGCTGTTCAACCTGAAACAGCGACCCACCCATTATTCATACTACACCAAGACGCGAACATCTCGGCGTCGACGACGAACTCGAACTGCCCAGAACATGGACAACATGAACCTCACGCTGCCGACGATCTCGGATCTCGAAGCATCCACAGATAGCCAGCGGACAGGTAACGAGCGGAAGGAGCCGAGTATGATGACCATTTCGTCCGATAGGAAGACGGCCAGGTCTCATGACGCCGAGCTCAAGGAGGAGACCATGATTGGGGCTTCCATTGACAGAGCGACTGGCAGCATTCCTGAACCCCATCGCAGCGATTGTGATCGTCGGCCCCAAGCGCCCAGCATGGCACAGTTGCGATAGATCCTTGCGTGTCTACGCTGGGCTCTGCTCGGCATGCGAGTCGCGTTGGTCGCTGTGCATGGTTGCGAGCATGGAGTACACATGGTGGTCTATGAATCGTCGATGTAATGATATTAATTATCTTCTCGTTCCTTGTTTAATTTTTTCTTTCCCTCTTGAGGTTGCTGCTGTCTTATTCCATGGGATGGATTGATGGATGATGCCTTTGCAGCCGGCCTCACCGTCACTGGTGACGACTGGCCAAACATATACATACCTAACTAATAGCCAACCCAGGCGCCGACAAAAAACTCGAGGTCCCAACAAGCACGCTGCAACAATTAACCAACCGACCGAGTTACTACTCTGTACTTATAATATTCCAAAACGATATCCACATCCAACAGCTTGACTAATTTGCTCACAGATTACACAGCAAAAAAGTTAGAGGCGCTTGTGGCGGTGTTGCTGTATCAGCCAGTCTCCAGTCTTCTGAGGCCTCCAGCTTCTCCACGCCGTGTACGCTGCGTCAAGTCACAGCCTAAATATAGTGCCAGGGCGGAGACACCTTGCATCGTACCCCCAGCAGCCATCGTCCTGGCACGCCTTAGCCGGGCTGCCATGCCTTAGTGCGCCCTATCAAACGACGAGGCTGGAGGGTCGCTTGGGGGGCGGCGGAGGATCGAACTTTGTCAGGGGGCAATCGCTCTTGCAGGCTCAGCCGCAGTCTGGCTCTTCTTCCTCGTCTTCGTCTTGGTTTTTCCTGCGTTCACTCATCTTCTTCTTCTCTCTTGCTCATGTTCTCGTCTTCCCTGTGAATTGTTATAAAAGTCGCCGTTGTCACTGTTGATCGTCGGCGCCTCCTTATATATATATATATATATATATATATATATATGTACATTCATGTACGCGCGCCACTCTCTCCCTTTGGTACACTTAAAAAGTCATACACCAACTGACTCGCCGGATCAGGTTTTCGTTTTCTGAATATTGTTAAAAAGGAAATATCGCTGTCTGACAAAGAGCAAGGAGCAAAAAAGAAAAGAAAACAAAAGTGATTTGCATGGTTTCTTTGGTTGTCGTATAAAGAAGAGAAAAGCCGCCGTATTTCTGTGGCTGCCGATTTCTTCGCATACAAACCACCTTTACGGCCTCTCCTTTTTTATATATTCCATTTCAAGATGCGTGGCGACTCCTTTATCTGGTCGCTGGCGACGGCGATTCCATTGCTGTCCACTGCCGTCGAGTCCCTGCAGGTTGTCAAGCGAGATAACCCATCGGTTCTCGGATTTGATATCGAGCGCTTCCAGGTTGCAAAGCCCATCCACAGAGATATTATCGCCAAAAGAGCCTCGACCAAGACCATCAGCCAGGATCTTGATAACCAGGTGAGTGCTGGAGTTGTGTTTGCTCCTACGGACGTGGCGCTGACAGCTGTAGAAAAATCTATACTTCTGCAACCTCACTCTTGGAACGCCTCCTCAGACAATTCGAGCCCACATCGATACAGGCAGCAGCGATTTATGGGTTAACACTGCGGAATCCCGGTTCTGCAGCTCGAGGCGTGCGCCATGCAGCCAGGGCGGAACATACGACTCCTCCAGTTCTAGCACCTACCAGCTCGTCAACAACGACTTTAACATCTCGTATGTTGACGGATCGGGCGCCACTGGTGACTATGTTACCGATGTCATAAACGTCGGAGGTATCAAATTGAAGGACTTCCAGTTTGCCATTGGACACACCTCGTCCAGTCCTCGTAAGTTGATGTCATCCTTATCACGAGGGAACCATACAATGCTAATACCATCCTAGTCGGTGTTTTGGGAATTGGGTATGAGGCTGGTGAAGCCCAGGTTACCAGGTCTGGTGATCAGTCGTATCCCAACCTTCCTGCTGCCCTCGTCAAGGCCGGCCACATCCGCTCCAATGCCTACTCGCTCTGGCTCAATGACCTGAGTGCCAGTCGTGGCCAGATACTTTTCGGTGGTATCGACACTGGCAAGTTCCAGGGCAAGTTGCAGACCGTCCCAGTCCTCCATACCAGCAGGGGTGACTATACTTCCCTGGTTGTAGCCCTGACCGGTGTTGGTATCCGGACTGGCTCTGACGGCAGTATCGACACATTTCCATCCCAGCCAGTCGCCGTCGCCATGGACTCTGGCAGCAGTTTGAGCTATCTTCCTGATGCCCTTGCAGCAAAGGTCTATAACTCTGTCGATGCTGTATTTGATCCGGCTAACAACCTTGCCTTCGTTCCTTGCTCCATGGCCAACGACAAAAGAAAGCTCGTTTTCACCTTCTCGTCCCCACAGATCGCCGTTGGTATGGACGAGCTAGTGATTGATCTTGGACCGGACGCCAATGGCAACGAGGCTACCTTCAGAGACGGCTCAAAGGCTTGCGTCTTCGGCATTGCTCCTGCCGGAAGCTCTATCTCCATCCTTGGAGATACTGTGCTACGCAGCGCCTATCTTGTCTATGATCTCGACAACAACGAAATCTCCATTGCTCCAACCCGGTTCAATTCCACTGAAACAAATATCTTGGAAATTGGAACGGGCGAAAACAGCGTGCCTGATGCTACCGGCGTGCCAAATGCTGTCACAAGCGCCCAGGTTACCCAGGCTACTGGTCTTCCCGGAGTTGAGACTGGTGTCCCTGGCTCAAGACCGCCTAGCTCCAAGGCCGCAGGTCAAGCAAAGAGACCTGATTTCGTCCTCGGTGTTGCTGCGGTTGGACTGGCAGGTGCTGGCATGCTCTTTGCTGCCATGTAATATCCCTCATGCCCGCCAGCTTTGGGTCTTAGAAATCTTTTATTTGGCTCATTTTCTGCATATTGATATCCCTCGTGCCTAGGTGACTAGAGCTTTGTTGTATAGTTTTCCCTTCCACTTTCGTGTTTCGTATCTTCTTCTCTGCATAGAGCAGGGTTGTTTCATGACCTTCACGCACATATCCCCATTTCTATTTCCTGCTGCTTTTACCTTTCTTCAACGTCCTTGCATATATAACCTTGCTCTGCTGCTCGGCGTCAGGTTGGCCTGACTTGTTGATAATTGTTATCATAAGGATAGCCCAAATTACGTACATAATCAACCTCATTATTTCTCTCATGTGTGCATTAGAACAGCTCTGCAGCACCTGCGTCTGCAGAACAAACTTTTCGCGACAACAGATGGTTGTACTGTTGCATATTTTGACTGTCATCCCGGTGACGAAGGGCCAACCCGCGCGGAGGGCTGTTTAGAGATATTTCAGGTCCTGGAATGTTTATATCCACCGATCTTATATAACACTCTTGGTCATTATTTCGGCCAGTACAGAGTATGGAGTATCTAGTTCGATACCGTGGTCGTTGTTTCTTTCTATACTTTAAGCCACAGTAGCACCGCATAGGGTATTTCGCCAGATACGTTTCACACTTTGACCAAGGCTTTCCCGGGCTATCATTGCTCAAAGCTGACGCCGCAATTTCTTTTCTTTTTTAATCTTATCTCCTTCTCCTTGTGAGGCTCATCAGACAGAGCTCCAGTTTCGTTTGGTGGGAACTGTACGTATTTGATTGTTGATGGGAATACGACCCTTCAAAGTACTCCGTAAAATGCACGCAAATGCCTCAGTATAGAAAACCCCATCCCTCCGTTTTTCCTTTTATGTCAAGATTGTTCCAATCCAACATAAAACTCCTGATCAGCATCTCGAAAGCACAACCGCTCGAGCCCCTTGATCAGGCTTGGCTGTGACATCCAAAGTTGCTGATTCTTCCTGATCGTCAAAAGAAACATTCTCAGTAGTTTCGTGTAAGTAAGCGTCCCAGTCACAACGCCAGATCTCCGTCTTCACGTTTCTCTGAGAGCTCCAAGATGAATTTTGCCTCGTATCATCAGCCATGGCAGCCACTCTTCGGGCCTGAGCTGGATCACCGCATTCTAAAACGGTGAAACGGGCTTCAAGCTTTGCTGAGGCGGCTAATAGATGAGGGTAGAAGGAATCAGCCCTGGCCGAGTCTGATGTTATCCCCAGATGCTGAATTTCCGGAGGTACCAATGCCAATGTAGGTTCATACAAACGTACACTACGCCTTGTCGTTCCATTTGTGAAATCCCTGGGTGATATGTACGGAGGGTTTGATATCAGTAGATCCAATCCTTTGCTGTGACCCTGGTTTGATCGAGAGAGCATCTCGCCTAACTCTGAGCCATCTGATTCCAGATAACAAGGGTCTAGGATATCAGCATGCACGAAGTGGATTTCGTCTCGTGCGCGGGAGAGTAAGGATCCGTTTCCAATGTTATATTCGAGGTTCTTCTTTGCAAGAGAGAGAGCCGTGGCACTGATATCAACCCCAATGATCGAAATGGTTGGAACCGAGGACGCAAGAAGAGAGTGAAGCAGCAGCGGTATGCAGCCTGTGCCAGTGCATATGTCGATAATTTGAATGCTTCTCGTAGGGTTAAGACGGTTCTCAGCCAGCAGTCGCTGTGCTATACGCGTGGTATAGGACTCCGTATCTGGACTATTAATAGGAATTTAACAGTTGTCAGCGACGTCTTAGGATAACATCAACAGAAATAGAATCAGAGAGTGTTCATCTAACCGTGGAATCAGCACTCCTTCTCTGCAGAGTATTGTCAATTCTCCAAACGGCTGGTCCCCAAGGATATACTGCAAAGGCTTCCCAGCTGCTCTCTGCCGGACGAGCAGCTGCAACCTCTGCTTCCACCTCCAGCTTTCACGACCCGTATCCCTACTCCGTGCATACTCAGTGAGCCAACGAAGCTCGTTCCGTGCAGAGCAAAGATCTCGGCATTCTCGAAGCAGCGGCGGCAGCAGAGGATCGATGCGGTGCGCGCGCAGGAAAAGCGAGTAGGGGATCCGTGGCATCGATCGACGGGATAGCTAGCTAGCAAAGGGTCTTCATTCTGGTCTATTTGGTATTATATGTGCAGATTTTGAACCATCAATAATGGATGTGATGATGCTTCGGCCATTCATCTGATTATTATTCTGATATGACAATCAAGATAACTATCAAATGTACGGAGTAGCGCCGCGGGAGCGAGCCCCTGGCCTGGCAGAAGCAATTATGCCTAACAAGCTAGTCAACCACTAGTTATCCAAACATTCAGAGAGAAAGAATCACAGTGACAGCAAATGGCTCTTGGATGAACTGCCTGTCATGAACGGCTCTATGCATCAGCCGTCCCGTTCTTCTCCTTTCCTGAATGGTGCCAGATATAGTGCCACTATACATGCGGTGATACGCCCTGTCACAGCGCCGTCGGGGATGAAATACGGTGTCACTCTATACCCGCGCCGCCTATGAGCGACGGCCTCACACTTCGCAATGCAGCTGGATCTAAGGCGGGCTACCTGCTCGCAGGGCGGGTCGGCTATCGTTTGGGATAGGGAGTTGTCGGCTGCATTTCCATCCAGCCCGTACTGTAGCCCCCCAGGCTTCTTCGTCCTTCTTAAAAGACCATCGTCCCCAGTCAGCTGCTGCTTACACCCATCTCACTCGCTGTTGTTTGATATCCCCCATTCACACGCCATCACAGTGAAAATCCCGAGGCTACACGGCGATCTCTGTACCTCCTATGCGTACAGGAGGAATTATAATGCCCCTGTCGGCCCCGAGTTTGTGAATTTACCAGCATCATCACATCTTTGCCAGTCGTGGCCATAGATTTTCAATGGATAGCCAGTTATCTATCCAGCCGAGTGACAGCATCATGCTCCTTTCGGTGATGTGGTCTGAGTTCAGCGTTGCAGCAGTTATTCTGACAGCTCGAATCTTCACTCGTACTATGGTTATTTCAAGTTGGGGATGGGATGATATGAGCATGTGCCTTTCGATGGTATTCCTCCTCTACTTGGCGGGAGAGAGAAAGAGAGAGAGAAAGGGGTAGAAGCGAGTAGAACGGCTGATATTAACCATTTTCTAGGTACTGGCCATTATGGATACGTCTCTACTGACAGCCAGTGTCCGTCATGGCCTGGGAAAGCATGCCACGAGTCTCACAGAAGCCGAGTACATCAATGCAAATAAATACAATTGGATCTCGCAGGGCTGCCATGTTATGTCAACGAACTTTGGTAAAGTGTCCGTCATATTGTTCCTGTTACGGATTGTCGTGAATTCTCGGCCACAGAGGGTATTTCTATACACGGTTATGGCCATGTTAATGGTCATCAATTCCGTTTGCGTCTTTACCATCTTTGGCCAGTGTACACCCACTTCGCGACTGTGGGATCAGGATATACCAGGATATTGCTGGCCACCACACTACCAAAGGGACTATGCATTCTTTCAGGGCTGTATGTATATTCACCCCTTCAAGCATCCCCGGCCTGAGAAAATACACTAGTTAACTGATTGACATATGTGCAGCCTTTTCAGCTTTCTCGGATGGCCTCCTCGCTATATATCCTATCTTCATCATATGGAAATTGCAGATGTCAAGAAGAACTAAAATCTGCCTTGGTTGCGTTTTGGCTCTGGGCATAGTGTAAGTCTCCGTCTATATCCAAAGCAAACAAAACCTGTAGCCATATTCCAGTACTAACAAGCAACAAGGGCAATGATCGCGGCTATAATTAAGACTATATTTCTCGCTAGTCTAACAGCCCGAAGCGATTATACCTATGACACTATTTCCCTGACCATCTGGACGAATACAGAGCAATATTTGATCATAATAGCTGCCTGTATACCTCCGCTTGGCCCGCTTCTGAAGATTGTCATGGGGAAAACCCCTACTGCGCAGCAGTCTAGTTCCAACAAATATGCATCCAAACACTACTCAGGGGAGCAGCAAGTTAAGCACCCTGTGTTCATACCGAAGGATTCGTTGCTGTCTACTAACGAGTCAAGTTGTTATCCCCTACGGGAGTATAAGGCACGTTCACGGATATGGGGAGATGGTAGTGAAGGCGTGGTGGACCTTGATTTTCGTGAAGTTCGAGCATCACAGCTTAGTGGCATCATGAAAACCACGGAGGTGCATATTGAAAGTAACAAGGATCCAGTGGAATAAAATGATCTCAGTCAAGCTGCCTATATGCCGTTTGTGGCGATATGGCAAAGCTATCACAGCCTTGATGGGTATTCTGAATACTTGAAGCAGTATGGTTTCAGCCCTAGGTTTGTTCCTCTCAGCACAGTTGACAGTGCCAATGTTTGCAGAAGTGCCCATAGTATATCCCAGGAAAATAGAGTCAAGGAAAGACAAACGTATTGTATATTGTAGCTAGAGAAAGATACTTGAAACTGCAGAAGAAAATGTCGGGCCTCTCAGACCGGGCCCACGGACTGCCTCGCCAAACGCGGAGAGAGCTCTCTATCCCTGTCTATAAGCCGGTGGTCTATATCAAACTAATTCAACAACCCAGTTCCTAGTAATCAAGTTCAGCGTGGGGCGAGTCTTGCTTTGCTTTTTCTTTCTCATCTCAGGAGAAATTGAATGAATCATAAAAGCATATGCAATTGTAATGTGTAAACATGACAACCTCCGTTCATCTATAACTAAGGTGTTGACACTAGCCGCCGGCATACCCCCAAAATTATATATATACACACAATAATTTGCTATAGACAGGTAAGTGTAGAATGGAAGAAGAAAAGAAAGAAGCAAAAACTTTTAGTCATTAGAGGGTCTTAAAGTTGACCGGACCAGCCCAGCGCCTGATTCTCTTGCCGAAAAACTGGAATATCAATAGCATCACGAAGGCGAAGCCACAGATGCCTGTCATGGCACCAAACTGACGAATAGGTCCTTGGTCTCCGGCCCAGCGAACCATGAAGTAGCTTACGATAAAACCAGCCGTGGAACGGGAGAAGTTGAGCCAGGCAGCGACCTCACCGCTGGCTTCTGGGTAGCTATCTAGAACGTATGCGCTGGTTGCGACGGTGGTAATCATAATGCCGAAAACGTAGAGACCCCAGCCCAAGGAGGCGAGCATGTAGTGATATTCACGCTCAAGGGCAAAGCCAAGCAGGATGAGACCGGCGCAGATGCAGGGAGTGCTTATCCAGGTAACGAGGTATCGGGCTTCTGGCTCAAATCGGCCTTGATTGCGGGAGGCGGCGAGGCTAGCCACGCGGTCGTGTAACCAGTGGCCGACGATCTCACCTAAAATAGCAGCAACGACGGGTGTGAAATAGAAAAATCCGATTTGTTTGGGGCCAAAGTTGTAGACGGGTACGAGGAAGATGGCAAGAGTAGTGTTGATGCCGACGACCCAGGCGAAAGTGAGAAGGTAGACGATGCAGGAGATTAACATGGCTGGTTTCGCTATGACAATGAAGGGTCGCATGAATGCATCCTTAAAGCTGTTGCGCTGGTGACGGGATTGCCATTGTTCAGTGCCGATGAGGCGTTTCCAACGGGAGACCCGGGCTGGCCGTTGGTCTACAGGAAGCTTCCTGTCGTAGTAGGTCTCGTCCATGAAGAGAATGATAGCGATGAAACAGAGGCCAGTCTCAATGGAGTAGACGCCGAATGCCCACTGCCATATTTGGGTGTTGATGATAAAGGCTGTGAGCAAGGGGCCGAGATAGGGCGAGACTATAATAAAGCTGGACCAGACGTTGATCTTCCTGGCATGTTCGTGGAAGAAGAAGATGTCGTTTATGAACATGAGGCCGCCCTGTTTTGTTAGCCGGGTACATGCATTGATATATATACATCGGAGAGAGACTTACCCCCTGTGCGACGGTAGAGAAGAAACCATTGAGAATGCGCGCAGCCTGTACAATTAAATCAGTATACATGTAATCGAATGAGTCCGTATACTGGAAGGGAATCGTACCATGAAAGACTCGAATGACTGGGCAGCGGTGCACCAGATGGCGGTAGCGACGGCACCGACCATGAACCAGAAGAGTACCGGAAGACGACCGAAGTAGGCGGAGCAAATGACAGTGACGATACCTCCGACTCCAAGCATAAAGACATTTCCAGCCTGAGAGTGGTTGACCTCGTCCGGTGTCATATGCCATATCCTATTACCGTCAGCAAGCATATAATTGAAGAGAGAGACGCATATGGGGTGACCTACTCGGCCTGCGGGAGGAGGGTGACAGCGCCAACAGCAGAGCCATAATCGGGCAAGAAGGCCGCGAAGGAGATGATGAGAAGGACTATCCACTTCTTCGCCGAGGACCAGTTTAGAGGGTCTTCTGTAGAATCTGAGGGCTGGGGGACAAGAATTGTATGGCCGTCTGGCGCAGTCTTGAGGCCGGCAGCAGTGCCTGGGCGGGCGACAGCGACATCAAGGATGACACCGTCACTGCTGTCCCCGTCTCGCACACCCGCCTCGATGTCAACAACGACGTTCTCCTTGGACATGGCAGCGGCAGGCAGTCGGACAGCAGAAGTATCGGCATCAATCGGTCAAGGAGAAGACGAGGAACAGAAACTCATTGGGGGCTGGAGAGAAAAGTGAGGAGAAACGAGAGGAAGAGCGAGTGCGCCGTTGGCGGTTTATCTTAATTATTATTATGCACTTATTAATTATATCAACCAGGAAGAATTGAGAGGCATCCCTGCGCCTGTACGCCGTCCTGGCTGCAGAGCTTGCCCAGGTCGAGAGCTCCATCCAAGACGGCTCTGGTCGAGTTCGATACGAGTGCGTTCCCACTCCGGACGGGTTGATCCGCTCTTCTCGCAGGCCAATAAAGGCCGCTGCGAAGGTGGACATCGCGCGGGCGGGCAGAAGAGGCGACCAAGTCCGTTGTTTCATCGTATCTGCAGGCATCTTGCATCTCCTCGTCTGCGGGAAGGGATGTGCATTTCCTTGGATGTTTTGGCCTTGTCGGTCCCTCCATGTGGTGGCGTCTTCGAGAACATCTATTAATAGGCGAGCGCTCTTTGCTTCTTCTGTGTCGACTCTCCTTTCTCTTCTCTCTCTCTCTCTCTCTCTCTTTGTGCTTTTTCCATGTCTCTTCTTTTCTATCCCCCCACCCCCTTTAACCGGTCTTTTCTCCAGCAGCAACTCCATAAACAATGACGAGACTTTTTTTATATAACGAGAAACACCTGGGATTATGTCAGCAATGCACGTGTAACTCAACTAGCCAGGTCACATGACTAAATAAAGTTAAAGTTTTAAGGTTCTTTTGACATCAAGTTGAAGTGTTATTCATTATCAATATCATTATTTATGACTGCAATGTGGACTGCACGTTAGCTGCCAATATATATTTCATTTGCATATATCTTCGCTGCATAGCAGGTCTGCTTTGTGTCCTTTGTGTGCTTTGTGTCCATTTCCACGAGGGAACAGTCTGTTCTAGAAAAACTGTGGATCTCGGGGTGTACCGATTAATTTAAAAGTTGAGTTCAAAACGCAGACACGAACCGGAGGGGTTTGTGTGTCAAGCTCTCAAAATAATAAAATAATCTGAATCGGAGCTACGGAGAATATCATCCCATAGAGTTGCTCCAGAAAATCTGGAGTTCCACGCTCCCGTCTCCGCTCAAGCTCAAGGGAAAAAAAAAAAAATTAAGGGTTCGATCAGGCTAGGGCTGTCTGGCTTTCGTCGTCCAGACCTACATAATGCAAACTCAACCCCCACAGCTCTTGTTGCCTCTTTTCGTCTTTTGCCTCTACAGCTGTCTGAGCTTGCTCACTCCCGTTAAAGTATGCTTCTGTGGGATGTGTCCAGGAGTGCTTGGAATCTAGCGTTGCAGACAGCAGGTCTTGTGCAGACTTCTCGGCGGTGCGGAAGAGCCCGTTCGGCCACAGGTGCTGGGCCAGCCATCGGGTGTACAGCTGCATCAACGGGAATGTGAAGTTTCGGTTTGTCCATGAAGCCCTCTGCACTATGTTGTCGTGTAACACTGCGCCGGGGTCGACACCTGCAATGCTTATATTGTTGAGGTCTGGAGTTTTATCTAGACGTTTCCTCAAGGCATGCCTGGGGGGATCGTATACGTTAGAACCAGTGATACCCATATATTTGTCCTTCTTGACTCGCATGTTGAAAACGGAGCGGGTGGGTTGAAACTTAAACTCACATAAAAGTAACCAGGGCTAGTTTTGAGGCGCCGTATCGCCTCATGGACTCCATAGCTCCGTCTTTGTCGAGATTGTGCATGTTTGGATGTGCCAATTCAGCTACGTCCCACTTGAGCTTGCCTGGCTTGTAATACTCGTTCTCTGGCCGACGGGGATCATGTGTGCAGCTGGATGTATAGACGATACGGCCGTGCTGTTTGTCCATGGACTGGAGGAGCCGGAGTGAAAGGAGGACATTGGCAAGAAAGTTGACAGCGAAATTCATCTCGAAGGGCGGGTGCTGCTTCTCTCCTGTTTGGTCTGTGAGCCGGATACCGCTTAAATCGTAGCATAGAGCTGCGTTCAAGACTAGCGCACGAATAGGGGGTATCGTGCCGGCCGACACTGTTTTATTGATACCCGAGACGAAAGCACGGATGTCATCGAACCGGGCAAGATTAACTTCCGGTATGCTCGCTACGTGGTTTCTTTTGCCATGAGAATTGATAATCCGCTGCAGATCGGCTGCCTGGGTCGTTTTCTGGTAGAGGCCGGGGAAGATGAGTGTGTAGGACTGAGGGCGCCGCAGTAGCTTCTTTACTAGCTCCTTTCCCAGGCCGCCGGTTGCACCGGTGAGGATGATAGTGCCATCCATCTTTTAGCCGGTTGTCAAGATGGCTGTTCTGAGAAGTCATGATGAATGGTGTGTTACCACGCGGGTGTTTATATATATATATATATATGTGTGTATATACATCGAGGGATATATGGGTACCCAACGGCGGGGTCTGTACGGAGTATCATTCGACTGATACCGTGGTAGCCCATTTCCCCCCTAGACGGGAACAAGGCCTGGAACCATCAACCTGTTTTTGACTGCAGTCTGTTCATTTGCGAGTATCTAGCTAGCATCTACTCTGACAGAGGGCGCCGCAGAGCTCGGCTGAGGGTGATCAGCAAGGTTTCCACGGCTGAATGGGTTGAGGATGTACCGGGTCTGCGGCCAACCCAGGCCACAACCAACTTGAGGCGATGAAGGCATTGCTCGTGCAGTAGGAAGACCTTAAGCCCGCCTCTCATCTCTGTAGATACGCTCTTGCAGTCCAGGGGAGATATCCATGGATAGATACAGATCAGTATGGCGGTCTTGCAGTGCCGAACAGCAGAGCAGCCTCTACAGTAACTAGTTATCAGCAGGCAAGAGAAGACATCCTTAACCCCAGCCCAAGTCTTCCTTCTCTTCTCTTCTTTCTTCTCTTCTGTCTCCTCCTCGTCCTCCTTCCCGTCGACCCCCTACTCCTTACTCCCTCTTAGTCCCCCTTCTCTTGCTTCCTTCCTGCCTTCTAGCGTCTCTGCTGAGTAAGAGCTGCTGCAGCACTAGTAGTCTAAGGGTAAGATCTAACATTCCCAATGTTAGGACCCGGGTTCGAGTCCCGGCTGGTGCAGTTTTTTCTCTTTTTCTCTTTTTTTCTCTTCTCTTTGTACTCTTATGACTATCTTTATTATCTATATCGTCGTCTATATCGTCGTCTATATGTCTTCCATGTCTTCCATGTCTTACTTTGCTGCTAGCGCTGCGGGTGGATGCGGTGGGCTCGCCTTCACCTCCGACTGCTCAACCGCCGCCAGAAAGTGGCCTCGCGAGCGTCATTAAAGTGGCCTCGCAGTGCTTGCTTGCGGCCTTAACTATCTCTCACTATGCGGTGATACGAGCCTCGCTCCGCCGCCCCTGGACGCTGCCGACGACCGTCTCTCCCAATCACGGCGGCGGCCTCGTCCATGTGTGAAGGATGATGGCAAGGCCGGCGGCAGCGCTGAGGGCGGACCGGGCCTGGCGTCGCTGTCGTTAAATAGGCCGCCTCTGCTCACAGAGATACAGACAGATGCCAGACAGGACAGGATACCCAGACATCAAGACTAGAGAGATACCAGAGAGATACCCAGAGACAAGAAAGAGACAAGAAAGATGAAGCTGAGCATCCTGCTGATGGCCTCCGCCGTGGCCGCCGCGCCTAGCAGCAGCACCCACAGCCGCGGCGGCTCGCGCATCGCCAACGTCGACGTCGGCGTGCGGCCAGGCTTCCTCGTCGACCTGATGCCCGCCGGCCCGCTCAAGGAGAAGCTCGCCGCCTGCGCGAGCCTGTACGAGAAGACGCCCGGCAGGCTGCACTCCTCCGACTTCTCCATCAGCCATCGCGGCGCGCCGCTGCAGTTCCCCGAGCACACGCTGGCCGGGCTGACGGCGGCCGCTCGCATGGGCGCCGGCATCCTCGAGTGCGACGTCGCCTTCACGCGCGACCTCCAGCTCGTCTGCCGCCACTCGCAGTGCGACCTGCACACGACGACCAACATCCTCGCCGTGCCCGAGCTGGCGGCCAAGTGCAGCGTCCCCTTCACGCCCGCGGCCGGCGGCAGGCCCGCCACGGCCAAGTGCTGCACCAGCGACATCACCCTGGCCGAGTTCAAGAGCCTCTGCGGCAAGATGGACGGCTTCAACCCCAGAGCCACCACCGTCGCCGAGTACATGGACGGCACCCCAAAGTTCCGCACCGACCTGTACGCCTCGACCTGCGGCCAGCTGCTCTCGCACAAGGAGTACATGCGCGTCGTCGACATGTACGGGCTCAAGTTCACCCCGGAGCTCAAGGCCCCCGAGGTGCCCATGCCCTTCATGGGCAAGTACTCGCAGGAGCAGTACGCCCAGCAGCTCATCGACGAGTACCGCGCCGCCCGCATCAGCCCCGACCGGGTCTTCCTCCAGTCCTTCTCCATCGACGACATCTACTTCTGGAACAGGCACGACGCCGACTACGCCCGCCAGGCCATGTTCCTCGACTCCCGCCCGGATACCCCCGAGGGCGCCCGCCAGGCCACGGCCACCATGGCCCAGCTGAAGCAGTCCGGCATCCGCACGCTCTCCCCGGCCTTCCATGCCCTGCTCAAGCTCGATGCTGGCAACAACATCGTCCCCTCGGACTACGCCGTCGCTGCAAAGAAGGCCGGCATCAAGCTCACCACTTGGTCCCTGGAGCGTTCGGGGCCCCTGAACAAGGTCAGGGCCTCCGGCGACTTCTACTACTCCTCCATTGCCGCTGCCATCAAGGACGACGGCGACATCTACCGTGTCGTCGATGTCCTGGCCCAGAAGGTCGGCGTTGCCGGCATCTTCTCTGACTGGCCGGCCACCGTCTCCTTCTACGCCAACTGCTTCAACTTGTAGATCCTCACTCCATTCCAAATGCTTTACGTTTATAGACGTATATAAGAAATTAATGTTTTGTATATATAATATCTATCTCTTTTTTTGAAAAGACCTCTATATAAAATTATGTCCCGTCCATGCATGCATGCCCTTATGTACGTACTTTTTATAATAATATATTATCTACTTGAACAACCGAGCAATCTCCTCCTCGCTGAACCGTCTGGTCTTGGTTCTCAGCATCGCTGCCCGCTCTTCCATCGTCATGCTGATCTGCTTCTCTCCAATGGGCACCAGACATCGGGCCAGGTAGTCGTAGTCCTTCTGCAGCAGCTTCACCGTCATCATGATGTAGTCGATGTTGCGGAACACAAGTGCCTGTTCCTGCGAGTACCGCTGCCGCTGCGTCAGGAAGGCCACCGGATGCTCTCGCCAGTGCCGTCGTGGGTTCAGATGATGCGATGTATGATATCCATCATTGAAGCAGAACCGGTTACTCTGCCAATTGTCAGTACTTGCACATTATCACCGGCTGTATATGCAAGGACACTCACCGGAACATCAATCAGGGTGATGCTGGAGCGAAAGTCAGACGAAGGGTCGACCTCGTCCACCAACGCATGCTGGCCCCAATTGCCCACCATCATCGCAATCCGCATCAGCAGCAGCGGCAGCAGGAAGACAAACACCGTCGCCCGCGCATCCACGCGCACAAACAGCACCGCCAGCACAGCGTACGTGCTCAGCTCCCAGCCCGCAGCCTTCGCCGCCATCCCATACTTGCCCTTCTGCGCAAAGTAAAGCGGCAGCTCGATCCACACCAGAAACAAGAACCGGCCCACGTACGCCAGGAAATCACGCAGCTCGTCTCGCTGGTAGCGGATCGTCGACGACAGGTCCTCGGGCCCGTTCCCTTCGACGTGATGGTGCTTGACGTGATGGTAGTAGTAGGAGTTCCACGTATGGCCCATCAGCGGGTTCGTGATGTAAGGGAACAGCATGTCGAACAGCCAGTACTTGCGGTTCAGAATGCCGCCCATGTGGATGTGCTGGTGCATCATCAGCGTGTACGTGCCCATGTACCACGCCTGCACCAGCAAGTGCAGCACGCCGTGCAGCCAGCTGAAGCGGCAGAAGAGCAGCACCGCGCTCGGCACGGAGGTGCTGAAGTACAGCAGCAGGTGTGTGAGCATCGCCACGTCCGTCTCGACCCGGACAAGCCGCCGCGCCCTGGCGATGTACGGCCCGATCAGCCATTGCTGCACCGCCGCCGGGAAGGGCAGCTTCTGCGTGTCCCACGAGACGAAGACGGTCGGATCGAAGTCTGCATGCGCCGGGTCGTTCAGGTTCCGCAGGTGCTCGATGGTCTTTCGCTCGTCCTCCGCGTCGTCTGCAGCTCTGTCGTCCGAAGCTCGCGAGTAGGTGCCTGAAACTAGCTGGTTAGCAGCCGAAGCAGAATAAATAAGAAGAAGAAGAAGAAATGCGACGTCTGCCCAAGTTAAAACTGCCGTACCATTGCTTCTTCCCGTCCTCGTCCTGCGGCCGCTCGCTCCATTATTATCATTGCCGGCGAGTCCGCTGCTCGTCTGCGTCTGCGTCTGCGTCTGCGTCTGCGTCTCCGGCTGGCCCTCCGCCTCTCGCAGCAGGCACTTGAGCACCAGCAGGTCGGGCTGCGTCAGGTTCGGATCAACATACGACGCTGGATCCATCTTCTTGGGTGCCACGGCTCGAACTCGACCTGATCAGCAGGGGGTGGTAAGGGAGCTGGGCCGGCGAATTAATAGCTATCTAGGAGGTCGAGCGAGAGAGAGAGAGCGAGAGAGAGAGAGAGAGAGACGAGGTTTTCACGAAGACGGCCCCCTTTTCCTCTTTTCTTCCCCGGGCCCTTTTCAGGCAGCAGCAAAAAAGGGAGAATCTCCTGATTAAAACGTCATTTTTGCTCTGCTTTCTTTTCTTCCTTCTATCCAGCGGGCGGGCGAGCTAGCTGGATTGGTTTTATTTGCCAGAGAACCCCCATGGGTAATAATACCTGCTGCGGGCGATATTATTATTATTTGCTTCTTGCTCCGCCTGCGGGTTAATGAAAGCGGATTCAGGGGGGGAGGGCCAATGGAGGCGGCGGTGGGCATCGCTCTAGAGAGGCGGGCCCTGAGCGCATCAGGGGGTCGTCCACTACTATTATGTGAAGAAGAAGAAGAAGGAGAAGAAGAAGAAGACGTTGTATAAGATGGAGATGGAGATGCTGTTAGATTTACGTGCTGTTCTTGTACGACTTCTGCTCAGGGGCAGCAATGACATCTGATATTCAACTACTCCGTCTTATTATCCTGTCTGGCAGCCATCGGGGGAGTCGCGGATACCCTTGCTTAGCGACTCCAAGTCGAAGGATCCAACTTCATGCGCCTCAATTCCAGCCTGGCTGCGTAAGGGGGCAGTTACGCAGTTACTGCACAGCTACTCCTCGTCCTCATCGTCGTCCTCGTCTTCGCCATCTTCGTTCTCATCTTCGTTCTCATCCTTGTTCTCGTCTCCGGCTTCAGCCTCCTCCTGCTCGTCATCGTCGTCCCCGTCGTCATCTTCCTCCTCAGAGCTGCTTCTAGGGGGCGACATGTACACCGGGCCGCAATTACACTCTCCGCAGATGTCTAAGGAGTTTTCATCGGGAAGAAAGACGAGGGTGTCGTCGTCGCCGCAGGTCCCGTCACAATCGGGGCTATCTCGTCTCAAAGTGACCTCGCAGCCGCAGGAGTAGAAGACCGACCACTGTTCGCAAGACATCTTCCTATTTATCGTGTCAGGCCTCTTTGCAGACTTTGGGTTTCTGGTCTTTGATGATACATGGAAGAAAGGACTTACTCTTCTCTTGTTTTTTTTTTTTTTATTATTCAAAGGATAGCAGAGCAGGTAGGGCTGTTTGTGCTTGCTTGATTGCTTCTAAAATATACAAATTAGCAAGCATTCACCCTGGGTATAGTCAAACAGACAACTCACTGTTTGTGGTTGGCAGAGAAGCTGAGAGTTGATGATACCTTGACTGGCCAAAGCAGAGAGCTGGAAAGCAGGAAAGCAGGGGGGCTCCCTTTTTTTTTTATAGTAAAAAAAAAAAAAAAAGGCTCAAAGTGAGCTGCCTCCTTTGGTGGAAGGACATGTATAACCGTCTGGAACCCGCTTCTGAAGGACGTCCCTTTAGATGAGCGGGACGTGATGAGTTTTCTTTTTGAATGTCTGTCAACTGCGCTACATTGATATCCTGTAGCACAGTATAAAGGAAGACTAGAACCTCACGTAAGGTTATCACTATCAATCATTCATCTGTCTTGCTTGATCGGAATGCCTCTACCAGTGCCTCTGCTTCCTGTGGGTTGATAGCATCCTCTAGCAGCTCATGGGTCATCTCAACAGTCTGATCAGATATTCCGGCTTCTAGCAGCAATCCTTCACTGAATGCCAAACGGGTCAGAACAACAAGGTGTTTCTGTACTGCCCCTGGTACAGCACGGAGCCGTGAAGGTAGGTCGACCTGGCCTGGGAACAACTTGATAATACCATACACAAAGCGGGTCAGACCGTTGACCAAAGTGGCATGCAAGTCCCGCTCTGGGGGGTTCGAATACATAGCATCAAGCTCGTCATGCATAGACCGAAAGGCGCGGGCTAGAGCACTCGGATGTGAGGCAATCATTTTACCAAGTCGGTTCCGTTCTGGATTTGGTATGGAGAAGGCAATCTCGTTCAGGAACAGCATCACCTCGACCCGCAGAGTGGTGATTTCCCAAGCCGTGTACGGTTTCTCCCCTTCATCGGATGATGGCAGCTCGCTAAGCAGGTTAGCTGCCCTGTCAATGATGTACTTTTCATGCTCTAGCTGCTGCGACTCTGAGTCACAGATTGGTCCAAAGGTGTTGGTCAGCTGGCCACAGGCTAGGATCTTCAACGTCAGAATGATATCGTTGAGCTGCTGGTATGAATTCAGCATGATCAGGATAAAGTCGTATCCCACGCAGCGCCAGAACAGCTCTAGTGCCTGCCTGTTCTGCTGACAGCCACTGACAATCAGGTAAAGTATCTCGAGTGCCTCTGTGGAGCTGACGCGGTGGTCCAGCTTTTTCTGAGGCGTCCTCTTGACCTTCCCCAGATTTTCATGCGATACTGGGGAACTGGTGAACCGAGGCACGCCATTGATGTATCCGGAGTTCTGGAGCACCGGCACAATAGATTCGATGACGCAGGGAGCCAGCTTATGCAGATCTAAGTGAAGGATGAATTTCACTATTGACATGAACATGCCAATAGGGCTGTGGAAATGCTCTTTCAAAGCGCGTGACCATAACGACGCTATGGCCTTGGTATATTCCACCGCATAGTTGCTGCTGCTCTGCGCGGTAATCGACTGTATGACAATCGACGAGAACTTGCGGTCCGGCTCGGACGGGAAATACATGCTTGAAAACACCTCCATATCAGGAGCATTCCTTGGGTATGTACGGTGATTAAGGATAAGCCGCATATACCGCATGTTACGGTCCTCTCGCTTGGGCTGCTGCTGCTGCTGCTGCTTTTGTTGACTCTCTTCAGGGGTCTCTTCTTTTCCTCCTCCGGGAGTTTCAGCGTTCCCATTATCGTCAGCACTGCCCCCGAGAGACTGACTCAGCTGAAGCGCAAGAGGTATTGGGGAATCATCAACCGCGCGTTTTCGCTTGTTCGACGTCATTGGGGTCGCCCGCTTGGATCTCCTTCCGGTAGACTTTGAAGGAGACACCATGAGCTCATCGTCATCAAATCCGTCCCTAAGAGGCAGGGACTTGCTCTTCCTTGGGGTTGCAGGGTGCGGCTTATCATCCTTGGGCTTGTTCCGGAAGCTATGCTGCAATTTAGAAGCGCGGTAGGCCTCTTCTTGCAAATCATGCTTGAGAAATCCATTTTCAGCAACCAGCCGCTTGCTCTCCATCAGAGCAGCTTCAATCTCTGCTCGGTATTTCCTAGTTTCCTCTTCCATGGCGCTTTTCAGCGCGGAAATTTGGCGGTTGTGATTCTTTTCAAGTTTTACCTGATTAGCCCGTATAATGGCAATCTCACCAGCTCGAGCTTCCTCTGAAGCTGTTGCTGCTGCAAGTTCTTGAGCAAGCCTTTCTCGTTCTCGAGTCAGCTTTATTCATTTTACATATATACAATTAGCTTCCCGTATCTTCAGCAATTGGTAGGTATAGATTAAAAATAAAAACCCCCATACCTGTTCAATCTGGTCCTTCAGCTCTTCAACATGGGCACCCTCAAATGGATGGGTATGGAACGAAGTGGTGTCCGCATTGCCTCCTTGCAGCCCGTCTGTTTGCATGGGCTCTACCATCACACCGGGCTCGTCCGCCGTAATTCGACGCCATTGTCCCGGCGCAAGAGAGGCACTGGTATAGCCCAGCTGCTGGCCGACTCCTTCGCCAGATTCTCCCGGTGTTTCCAGTAAAGCATCCTGTTCGTCCACCAGATCTAGACCGTCGTCCTTGTCGAGAACGCTGGCATCCCACTGCTGATAATCCGTATCCCCAAAGCTCAGCGCCGGCCGGAGATGCTGAGCAGGGTTCCGCCGTCTCCTCCTCTGCTCAACAGTGCTACTCGAGGTATTGCTCGTCGAATGGCGAATTAGTGAGGGCCGGACAGGCCGCGAGACAGGCTGGTCATGTTGTTGAAGCTGCCGTTGCTGCTGCTGCTGCGTCGTCTCTCTAGATGGTGGCACCACGGCCCCTTGCTGCGGTGTCTGGTAGGCATCCTGCTCCAGCTCGAGCAGCGCATCGTACGCGGAATCGTCGACCCCGTCGTCCCAGAAGTTATCGTCCTCCATCCCATCAGAACCGCCGTCGTCTCCTGCTTCATCCCAGGCGACAGGATGCGATGCGACCTGCGCGAGTCGAGGAGGATCAGAGGCGCAGCCGGCTTCAGCTCAGACCCTGGCCGGCCCTCCTGATTGGAGCTCCGCTGCGTCCTTGGGCACTTGAGGCAGACAGACAGTCGACACGTCCCCTGATGCCTGGAGAGCCCTTCTTGCTCTGCCTCGATGAGTCTGGCGTCGTCAAGCCGTCAAGTTGTCGCTGCAGGCGTTGCTGGCGGGCTGACCAATCTCTCTCCCGCAGAAAATATCATCCCTGGGCGCCGCCAAAAGGTCCACCAGCGATCTCACTAACAACCAACCAGTTACGTTAAGTTAAAAAAAAAAAATAAAATAAAATAAAATAAAAACACCCAGAATCTCCCAGTCGGTTTGCCGTGAAGCAGCACAGCTTCGCCGTCCGCCGTCCTGTCCGCGTCTCCAGCTAGACTCGCCCCGTTCCTCGCCTGCCGCTGCCACGAAGAGGGAGTTGCGCTGTCCAGGTACGCCGTCCCCGGCCCTCCGCCGGCCCCTGAAAGGCCCTCGCGTGCTACAAAAATCCCCCGAAGAGCAAGGCAGAGGAGGCCCGCAGGCCCGTCGAACGATCCTCCGTACAGCGTCCCAGGCTAACTTCTCTGGCAGACTCCCACAGGTTGATGATACCGACGAGCCGCGAGGTCTGAACTATGGGCAAAAGCAGGAGGAATCTCCGCGCGCAAGACTCGCTCGCTACGAGCCCCGAGACTACGAACTACCCGTCGTCCGAAGACAGCGACGCCTCGGACGTCCAGAGCCCCAGCCGAGAGGATACCGGCTTGATACCTCAGAAAATGGAGGCCACCGTATGCGGATTCACCTGTAGTTCATGTTTGGCCCCCTGCCGTTTGTTCCTGTGCTGACGCTGGCGGTGGATTTGGTAGCAGACGACATCCGAGAAAGCGCAGCAGCCGCAGCCGCAGCAGCCGCTCTCCGACTTTGAGAAGAAGAGACAGACGTTCATCACCCGGACGATATGGACCTTTGTCATGATTGCCGGCTTCTTCGTCATCATCTTCGCCGGCCACCTATACCTGATCATCGTTGTTACCGCCATCCAGATCGTCTCCTTCAAGGAGGTCATCGCCATCGCCAACGTCCCCAGCAAGGCCAGAAACCTCAAGTTCACAAAGTCTCTGAACTGGTACTTCCTCGTGACAACAATGTACTTCTTGTATGGAGAGAGTGTGCTCTATTACTTCAAGCACATCCTCCTGGTTGACAGGATCCTGCTCCCTTTTGCAACGCATCACCGGTTTATCAGCTTTATGCTCTACCTCATAGGTGAGTCCGGACCCATGCAGCATATATATATATATATATATATATATATATCCGTCTACAATACACTAACCGGTATCTATAGGGTTTGTCTTCTTTGTTGCAACTCTGCAAAAGGGACACTACAAATTCCAGTTTACCCAGTTTGCCTGGACTCACATGGCCCTATATCTCATTGTTGTCCAGGCTCACTTTGTCCTAAACAACATCTTCGAAGGGCTGATCTGGTTCTGTATCCCCGTATCTCTTGTGATTACAAATGATATCTTTGCCTACATCTGTGGAATCACATTCGGCCGGACCCAGTTGATCAAACTCTCCCCTAAGAAAACCGTCGAGGGCTTTGTCGGCGCTTGGGTATGCACAGTTATATTCGGCTATGGCGCAACAATCCTCCTGAAGCAGTACAAATATTTCACTTGCCCAGTCAACGATTTGGGCTCCAACCTCCTGACGGGTCTCGAATGCACTCCAAACCCTTGCTTCAAAGCACAGCCATACACCATGCCAGAATGGACTCACATCAACAAGACCTTCCACATCGCCCCCGTCCAATTCCACGTTTTTGTCCTTTCTACCTTTGCCTCCCTTATTGCTCCATTCGGTGGCTTCTTCGCCTCTGGGCTGAAGCGGACGTTCAAAATTAAGGACTTTGGAGAATCCATTCCCGGTCATGGTGGTATTACTGACCGAATGGACTGCCAGTTCATCATGGGCCTGTTCGCCTATATGTACTACCACAGCTTCATTGCCGTCCACAAGGCCAGTGTTGGAGGAGTCATCGAGAACGCCATCACCGGCTTAACGGTTGACGAACAGTTGGAGCTTATCAAGGGACTGAGCAAATACCTGTACAACCAGGGCGTTGTCTCTGAATCAGTAAGTATCTTGACCAAAACCGTAGATATACAGCCTTGCTAACATACTTATAGCTCGTGGAATGTTTGAACGGAGATTATAGACGACTCCGTCGATGATTGCTTTTTCTTGGTCCTAGAATGGGTTGCCGCCTGCGATGCTGCTGGTATCAGGCTGCTTACCCTTATTATGGCATGTTTTTTTACCCGCTGGTTTTTCTCGTCCTTCTACTTCGACTTGTATCATTCAACACATCACTTGATGAATATTTTGGGCCTTCTCCTAATCCTCCTTTATTGCATCATTTTATTCTCCTTTACTCCAAGCCCCAAAAAGATAACCGGTGCATTACATCATAACTGTATAGGCTTCTCATTCGAACGTGGATCACCTTCTCATATCATCTCTTACAGCAATTCTTTCCCGCCAGGAGCTCGACGGCAACTCTTTTACCTCTTATGAAATGAAAATATCTCTGCTTTTTTAATAAATGGCTTGTTCTGCATTGCTTCCTGGTATCGTCTCTAATAGTTACTGTTTCCATCTGCCATAGCTATCTTTGTACAACCAAAACTAACTCCCTTGTAGCTCTTTGGAATAGTAAGCATTTCCTAGTTAGTAGCTCATTATGTCTCTCTGTTGGAGGATAGAACACATTTTTGCCGTAAGGGGGCTGTTTCATCGGGAATTCTTCCAACCATGTCTATTCCCATGAAACATTGCAAGCAGGACGTAGAATCGAGGCTAGACGGCTAGTTCTTGTCCAAATCATCAAATCTTCGGCCAAGTCTCAAAATGGCTCAGCTTCTGGGTCAACAAAGCTTTGGCCACAGCGCAGCTGTGACAGCATGTGCCCAGGATGGCCATATGTGGGGTGTGTCTCTCTTCACATACACTGGAAGAGGCTGTCGATATCAGTCACAATCATGCTGTGTGGTGCCAGATAACGCAGCAGTCTTCTCGCCTAACCCTCGGTTGAGAGCTGAATTCCACTATAGTGTATCTTACAGCACTCACTCCTCAACTTCGTATTCTTCCATTTCGACCTTGAAGTATGCTGACACAGTCTCACGTTCAGCCTGCGCCTGTTCAGGATCCAACATAAACCGAATCGCCGTGTCTCGACTTCGTTCGTGGGCTTTAGCAACGGAATCATGAGCGGCAGTAGGCATCATTGGGTTTATGGGTGGTGCGGGAGGTGTTTCGGGGCGGTCTTTGCCGTGTCGGTGATGGCTATTTTTAGATTTCTTTGAAGAAGTCCCGTTTGATATGCCATTGCTTTCTGCCTTCCTCTTCTTCCAGTAAGCGAACCGTGGAATCTTATAGGAGTCCGCTTCTTCGTTCAACGGGATGCGGATGTTTAAGAAGACGTCGAGGCTAAAGTCAGGGCCAACTGAAGTTGACGAACGATTATGCGTGTACAGTTCAAGCAGATCGAGTATGGTTTCTGGAAATTTACCTGGTCAGAATAATAAATGATGATAAGGCAGGAGATTGGGAAACTGCATACCCATAACTTCAGCTCTTGATGTTTCCCATAATTTATATTCTTCCTCCGAGTGTATCTTGTCTACAGGCTCCTCAAGAAGCCTGGCTGCTAGCTCGAGACAGGCAAAGGCCATGGTAGCCGATGTTTGCTTAAGAGGGGCAAAGGTTCTGTAGAGATCCAAACTTATGGTGTATGCGACTCGTCCAACTTTGGAATCCTTATCAAGGCCGCACTGCCTTGTAAGTTTCATCAGGACCTTCTGAGGATGACGATTTCGGAAATCAAACCCAGAGGATTCTAACATCAGTCTCTCAAGACCGATAATAGACCGAGAATGGGATTCAAAAATCTGCAAATGTTCATCGTTAGAAAGATGGCACAATAAACATTTCGTGAAAGTATAAATCCCTAATGCAGCCAGTACATACCGGGTCATCTGCAGATAATTGTTCTGTTGGAGGTAGTTTAAGATTGTACGAGCAACATAGGATATCTCTAGATTTCTTTAACGTGTCCTCGATCTTGCACGCGGTAAATAGAGCAGCAGCAGCCGCTTCCTGTAATCGCAAACTTGTGAGTAAAAAGAACCTCCAAGAATGGCGAACAGCCTGTAATAACATAGTCGCAATACGTACTATGTAGTTATACTCGTTGTCCGGATGGACCAGCCGGAATTTGTGATAGTAAATTGACGCTGTGTTGAACGTCCTGACCGGCCTGGAGGTACCAATTAGTGAGTTGAGCAAAGAAACCGGAGACGGGGTCAAAGACAAATAACAGAATCACACATACAGGTGAAGAGCTTTGCGAACATTATCTATCCAGGTAATTCCCTGGAGCCGATTGCTGTCTTCCCGGAGAGGATTAACCCCCGTCGCAGCAAAGCAATCTTGCACTGTTTTTTCAAATATATAGGGATTGGCGACCTGTATAAAAGATGGGTGAGGTGCCACTGGTGCTACATCTGCTGGCTGCGCCTCAGGGGTACTCTCCTTCGCCGTCGGCGACATATTTCAATGCCGGTCGTCTGGTGCGTTCAAGTCAGCTGTAGCGGTGTTGAAATATTGAAATATTGAAATATATCCAGCAGGATAGACTAGCTTTCCAGAAAAGCGCGGTTGAAAGCTCGCGGCCGGCATCATGGAAGGTTGGCGCGCGGCAAAATGTATTTCCGGAAAAGGCAGTTCTGCCGCGCCAAACTCTAACATGTCATCTAGAGCTCTCCTTTCTCGAAAGCAATAATCTCTTTCGTTTTTACAAGAATGATCTGTGGTTTAATATGGATTTGCTGGTCTGATTATTTAGGATGCTCTCACGAGTGCTTCACGAAAGCTAACGGTTTTTCCTACAAAATACCCCGACAACGATGTAGACCAACTGCTCCATGAGCGTTTCATCCGGATACCTGATCATTCCCACTCTGTTCACTACGTGCTTTTCTCAAATGCTTTTCCGTCTTGGAATGGTTGGTAAGGGCTAGACCATCCATAAAAGAACGATTGCATGGCGAGCAGAAGTTATGTTTCTCCTGCTTCTGATGATCCTTCAGGGAATCCAGCTTCGCTGCCGAAAAGAGACATTGGCTTGCCATGCACTTATAAATATGCGATGTAGCCACATGCCTTTCGAAGCTTGACTGGCTACTCATGATCTCCTCACACTGGTCGCAATAGCAGTGCTGAGCTGTTTGTTGGTGCTGTTCTAATTCCTTTTGGGTTTGGAACACTTGCTTGCACGTCGGGCATGGCATGCTCATATGGTATACAAGATTGTGTTTGCGCTGGATGCTCTCATCTCGGAAGTAGCAACAACATACACCGCAAAAGCTGTGGTTTGTTGCTTGCTGGTGAGCCCACAGCTCATCGACACTTGCAGATACCGAAGCACATGTAGGGCATTTGAAATTATGTGCCACATCTATGTGCTTATCCAGGAACGTCCCGTCTGCAAAATAAGCATGGCAAAGGCCGCAATAGTTGTGATTTTCGTTCATCTGGTGATGCTGAAGCCCTATTATGGTGTTGAAGCCCGCTTCGCATTGGAAGCAGATGATTCTAGAGCTGGTTGTCGAGGCTGGCTTGGACGGTGAACTATCAGAACTGCACCAGCGTTCGCTCTCGGATAGATTGGTCTGCCTAGAAGGTGATGATGGTCCTAAATTACAGGCTCCTTCGGGCAGTGCCATTTTATTGAGAGCTTGGCCTGGCTTCCTGTCTAGCATTGCATGGTCAAAACCACAGTTTCTAAGAAAAGTCTCCAAGGACTCGGGTGTGAGGTTTTGTTTGCTCTCTATGTTGGCAGTCTGAGCCTCGTTCGTTTCATCATTATCTTGCAGATCAAGAAGGTCTCCCAGGGTTGGCTGGATTATGTTGTGTATCCTTGTGCCCGAGTGCGAAGACTCCATCAGCGTATCATGACCACTAAGGCGACGTGGAATTCTATGACTTGATGTGTTGACTCTGCGATCCTGGCTCATGTCGGAAGATTCTTTCGTACGGGAGACTTGAGGTCTAATATTCCTATGTCTATGTTAGTTTTGACTTTTAGGTCATCATAATAGACACTTCTCCATACCACGAATGATTGTATCTTTCATGCTCTTGGAAACTATACCAACTACCAAATCCCAGGTGACATTTTGGACATATTATAGCATTTCCTTCGCATGTATGTGCTTGATAGGCCTCTTCTGAGGCTATGAGAACTCCACAGCTTTCGCAATGGAACATTTCAGAGATATGCAGTTTAGCCTGTTATATACCCTGCGTCGGGCATATATTAGTATCACCAATGTGCTATAAACCAGATTTGGCCACATAAACCTACAATGGATATATATAGCCTGCAATTCTTATATATATGACGGAAACGCTGCATATAAACAACTGTCTGGAACACAAATGGCCTTTGTTTCCTACCTCTAATGGGTCTAATGTAAGGTTCAAGTTTTATGAAAAGGAAATGTAGATGAAGGCGGACAAACTAGGACGGGGGCAGCACAGTAATAATATACTTCTATAAGGAAGCATCTATTAATAATTTTTTTACTATCAACAGTACTTATCTGTTCTATCTTATAGCTCCATGGCACCTTAGTCTTATAGGGACCCTACAAATTTGATTTGTCTTCTGGTTGAATACTCCAGAAACTATATTATTAGGGAAGTTGAACCAGCCCTGAAACACATTTGGTATCCTAGGATACAGTCTCTATCCATCAATAAAGCAATACAATGCTATATTTATAGTTTTGCTATAAACAGGTAAGAAACTTTAGCTAAAAGTAGATATATGCACCTTACACAAACTTGTACTTCCAAGCCTACTTAGCCTAACAATGACCTCATGATTAATAATGCACAATATTGTAGTTTTGCTATATAAAAGCTGTCAAAGCACTTGAAATATACGGATTGGTAATTCAATTCTCTCAAAGGAAAAGAGGAGAAAATATCTAGAAACAATGGGACCTCCCCCTGATGCTGATATCCACCCAACTGCAACCGGTCGAGCGAAGGAGGTTGTTGACAAGCACTCCAAAGAGCAGCCACTCAAGCTGTACTCAGGCTGGTTTTGCCCGTACGTTTCAAGTTTTCATTCTCTAACAGATGGACATGAAAGAATGTCATCATCTTCTCACAATAAGTTTCTTTGACAATTGAATGATATTAACCAGGAAATAGGTTCGGTATGATATTACTCCCGGATCTCTCCATATAAACAAAGAACATACCTTGGTAAAAGGCAACCCTAACACACGAGTTATAGTCCAGCGGGTATGGATCGTCCTCGAAGAGAAAAAGATCCCATATCAATATATTGAAGTGAATCCTTATAAAAAACCGGACTCTCTTCTTGCCCTTAATCCACGGGGCTTAGTACCAACGCTTGCCTGTCCAACTATCCAGCCAGATGGATCGACTGCCATTAAACCATTATATGAATCCACCGTGATCAATGAATATCTTGAAGATGCATTCCCCAATCCGGAACGGCCATTGCACCCGGCAGATCCATACCAAAAGGCAAGGGGGCGTATCTGGATCGACCATGTGACCTCGCGAATCACCCCTTCTTTTTACCGTTTTCTTCAATACCAGGGTGAAGAGGAGGGGTTGAACAAAGCCCGAGAAGAGTTCCTAGGCCATTTAAAGGATTTCATCCTGGAAATGGATGAGATTGGTCCTTTCTTTCACGGAAGCAATTTTATGATGCCGGATATAATGCTCGCACCTTTGGCGATTAGATTCTGGGTTATTGACCACTTCAAGAAAGGTGGGCTAGGCATACCGGCTCCAGGCAAAGGAGGGAATGATGAAGTTGTTTGGAATAGGTGGAGAATGTGGTTGGCAGCAGTTGAGACAAGGGAAAGTGTGGCTTCGACTATGAGTGATAAGGAACACTCTATGCCTATTTATAAACGCTATGCAGATGATGTTGCTCAGAGTGAATTGGCAAAAGCAACAAGGGCTGGAAAGGGGGTACCTTGAACCTCTTCATCATAGGTAGAATGAAATACCCCCGGTTTGCGCTCTCAAAAGAGCAAATGTCTATATTATCATTTTCCATATTTTTTCAACAGCCTTTGCATTGTGGACATGGCAGATAAGCCATATCCCCCACCAAAAATGGCATTATGATTGAGTTGATGATATCTAGGGAAAAAACAACAAGACGTCAGCATTCCCTTGTCAACATTTGATTTGTAATTCTGAAGTGGAAAAAACCTACAATTCGTATAGATCAATCCGGTCTTCGTATTCTTCGACCGGTTCGGTTTTTGGCACAATCCGGTGATATTCTTTGAAGAATTGGCTCCCAAACCCACCAAACATCTTCATGATACCCAGTTCAAATTCACTGTGGGCGTAGCATGAGGATGGGTCGTAGACCACGTCACCTACCGCATCTTCTTCACTAGCTTGTCCCGCAGACACTCGGCATATCTTCCCTATATCAGTGTTGCCGCTCCAGAGATCCCCATGGACGATAACCGGAGTTACCGGTTTCCCATTCCCTGCCTTGTCGAACCCAAGGTGGTCATCGCCCAACAAGCGAGGAACAACCTCCTGGGCAGTCCTTTCCACCAGATCTCGTAAACGTTTATCTTTCCCGTTCCTTCTTTCAGATTCCTCAAGGACAGTTCTCAACCGTTGATTTGCGTAAAAATCTGCCCATGAACGCCTAAATTGATTGGGTTGCCTTACATCCCCACAGAAAGTCGGGACTGGAAACCCAAACTGAGGCACTCTCGCATCTTCCACGTTTCCATCATCACCCTCTGCACCATTCAACGTGAAATTTGTAGTTGCTGCCTGCCTGACCTCCTCACTGGTTGGTGGGGCCGGTGCCGGGATGGAATGCAATTTGCCCAATCTAGCCGCTAAGCTGGCTGGGTCCGAAGCTGGTCTGCGGCCGAGAGTGCCACGCAGTTGCAAAAATTCCGTGACAAGAAACCAGCTTGACGATGCGTTGGGTATTGCTCCACCGTTGTTATCATCGTCGTCATCTTTGATTTCACCCCATGCAAGTGCCCGAGGGCACATATCTGGAACAGCACCGGAGATTGCATTAAGGCTTGTATATTCACCTCTAAACATGGCTCCTTCTTCTGGGAAAGATGACGATGAGGCGGATGATGATATTTTCACGAAGAAATCTTTCTCTTGATTGGAATTGTTTTCATCTTTGCTTGTGTTGGAAATTGAGGCCTTAAGGTGGGCTGTTTGAGCGAAGCCCGACCCTCCATGAAGTGGCGTAAAGGACGTCCCAGCCCCATCTAGGGGCAGAGAGAGGGCCTTGAGGACAGATCTAGGAGCTTGACCAGCTGCACGAGACATCTTTTCGGAACTGTGCGTTTTTGTACTTATCGGTATTGGAGAGAAGATAGTCGCTTTATATTGATATTCTGATGATGAGGGTTGTTTTATCCCAGTCCTGCGCCCTGTTTGTTATCCCTGGAGGTCGTTGGCTATGAGCTCATTGCCGGCCCCCAGCCAGCCCATCACGTGTTTCATTAATTTAGCTCCTGAATATCAAGAAGATGCGTTTTTGTAAAATATATTCTACACATTATGAAGCGTAAGGAGTGGCAAAAATAGATACATCATCATGAGAAACTAACATGCTAGACGGCAGTTTATTGGCCCAAGAGCGTCTTCATCCAATCCAAAGCCGTTTTTGTCCGTTCTCTAACATCAGATTCGCTATCAATTTCCAAACTGCTCAGACGTTCCATAACCCCCAGGCTCTTCAACCTCATGGCGCGCTCAACCCGGCTAGTTTTATCAGTCTTGTCATCATCAAGAGTGAGATTAATCACTATCCAGACGCAATTGGCCCGAATCTGCCAGTTCGAGTGGCTTAGCAAGGCCATGGTTAGTTTGAGCAGGTCTTGGTGGAAGACTAGCAGGTGGCGATGTCGTGAGACGCCAGCGGCAATGTGGATCAGGACGTAAGTCACTGCGCGGATTATTTCGGTAGGGTGGAGTATTGATTTTTGTTGTGAGGTGGTTAATTTGTCCTTGAAGGAAGATATAGAAGCATTGGCGGTGGGAAGGGGTCTAGGACGGAGTTTGCTTGCAAGGATATCTAGGAAGTCGGTCTGGCCGAACTTCTGGAGGAGATAGTCGATCATGTCGGGCGCTCCCGGGCCACACATGATGTTTCGAAGCAAGTCAAAAAGCTCCTCCTGTGCTAGCGTATCGTCTTGGCGTAGTTTCTTGGTCTGGTCCAAATCTCCATTTAGCGCCAATCTGCGCTTCCGAACGTTCTCGGCGGATTGAGTATCAACGGCAGGTTTCGAGGCTATCGAACTATCTGGAATGTGGCCATCGAAGTCCATCATGGGAGACTCTGGTTCCAGGCCGCTGGGTATCACGGGGTTGAGGATATCTACTTGTTCGCCAAATGAATTTGAGGTGCCCATCTCTATGAGTGAGGATGGCAACTCGCTTGCAACGTCGTCCTGTCGTCTCCTGGCATTGACAGGATCGTTAGGGTCGTGAGAGAGAACCTGCTTGATCCACTCGATACCAAGAGCCTCTAGGATATCTTTCTTCATCTTGTTTGGTACATTATAGGAAATGTGTTTGAGAGACCAGAGGGATTCTATTCTAAGGTTTGCATTTGGTGAATGGGAATTTTCGCACAATAGCGGGACCATGTTTGCCTCAAGAAGAGCCTGCACGTAGGTTAGCCTGAAGAGTGATTCACTCATGAAAAGGGGCAGTTTCCCACGTAGAAGTATACATACCTCCTTCATTGGGCTGAAATCAAGGGCCAAGTTGCACATTACTGATGTGGCCGCGATTTGTATTTCGATATTGCTGGATTTAACCAAGTCGCATATTGGCGCAGCAATGCCGGCATCAATCAAGCTGGTTCTAAGCACACTGACTGATCGAGTCAACGATCTAGCAGCGGCACAAGCTGCGAGTATAACTGGCGTTGTATTCCCTTCCAATTCGGTAATGCAAGTCTTGTTCCCTAGAACAGTTGTTTCCGGGTTCCAGGGCTTCATTGAGTCAATGATATGCTGAACAACACCAGTATCGCATATAGCCTTTCTGTAATCGTCATTAACTAGGGAGAGTGCAGCCAGGGCTTTGAGAATGGCTTCTCGGTATTTTATCTTGGAGAGGGCCTGGCGGGTGAATCCTGGGGGTCCCAAAGACGTGTCTGAGTCTGTTGACTGAACTAGGACTGTGGCAGGTCTCTTTGTTGTACTCCACATAGGGGTACCGGCTTCTGAAGTTGGCGCAAACGACTCTTTCAGCATTTGGGTGAGTTTCTTGATAGCACCGCTATCGACGGCGAATTTTTGCAGCTCTCGGCTATCCATGACCAAGGAGGCTAGCACAGCGGGAGCTTCCTCTTTAACACGCAGGGTGTAACTATCGAAAGTGGAAGAGTCTTCAGCATGGTGAGCACTGTCGAGCATTCTAACTAGGAGAGGAACCAGGAGAAATCCGAGCATGGGGACGCGGCTTTTCTTCAGGAGATGATGGCGGAATAGGGTAGCAAGTATTCGAGCCGCCATAAGACGGACATAACCACGGTCTGCTCGGGCAACATAAAGCAACCACGATACCAACACGCTCTCTGGCTCTTCTGGAGCAGGACTATCGGTACAAGGCGGCTGAGGGCCAAAGAACTGTCCTCGCTTGTCATACTGAGGTTGCGAGCCCAATGGGGGAAAATTGGGTGAGCCATTGTTTTGCATCGGCTGCACTGACGGGAGAAGGGAATCAATGGGATTCAAAACGTTGCGTTTGGTAAAGCCATAACCGGATGGATAGGGAGATCTCCATGGGCCCTTTTTAGCCTCACCGAGATAGAGGTCATAGAATGAGCGGGGAAACACGGTGACCAAAGCGGGACATGTCAAGAGATGTTCTGCGCGAGCCGCGGACTGTTCGATGATGACGGCAATAGCACGGAGGATGGGAGTTAGTTTGGCATCGGCTGGAGCAGGATCTGGTATGTGACCCAATGCGCCGGAGTTGGTACAGGAATTCTCTGCTCCGGGAAGAACAAACCCCCCCGCAACGACGAAAGCTGCCAGCCTTAAACCCAGGACATCCAAAATGCCGCACTCAGCTAGAAGGCTCTTCTGCTGCTCTCCGGAGCATGTCTTCGAGATGAGGTCTGCTACAAGCTCTATGCAAGGTTGGGCACCGGGAGAGTTGCCTGGTTGCTGTAAGATGCCACGGAAAGTAGAGATGTACTTGCGGGTGAAGAGGAGGGCACCCATGGGCTGTGTCTGGTTATCCACATTTTGATATACCAAGGCAAGCTGATCCGCAATTGTGTTGAGGGTTCGAAGGACAGCGAGGGCGAGGGATCGAGGACATGAGGGCGATGATAGTACGGAGAGCAACGAGGGAATGGTCTCCCCAGCCAAAATAGGGGCGGTATACGCCGGTCCACCTAGCAAAGTAAGAATTAGCATGACCGATACAAATCACACAGGAAGAGTACTAATTAAAGATGAGGCGCATACCAAGGGCGAGGCTGCCGATAATGGTAATGGCCTGGAAGCACATCTCATCCTCCTCTGTGGTGTGCTGTTTCGGGCCATGACTATGAAAATCGGCCTTCCTGGCCACGCCACGCCGGCTGAACAGGACATCTGACAGGAGCGGCAGGACACCTAGCTCTGTCCAGGCCTGCTTCTTCTGGTTATGGCCGATGATATCATTCTTGAGCGCGCGGAGGGCGGCAATCCGGCCAGCGGTTGAGTCCGCGCTGCGAACATCGTCGAGGAGGTGCGGGCTAACGACTTTCGTCATCCTGCAAGAAGGTATCCAAGGCAGGCAGACTGACGAACGTGAGGCCAGCCCGCAAATACTAACGGATGGGCAAAAAGACGGAGGAATGGAAAGCTTCTCTCGATCTTTTTGCCTGGCTCTTGGGTGTTTTGGTGTTTGAGGCAGGCGGGACGAGAAAACGGTGTAGGACAGCCGAGAACAGGAGGGCTGGGGAGGCAAACAGGGAGACGAGGAAACAAGACAGATGCAACGGAGAACGCCACGCAGGTAGTTGTTCCACACGGCCTGCGGCTAGGTAGGGTAGAATATCGAGAGAGGGAGCTCGACTCCGGCGTTTTGGCAGGAGAGGTTTCGGTGAGTTAGGAGTTAAAGACCCGAACAAACAACTAGGAAGTTAAGAGCATTTAGTTAGCTAACCCTGCCCACTGTCCATATCAGCAGCACCCACTCACGCTCTCTCTCTCTCTCTTTCTCACACACAGTCACACGCACACACTCTCTCTTTATGGCTGCTGGCGTCTCTTTTCTTTGCACTCCGAGAGGATGTTTTCTGCTTCTCTTTGGCCGCCCAAAAAGACGCCCCGTCGTCGTCTTGCCCAAAAGAGGACTGCTTATGTAACTCTGCTTATCTAAGCGAACTGCTGTCCCGAAGCAGCCTAGCGCTGATCATCTTATCTAATCAATCCTGGGTCTGGCCCGGCAAGCTCCAGCCAATCACCGTCGCCGCTGTTCATCCCCTTAGTCATCACATCCCCAGATCACATGACTCCATGCACTCTATCACGTGACATCATCTGTGCCCATTTCACGTGACTAAACCCTAACCTTAAACGGGGTCCCCCTCTCTCTTTTGTCTTTTCTGCCGCCCGCCACCGCCTTCCCCCTTTTTTTGCAAAAAAAAAAAAAAAAAAAAAGTTGAAAATAAAAATAAAAATAATAAAAAATAAAAATAAACACCGCAAAAACTTCCTTTTTTCTTCCTTTTTGCAACTTCGACCTTTTTCTCGACCTTTAAGGCTTTCTCGTCGTCTTCAGTCTTCGTCTTCGTCTTCGTCTCTGCAGTTCTTTTCCCTTGCTGCGTCTTCTCGTTTCTTTTCTGGTCTTCCTCTCCTCTCCTCTCCTCTCCTCTCCTCTCTCTCTCTGTCTCTCTCTCTCTCTATCCCTGGGCCCTGTTTTTCTCTCCTTCTTATATAGCTATACGATGCGCAGCTCGATGTTGCTGCAGCCCGCACGCTCGCCCCTGCCGCCTCGCCATAGACCCAGCACTCCTCGCCCACGTGCGCCCCTCCATGCCCATCGCCAGCAGCGACTCCAGCGACTCCAGCAGCAGCAAGAAGAAGAAGAAGCAGAGGCAGAGGCAGACGCAGGAGACGCAGGAGAAGAAGCGCCCGCAGACTCGCAGCGGCGGCGATGATGGCCTCCTCCGCCGCCTCCCTGTCGCCGACCACTGCCGCGCTGCTACGCGCCTCGCCGAACTCTCGTCCTCACCACCACCACAACCACCACAACCACCACAACCACCATCACAACCACCACAACAGCAATAGCAACAGCAACAGCAACAGCTTCAGCCACCAGAGTCACCACTGCAACAGCGGCCTCCAGCAGCGTCCGTCTCCGCTCCTGGCCTCGACCACGCCTCGCTCCTCGCCGCGGCAGACAGCGACCAGCCAGCAGCAGCAGCACTCGGCAGACAGCGGCTCCTGCTCCTCGCCCGAGATCGAGCAGCTGCGGACGACCTTCAAGCGGCAGACGGTAGATGCGGGCACCCAGTACTCCCGGCCCTCGACCCCGTCTGATCCTGCTGCCGCCGCCGCCGCCGGTGAGAGTTCACGTATGCCGGGCACTGCCATAGGGACCAAACGCACCCCTCCAGATGCGACGAAGGTGATTGCCGGCCCCGGACCTGCGTCCGCTCCAGCTCTCTCCAAAAATCCCCATTCCCAGCAACAACCACAGCAACAACAACAATCACAGCAGCAGCAGCAGCAGCAGCAGCAGCAACCACAACAACTGCCACAGCAACAACAGGCTCGCCAGCAGAACCAGCGCCGGCAGCAATTGGATGACGATGACAGGCCGCCGGAAGGTTCGGCCTCCAAGAGGTTACGGCCTGCCAAACCCCCGGTCAAGCTTCTCCCTCGACGCTATGAAGCTGCAGACCCGCGGGACCTGGTAGTCCTGATCTCAAGCATGATCATGGAGCTCATCCGCTTCAACGACCAGATCCCGCTCCGGGACGGCAGGCTGACTCGGTTTCACTCCCGCTCGCCGCCCCGGATCTCGGTCCAGGACTACCTGCAGCGTCTCACCACTCACGCAACCCTCTCGCCTCCTATCTTGCTAAGCATGGTGTACTACATAGACCGTCTTTGCGCGCTCTACCCGGCCTTCACCATCTCCAGCTTGACCGTCCACCGGTTCCTCATCAGCAGTGCCACCGTCGCCAGCAAGGGACTCAGTGACAGCTTCTGGACCAACAAGACCTACGCCCGAGTGGGAGGCATCAGCGTAGAGGAGCTGGCTCTCCTGGAACTAGAGTTTCTCTGGCGGGTGGAATGGCGTATCGTGCCCCAGCCAGAGGTCCTTGTTGACTACTATCTCAGCCTGGTCGAGCGCTGCGACGACTACGAGATGCAACCAGAGCTTCCTCCGCCGATTCCCCCGGCAGTGACGGCAGCCGGAGGTGCTCGGTCAATCCGGGCGCCTGCTGCTGCTCCTCCTGCTGCTGCTCCTGCGCCTGCCCCGAGACCCGCACCAGCTGCTTCCTCTGCGCCAGCCGACTCTCAACCCAAATCCCACGTAAAACCTGAGCCCTCAACCACCACCGCCGCCGCCGCCGACGAAAAGACCGAGCCAGACTCTGCGCAGAGCACAGCATCTTCTTCCACATAACTCATAATACTCAAAACCCAACCCTATAATACTGGGTTATGCCGCGTTCTCTTCACGTTCTAGCTCATGCACTGCTTGGTTCGGGATTCTCTTTTCACCCTTTTTTTACATTTTTTTTGGCTGGCGGTGCTTCAGGCGTTTGGGCTCGTTCTCTTCGTGTTTATTCTTTCATGCAAATAGATGATTTTAGAGAAACGGCTGGAGCTGCTTCACCGGGCTTTTCCGTTCGATCTTTGATCTATACATACGTGTGGTAAATAGTTCTCACGCAAAGAGAGTCAACTGTCAGACAGCCCCCAGTTTCATATGGGCGCTGCATTTAATGCTACTCTCTCCTCTTCTATTCCAGCCTGATGCCCCCGCCTATATCTTTTATTACTTGCAGTATATTCAACTTCTATGTAGATTTTCCCAAGAGCATGGCCCTCTGTATCCTATTCGCCCCTTACCACTCCAAATATTCAAATGCATGACCATGAAGGTACGATTCTTGAGTGTTCACCATATACTAGTTATTTGCCTTGTTGATGCCGCCGCGAGTTTTACTTTAGGGCAGCCAGGGCTTGGCACAAAATTCAATTCTGGAACTTCTCTCCCTTCCTCGTCACAGCGTACAGTATGCAACATACAACATTTTGATAGCTATGGACGATAACTCGATGGCCCATGCATGTCGATGATAGTATTGGGAACATCCTATAGACTACAACATGCTGTTGCGCAGTCTGTCTTGCCACAGCTAATCTTCCGCTCAAAGGTAGACAGACCCCTTTCTCCCTCTACCGGGATACACTGCCGCATTCCTAACTCGGTAGTATATACAGTCATATCTCTGTATCAAAGCCGGCTTCCATACCCGTACCATGGCCGTAGAGGAAAGATTAAGGGGTATCAAACCCTTACAAGGAGAACTGGACACTCTGCCTTCTGTCCAGGAACTTCGGCCAGTTGATTCGTTTGGTTAGAACCACCTCACCCTCCACCATGTTGAATTGAAGCAGGCCGTGTTCTAACAGGCCTATAGAAGAAGCATACGTCGCTGAGATCGACATAAAGTCGTCAAATGTAGTCGTCAAACTACTTGATACCCATTACCCGAGAAACCCTGAAGTCAGCCGGTCCCATCTGCGCAGGCTCCTACGGCCAGAAAACCTCCCGGAACCGTTGAGACAGGAGCTTGAAGAGGCCCAAGGACCAAAGCCCACTGCTTCAATCCATGTGCTCATCCCACCACCTTTGCCGGAAACATCAGAGCTGCAAGCCCTACTGGCACCGTATACCCCTAGAATATCACCGCCCAGTCACAGTGGATCCGACACCACCACCACCACCACCGCGACGACGACGACGGAACAACCGTCACCAGAAAAGCTACCTACAGTCCGGATCCAAAAGACACTCATCTCCACCAAACCACCTACAACTCCCGCCGAAGCACTCGAATGGTCCCGCACAAAATGGTCCACGATATATAACCCTGCAGCACGAGTTGCGGCCCACGCACCACCACAAGTCCAGCTTGTGCGAGCCAAAGCCTCCATATATCCCCGAGCAGGCTTCTTTTTAGCCTTGGCAAAGGAGGTAGCGAATGAGACCGTACAATCCGGTCGAGGCCGTGGTGTAGGCGTGGTCATCGTCGACCCTGAACTCACAGTCGGGAAGCCAGATGACACAAACGACCTATTGAATGCCGTTGTTGCAGTTTCAGGGGATACGAGGTGGTGGAAAGCTTCGCTAGGACATGAGCATGAGCATGGGCACGAGCACGAGCACAAACAACATCAGGAAAAGGAATATTCCATTGACGATGAGGCTGGGCCCGAAAGCCATGCGGTTATGCGGGGCATATCAATGGTGTCGAGAAAACGAATAGCGTTGAACAGGCCTGTCGCCGATGAAGTGGAAGAAGAAGTATCTGCTCCAGAGGAAGTAGAGTCGGCCCCGTTATCGTCGACTTCGCTTGAATCGCATTTCTTTCAATTGCCTAATCTACTCAAGTCCTCGAAGGGTGGGTATCTGTGCACAGGTCTGGATTTGTACATTACGCATGAGCCATGTATATGCTGCTCGATGGGGATGCTGCTTTCGCGTTTCCGAAGCATCACCGTTTTGAGTTCTGGTATGCGAAGGTCCGCGGAGAGCAATGCGCTGGACGCTGTGAATGGGTACGGACTGCACTGGAGAGAAGAGCTTAATTGGAGAGCCATTGGGTTCGAGTTTTTCGAATCAGGAGGTGGGGAAGGCAAGGCTGAAAGGGAAGAGGAGTTTAATGCTTGAGCCATTGTCACATATTGCTTTTGTTGCATTCTATGGATGGGGAAATGGATAGACAGGCATCGCATTTCGTTTGGTATTCTTGAGCTCGTTTACCTGCTTTGTGCCATGGCGCTTAACGGGGGGGAGGGGGTTTGATAAATAGCACGGCTTTTACTCAGTGGTGCTTGGCCTGTCAACTTGAAGAGCATGAAATAACTACAAGTTAAAATATGTGGAAACAGAATACGTGCTTTTTTTTTTTTCGGGCTTTTGTTTTTCATAGAATAAAAAGGAAAACACTCGGGTGGTTGGTAATTAGTTAATACATAGGTAGGATAGAATAGAACCGAAATGCCGGTAAGACCGATTTATTTTATCCCCAACCCCCAGAAATAACCGGAAAAAAAAATTACAGGGTACAAAAAGGAAAAATAATCCCGCCTCCATTATATGAGAATGAGATGAATCATAATCACCAGCATGCATCATAATCCCAATAGCCGATTTTTGTAGAGCAATACCATTCTGCCGCTGTGAACCAGGCCGTAAATGCGTGTCACAACAGAACGTTGGTCATCATCATAGCCAAATAAGGAATGGGAACATAAATCGAAAGTGAGATGGAGAGGGTGGATGAGAGGGTTAAGCCTCTTGATTTTTTTTTACTTTGCGTCTCGGAGAACGGCTGCCCACTGAGTAATTGGTGGGATTCGGTGGAGAATGGGGTCATTAGGTGTTTTCTGCGCAATGGAGATGAACAACGCTTCGAGGCGCTGGATCAGAATATCCATGATGCGAGGTCCAATTTCGCTAATGGAAGGGTCCTGGATGTCAAAGTTAGTAAAGGTACATTACATCCGTAGGATGACGAACGGCTTACCGAAATATTGACAGTGCGAAGAACGTGCTGCAGCCAATTCAAGCGCTCCATGATGTGGGTGTCCATAGAAGCGGTCACTGCTGCACTGACAGAGAGAGCAACTACAGGTGACAAGCTTCCAAGGTACGATGGGTTGTAATTCACAAATAGGTTACTGAAGAGCTCGGACTGCTGGGAAGATTGAAGCCACTATATGGAATTATCATCAGTATCAAACAAGCTTCTAACGGGAATTTTGTAATGGCACGTGTGGGTATACCTTAATAGACGCCTCCTCGTATCTTCTCTCCTCCATAAGCTGGCCGATCTGAGTAAGTTCGCTGGGTTCGTCAGAAGGTTGGACGTTTTGAGTCTCGCGTTGTGCGGGGACGGCTTGCTTCTGCGGGGACTCTGGCTCCTGCACAGGCATCTGCTTGTGGAGCTTGAGTATCTCAGCGCCGAAACTATTCTGAGCCTGGGCAATCGTGGACATGGAGTCGTTCATGTTGTTGACCAATGACACAAGCTGGTCAATTTTGACGCTATCCTTGATCTGTTGGTTTTCAAGATGCTTCATTTTGGTAGAAAATTTCCGTTCCACATCCCTGGCGACCTTCTCGGCAGTATGAGCTTGCTCCTCCTTGAACACCGAAACGATATTCTTAACGGCATTCGAAAGTCCCCTGTCAAAGTGGCTAGTGATGGAGGGCAGCATAATCTCAGTCATGGCACGGACAGTAGCAGGGGTTTGCATTGCTTTAGCAATTGCGTCTGGTAAGGCAGCCTTGACTGCACCATTGATTTGTCTATCAAGGGCAGAAGCGGTGTTATCCTTCAGGGCTGGAAGCACAGACTGCTTAATGCTTTCGGAGACAATGTGGGCAAGTGTTTTCTCAACATTTTCAGACAACGTCTTCGAAACTAGGCGCAATACCTCATCCTGACGAATAGTCGCAAGCTTATCTTGAGCGCGACGATCATCTTCGAAACGGCGATACACGGTATCGAGTCCACCATTAAGGGATGCAGTGAACATGGATGTCAAATTCTGTTCGATCTTCTGCACCTCCTTAGACAAAGCTTGCATAGACATAACTGATTCGCCTGGTATTTCGGCCTCGACCTGGCGAGACCGAGGTTGCTCCACTGGAGCCTGTTTTCGACCAATGACCTGCTTAACAGGCGACAAAATTGGGGCATCAGAAGACTCCTCTGTTGCCTTTGTAGTTTCTTTCAATTTGGCTGCTGCTTCTTTCTTCTTTTTCTTTTTGTCTGGCTTTTCGCCTGTGGCTTGTTCCTGCTGAGACTGGGTAGTGGTAGACGCGGATTCTGCTACCGATCTCTTCTTTGGAGACTCAGGAACAGACGAGTTGGTAGCAGATGCAGCTTCCTTCTTCGTTTCCTTATTGTCATGGCGCGGGCTCTTGGAAAGTGTACTGCCTTCTTCACCTCGGCTGCTATCATCCGCTGGCTGGACAGGTTGAATATCCCTGATCTCAATATACCCTTTCTCCAATGCATCTACCGATTCAACAATTTTGTTGTCGATGTCCCAACCCAGGTCAAGCTTTTTGATGCTGAGGCAGGTTACTCCTCGCGAATGCATAATATACAGCTCAAACAAGCCATTATCTTCCTGGCCTGGTGACTTAGTCAATGGGAGAAGTTGAAGACTTCGTAATTGGCCGCGTGAACCAAAAGAGATTTCTCGGATTCCGCTCATGCAAGCGGTTGATTCGGGTTTGGGAAGGTCAGGATCTTTGTTCGTCACAGCCTGAATGAAAGCAGCCTGAGACATTGGAGGAAGTGCATATCTGGGTGCAGACAAATGGATGAAATAAATTGAGTTTCTAGTTGGGTGGCCAACAACAATGATGCCAGAACCTGGGTGGTATGCGATACTGCAAATTGCGTCTGATTCGTTACCGTGAGGGAAGTTCAACTCCTGTACGGCCTTTCCTAGGCCTAGGTCCCAAAGCTGCAGAGTATGGTTTTGTTTCAAACCCACAAGGATGTATCTCAGGGCATGGGCCTTCAGATAAGGCCTCTGTTTGTCAATGAAAACAACAGAGGTTGGCCAGCACTTTTCATTGGAGGAACCAGTAACAAGAGTCAGGAGAGGGATGCGGATATCGCATTTGTTGGCCATTAGCATTTCATCAATGTCACGGAGATCCCAGAATCTCAACCTGCCGGTCTTGTCGAGCGACGCAATGACGGTATCATCACCACTGAAAACGAAGTCCTTACCAGCCTTCCCAGTAGCAATTTTGATAGACTTCTCCTTGAAGTACTTTTCTGTATCCACTTTCCCTGGAGAGGTGAAACCATACTCGGCCAAAGCGACACGAGGTCTAACGATGTGAATAGACTTTCCACGGCCTATAGCGAAGAATTCAGGATGGCGAGAGCTTTGCTTCGCGCGAGTCTTCAATTGTCCGCCAGATGTATTCTCGTCAGATGTTGGGAAGGGTGGGAAGATCAAGCTCTGAGATTCAAGAGCGTCCGACTCGAAATAATCATCGTCCGCACGGGAAATAGTAGTCCAGTAAACGGAGCCGCTAACGCCGATACCAAGGAAAGCCTGCTCTTTGATAGCAGAGCCGGGCGGTGCCTGGGCTACGGAGACGTTAAACATTCTGTCATTGGTTGAGCGGAAGATCTGTCGGTCATGACCATCATCCTGGCGAATGATACGGGCTCCGCCGTTTTTCGCAAGAGCATAAACGATATATTCAGAAGTTGCTGAAGTGAGTGAACGATCAAGCTGGTCAAATCCTTTCTTCAGGCGGGCAATATCCATCACTCCATCGTCACGAATGCCAACGGGTTTCAAATTTGTCTTCCACGTAATGGATACAAATGGCTTCAACGGGAAGTTGTAGACGGGGACAATGCGGTCAGTCTCCGCCTCCGTCTCCCAGTTATCCGCCACATTTTCGTTTTTAGTCTCCAATTTGGTATTTTTAACAGTCTCGTCGTCACCGGAAATAGTTACAACTTTACCAGGTTTCTTAGTATCTTCCTCCTCTGGAGGCTCTAAGGCACCATGCATAAGTTTGTGCGAGTTGGCCGTAGCATTTCCTGGGATATCACTTCCAGGAGCAGAAGGCTCAGCGGTGAGCTTCTCAGATACTGGTGCAGATTTCTCCACTTTAGCACCTGAGATAGCGACTGGTGTGCCTTCAACCCCTTCGGCAGCTTCCGGAGTGGAAACCCCTCTTTTGTCCTGATCGGTAGATTCATTAGGCCCAGGGGTCACAGTTTGCTGCCCTTGGGCTTTCTCTAGTGTAGGCTGAGCAACAGAAGGCTTTGAAGCCTCGGGTGAATTGCTCTTGGCTTTTGGAATATCCTTTCCTGCTGGGCCAGTTCCAACTGAGGGGCTGGCGCGCCCGGACTGCGGCTGGCTGTTCGGGGACCGATTCCTCGAAGATGCCGCGGCAAGGTGCTCGAAGGGGTTGACATGGCTGAAGATGGTTCCTTTGTTTGCTGCTTTGGGTTGCAACGGATCAAACTGAGTAACCTCGATAGCATCAGCCGAGCCAAAATTCCGGGCAGAAGCATCTTTACGTTCCTCGGCCGAAGAGCTGGAAAGATGCGCTGGAATATTACTGGTATTGGTATTATTCATAGCTTGACCCGAGGTTTGAGGAGCAGATGTTAAATCGGCCCCCTTTGGACTTTGAGCGGGTGGCTGGTTCAACAGCCTCAGCAGCATTTCCTGAGTTGCATCCCCAGAAGGCGTAGGAGCCAGACCCGGCTTTTCAGCTGGGCTGTGTCTCCCTGGCACAGCAGATGACGGGCCTGGAGGAGGAGAAGCAGCACAAGTCGGTGGACCACGGAGGGAGGCGAGTATGTCAGAAGCTGAAATGTTGCGCTGACCAGGCATACGGAGGCCATTACCGTTAGCACCATCATGCCCAATTGGTTCAACACGCGCTGGGGTGCCGGATGGGAGTCCCGTCTCGGCTGGCGGGTTGGAGCTCTGTCCACCTGGAGGCTGGCTAAATTTCAGCAATTTGAGCAAGTTGGCGCGATCGGAGCTCATAGGTTGCTGATTAGCCTCGCTCTGCGGGGTGGAACTATTGGGGCTTATCACGTCCGATCCATGATGAGGGGGGTTGGAAGGGGGTGGAGGGCTAAGGATGGGCGAGGAAGCGTATGGCGCGGCATAGCTGAACTGCGTAGGCGACGTGATGCCAGGCGAACCCCCGCTCCGTTGCTGGTGCTGGTGCTGAGCGAACTGCCCGGTATAAAAGGGTGACTGGCTCTCATAAGAGGGTCCGCTGGGAGACGGGCGAGGTTTTATTCTCGCGAGCAGAGCTTGCAAGTCTGCAGGGGAGCCGGAACCAGCCATGGCAAGGAGCGACGATAGCTCAAGCTACCCGGGACCGGGTTGTAAGGAAAGGCGAGAAAGGGAGAAGAAAAAACGCGACACCAAGCTGGCAGGCAACCGTGCTAATGCAATTCTAACGAAAGGAGAAGAGAAAACGGAAGAGAGAGGGAGACGAATTGAACGGGATGGAGATGGAGATGAAGGAGAAGAAGAAGTGAGGTTGGAGGTTGGAGGTTGAAGAAGCAAAAATAATATTAATTTGGTCGGTTTTAGTTGGCGGTCGAGCTGTTTGCACTGTTTGCAGGTCTGGCTTAGTAAACGGCCGTTTCGGACTTAGAAAGTTGGCAGGCGAGAAAAGAAAAGAACGACTTTGGGCCTTGCAACGAACGGTGATGCTGCCGGGGATCGAGAGCGAGCGAGCGAGAGAGAGAGAGAGAAGACCGGAATATAGGATCAAGGCTCAGGAAGAGGCAGAATTGAAAAGAAGAAGAAGAAGAAGAAGAAGAGAAAAAACAAGAGAGAGAAGAGAAAGTGACAGCTGCAACGTCCGATGGTGAGCTGCTAACCAAGGGTTCATTCCTGCTCTATAACGGCATCGGTTCCTTTCTACTGGCTGGCGACCCCGATATCCAAATATGTTTTGTCTTAGAAGGTATGCAGATATATCCCGTATGCTTGGACTCCTCTATGGTACGGCCTTGGAACGACGACGGCTAACCTATATTGCACAGCTGGCTTCCCCTCCTTTTCATTCCAACGAACGCAAGCCCTCTGTTTATCCTCTCCTTCGTCACCCTCACTTACATCCTCCATCGACCCTGTATATACTGCTCTGCCCTCCTTCTGATCCTGTTCATCTCATCATGTCACTGGTCGGACCGCTGCTTCTTTGACCTCAAGGCGGATTGGTTTGCCCCGCGCTTCGCTCATTTGCCAGTAGCAGCCCCGACGATGAACGCAACTGCGACGACTCCGGCTCTTAACTCGACTTCCAGCGAGTTGACGGGGTATGTGCTTGATACCGTGAATACAACAGCCACTGCTCTGATGGGGGCTGCGCTTGAAGAAGCAAAACGCCGTGTCATGCCGAACGCATCATTGAGCGCCAACGAACCAGAATGGACTGGTATTGGCCTCGAGTGGTTCAGGAGTTTGCTGGGACGCAGGGAGTGGACTCTCCCGTGTGTTGATGTGAAGGTTAGACTGTAGATCAAGAGAGACCCTTTTCTACCCGTTATTCTGACAAATTTGAATATGCATGCAACTATATTGTGTTTTCTTCCACGGTTGTGGACTTGCAGCTTTGTTTTTCAACGACGAGCGACCTTCATGTCTTTTATGAGGCACGCCAGTTAGAGCGTATCATTGTATTGTTTTTTGTACCCTCTGGTCCTGCGCATTCACTTAATACCCCCCATTTTCCTACCGATCTAACTAATGTATACCACAAACTGTACTTTGTTCAATCAATCGAGGCCATGCCCCCCAAGATCCCTCAGGCTTGTCATAAAAATGTCCCAGAGAGCAAGCTTCTGTCAGACCAATCCAGAACGGGATATATTAAGCATCCAGCTAGGCAACCAAACCTTCTTTCGCTAGCGTTGATGCTCGACTCGAAGGTATAAAAGTCAACACGAAATCTCCTGTAGACTGGGCTAGAGAATCAAGCAAGTTATACTTACTATCATTGAATCAATGCTCAAACTGACACAATGGGCTTCTCACACGTTGGCCTGACAGTCCCAGATGACAAGTTCGAGGACACGGTCTCTTTCTACCTAGCTGCTCTAGCTCCGCTGGGTTTCAAAGAGCACCTCCGGCCCCATCCAAAAGTAGTTGGCATGGGCGTGTACTACCCGGAGTTCTGGATCTCTTCGAACGCCGTGCCTAGTTCAAGTGCCGGTATTGATGTACCTGCTGGCAGCAAAGATGTTGTGTTTGGTAGTACGCATATTGCGTTCAGCACGGGGAGTAAGTGATACTTCTATCTCTTTTTCGAGGAGCTCGGTATGTGCGAAAGGGCAGGTTCTAACTGTCTACCATAACATAGATCGAGAACTTGTTCATGCATTTTATGATGCTGCGCTGAAGCATGGCGGAAAATCGAATGGTGGTCCTGGTGTACGACCTCAGTATACACGATTCTACTACGCGGCGTTCGTGTTTGACCCGGCAGGAAATAATATCGAAACAGTATGTCTGTGGCCGGCCTGGTGTCATTGGAAGTACTGGTTTGGCATGGGTGTGTTTGGCAGACAAAAGACTGAGTAGATGGGAAGGAGGTCGGGAAGGGGGAAGCCAGTCAATTTATAAGTCTGTTTATTCTATATACGTTAACAATACTAGCTAGTACAGGTATATACCTGACGATGGAACCAACAGAGAAAGCAGTTAAACGAGCTAGGAGCGCGAGACAAGGACGAGAAAAGGAAATTAAAATAACTGAGAAAAGCAAGGGAAATAATATCAAGGAGATTCATCAACGCAGAAAGACATATTTGACTGAAACAGTGTAGGAACGTAAAGCAGTAGAGAAAATTGAACCAGCGTACACTAAACCAAAGTGAGTATCATAAAGCAGGAGCTAAAAATAGTTGCCATGTAGGGGATGTCGAGGTAAGGGCGAAGGGTGCTAGGGTGAGGGTTAAAATTATAAGATTAACATTCCACCTGAAGTGGTATGAGTGGGTTGGACATCAATTAAAATATTGATGGGCGGGAAAGGATAAGGGGATGGGGGGGGGGGGGGAGAGCATAAAGATAGAAAAGGAATGGCGTGGAGGTGTTGGGTATGTGGACGTCGGTAAGTAGGGACACGGTATGGGGGGTATATGGGGCCATTTCAAACATCTTGCGATAGAAAATGGCCTGTAGATATAATAAACAGAAAAAGATATGAGACAAAATTCGAACATTTGGCAATTACCCAACGCCTGTTCTGGATTTTTTTTTTTTTTTTTTTTTTTTTTTGTTTCCTGTTTTCTCTTTCTTTACTTTCACGTCTCTCGTAATATTCAAATACTTCATTCTGTTCATTCATTTGCTTCTTCCGGTTCGAAACGTCAAGGGATATCTTTGTCGACATCTCACTCGTAAGTAATAAGCGATATCTGTTAATTCGAGAAAGGCATGACAAAGTCGGAATTTAACTGTATGCTCCGCTAACGTTCATTGGCCAGTCGTCTTCAGTAATGCTGCTCCAGAAAACCCACACCATGATGACGGCACCAAAATTGAAAAGGGTCTCAAAGAAGGCGCCGTTGATTTTTCCGTCGGTGGCATTGCAGAGGTGTGTGCTAATGACGAATTGGAAAATCTGGCTCAGAGCAAAGAGAAGGCCAGCAACGGAAAGGTATACTAGTGGAAGTTAGCCTAAGTTATGAGGTCGACACAGCTAGACAGTAACTTACGCATGGGTCTCTTCTCCTTGAGCACCTTGACAACCAAGAAGGTCTCGAGAAGGAAGAATCCGACTATGCAAATCAGTGGAAAAAGAAGGTATAGAATGTACAATCCTATATTTTGGTTGGGGGCGCGGTGGCTGGATTGGAAGCGGCCTGTCCATGCAAAGGCGGTATCGAGGGCAATGTACCCAGTACCGACGAAGAGGATGAGAGCTGAGGTGACGAGAAGACCAAGCGAGACGGCGGTACCATCATCAATGAGCTGGTAGCCGACAATGGCATTGAGAAGGAGCAGCCAGGCAGTGGCACAAATGGCAGCAACATGAGCCGCGGAAAAGCCCTATAGAGACCACAAAAATCAGTGGGAAGCAATTCGAACATATATGAGAGAGATATATACCTTTCTAATAGAGTCGCTGAGCGGGAAAGCGCCGACTGAAAAGATCTCGCAAATAGAAATGATGATGAAGCCGATCAGGAACAGTTGCATTTCCCTGCCATTCACAGTTAGTCGAGAGTCAAAAACTCTGACGATCCAACAAAAAAAAACAATAAGAAAAAGGCCTCACCTTCGGCCGACTGCAGCCCTTTTTCTTTCCGACCGCCATATTAAGAACAGCGTTGAGAAGATGGCGATGAAGCAAAGTAATATGGAACCTAATTGGATCTGGTAAGTCATGATGTTCGACCATGGATAGCTTTCAAGAGGACATATCGTAGCCGTACCCAAGTTTCCGACATGTCGACCGCTGCTAAGATTGATTCCCGTCAAGGCACACCCGCCGTACTTTTCATTTGGTGGTTGATTGTCCCGGATGAAGAGCTGTCATGGCTGTTAGTACATAGTATATAACCTGCCACTTCAGGTCTATAAGGGCCAAGACTGGAAACGTACATTGCACACTGGAAGTGTCGAGTCCCGGCAGAAATCCTATATCCCCAAGTCAGCGCCATGTCCTCGTAGCAATTCATCATAATGTTCCGGGGCGCTAAAGTTCCAGCGCTGTCCAGAGCAGTCCTGGAGGAAGTAACAAGATGAGGTCCGGTGTGCGTACGTGAAACTTGCCAAACTGCGTCGACCCCATGATGGGACTCTTTCTGCCCTGGCGAACCTATGCGTCTTTTCCTCCCCCCTGGGCAAACACAAGTATGTAGCGACAGTCGATAGAAGCCAGCAATGGCAGTTCAGAAAGCAGAAAGGCAAGAAGCCGAGGTTTTCCTGGTATTCAGTCTTGATGTGGAGTTGCCGGTCGGTGTGATAAGGCGAGCGATTCGATAATAACCAACCCAAGCGCTCAACAGCCTGGCCGGGGAGGACTTCGAAGAATTCGGCGGTGCGAAAGGTGTGGCAGCGAGGAAGATGGCGCTGTCGAATGTCTCGAGGTTGAGGTTGTCGGTGTCTGGAGTCTCTGTGCGAGATGTGGCAGGCTGGGAGGTTGTTGACAAGAGGGAGGAAAAATGTCAGATGGAGTTGTTCCTGGTGGAGAGAGTCCACTTCCTGGTACGCCACAGCAAGCTTCGGTCTGCTTCCTTTTTCTCTTTCCTGGGTAACGCTGAGACTAGCCTGCGATCGATCGATAAGGGCGGGAACATCGATCACCTTTCCCTGTCACCATCACGGAGCGCAACAAGCAGCACGAGAAGGAAGACGCTGGCGACGACGGCGGGCGTTGTCGAGAAGCAGCAAAGACGCAGCAGAAGAAGCGTTTCTGTCGATGGCTTTTTGCGTTTCAGGGGACGTATTTTTGGGTGCAGTTCCGCTGTATCGCGGTGACGAGGTACTGCTGTATCAGGTATTGTCACGGCGGTGTATCAAGCACCCAGGCACGGCTAATTTCTGGCCAATCAGACGGCGGGACAGGCCGAGATGGCGGTGGCTTTGCAGGGCAGTGAGTGGAGCCAAGGCCTGTCCTGGCGTAAGAAGCGTAATTTACCTGCCAGGCTGATACGCGACGGTACGATCCGCGGGTGCCTTGCGTTGTCACGGCCTTACAGATGATACATCAGTCCAGCAAGGTGCCTGCAGCAGGCTGATCATGCATGGCGGAGATGACAAAGGTGTTTGTTTATGGAGAGGACGACGAGGACGGCGAGGAAGAGGGGGTCGGCAGCAGGATGAAGCAAGTGTATAAGTAGAGAGGGCCAGCCGTGGTTCGGAGCCCGGAGCAAAAGAGACGGGAGGGAGAGAGGAGGAAATGGAAGCCAGGGCAGGGAGTCTATGCATGAAACAGCTGGAGGCCAGGGCGGTGCTATCGATGAAACTTCGGAGCTACCCAGTACGGTAACTCAGCAAAGGAGTTAAAGGTCCTTAATTCGAGGGATGAGGGTAAGCTCGACGTTGGTGCGGGACGCAAGATGCGAGATGCTAGTGACATGCTTAACCTGCATCGATACGAGAAGATCGAAATTCCCCTGGGCCTTTTGGCTCTCTACAAAGACAAGAAGATGGCAAGACAGGTAACTGGGCATTCAATGTCTCTGTACAGAGTACAGAGTAAAAAAAGCCATGATACAACTTCCAATTTCCATCGCTTGGGGCGGGAGTTGCCATGCCAGCTAGTCGTCGACGCTACAAACGGCTGTGCTCAGAATACTCCATAGTAAGTTAGATATCAGCCTCTATTCTCGCTCGTGGCGTCGGTAGCAAGCCATACAGCAGTCATCTCGCTTCTTCTTGGTCCACGTAGCGCCCTCTTAGCACACGTTTTCAACAACGAGCTCCTTGCCGTCTCCCTCGCCTAGCTCAACTTTCAAGGTACGCCCAAAGACTTCAAACATCATCTCGGCGCACACCTTGGTCAGTGCTGGGTCATACCGACCTTTGCTTAGCTCGTCCCTGATAAATGCATCTTTGAGAATGGTCAGCCAACCTAATTCTCCGTAGAGGTATCCGTACATAATGGCTGCTGCAGTCAGGGGATAGATAGCTGTGACATACGCTGTGCCCAAGCAGCTTCATAGAAGCTGAAGCAGACACCCTTCTCATGTAGGGTGCTACGAATCAAATCTCGACCTGGCGCTGGGACGTGGTTGTCATTCTTGCCGAAGATCTATGTAAGGGTGGTTAGCAGATAGTTTTTTTTTTAGCACCTCTACAACTATAATAGAAACCAAAAAAAATTCTATGGCTATCAGACATACCATTACTAGTTCCCCTTTGATATCACCTGCTCGCTGGAGAGAGTCATCATTCTTCCCTTCTCCGAGCGAATGACTGTGGATATCGGTTGCAAAGTAACACACGGCAGCCTGGATACGTGAGTCGAGTGCACATCTGTACGCTAGATGGCCTCCCAGACACATTCCAGTGGCACCCACGCGACCGTTGCAAGTAGGTAGGGAAAGCAGGTAGTCCACGCAAAGGCGAGCATCCTCATCATATGCAGCTAGTTTCTACGTTGTAGGAGCACGTTAAAGTTAATCGAGAAACTCATAGTTATTGCAAACAGTACGCTTACCTTGGTGATCTTCCATTTATTGCCGTTATCTGTATCCTCGGCATTGTACTGCAGTGGCTCGGGGCCGGTGAATTCATGGTAGCTAGATGGTGCAGCACAGATATATCCCTGGCCAGCTATCATGCGTGCAAACCGTGCAACCGGGCCAGTAACTAAAGCATACAACGTTAGAATGGCGCGTTTCGCGGTTCGATTTGACAGATACCTTGGTATATCTCGCTGAAGACTACTACTCCCGGGAACTTTGCACTAGGATAGCCTGGGATAGTGGGATGGAAGACGTATATTCCTATAATGCTCGTGTTAGCTGCGGCCTTGCTGATGGACGTCAGAGAGGCGGGTTAGAGACTCACTCATCTGCCCCTCTCCGGCGACAGTCGTCTTCACATCATGGGTAGATTCCTTTACTAGCATGATTGCGACTGCAGGCGGGAGTTACTGGATCTCGCTATTTAACTAGAGCCACCTGGCTAGATCTCAATCAGCTCTGCCACTGGAGCTGCAAACTATGTATGTTGTAGTCTCTAGAGTTGGTGTTGATGGATTTTAACCAGTCAAGTCTCCAAATCAAACGCCGCTTTTAGGCCTACCAACAGCTTCCTGCATACATACATATACATCGCGCAAGAAGCCACTGCCATTAAAGTACAGGCTTACGAGTAATTTAATTACTCGGTGTAGCTTGATAGTTGGAGCAGTGAGAAGATAAAGCTAGAACAGGAACCCCTTTTTTTGCTGATACGTTTCTCAATACATGAGGTGATATAAGAGAAGTAATGCGGGTAGAAAGGAGGTAGGTAGGCGGATCGAGAAGACACAGAGGAACTGAGAAGTTCATAAGGCGGAGGGGAAGGATAGGGTAAGCTGATGGTCTGATGGTCAGGAGTCTTAAGAGTAAAAGGGCGGGTTTTTTGGTTGGACAAGTAAGAAAAGACTGGGTAGAGCCAGAATCCCGTGCATTTTGTGCACCATATATATCCTGCCACAAGCTATACACAAGCAAATATGTGCAGAACATATGTAGTAATACAAATAAGCAGGGGCTATTTTGATGATTTGAGGGGTTTCTTTTGAAAGAGTTAGTAATACTAATATAATAGTATCGCATGGGTGTTAGTAGTAGTAAATGGTAGTTAGTATAAAGCAAAGCGTGCATTTATCGTTCTTTGGGTAGATTTTTTTTTTTTATCAGTGACGCTAAAATTCGCTTAAGCGCTGTGAATACGCTGGTAAAAGAGGAGATATGCAACTTTGTTATCTCGAGAAGCGCCGAAACGGGCGCTGCTGGAAGCTGTGGGGGTGCCTTTGCCGGAGTCGGCTTTAGGCGAGGCATTACCGCTAGCAGCAGCGGCGGCGGCAGCAGCGGCGGCCATGGATTTTTGCCTAGAGTGGCTGCCCGAGCCAGAGCCATTGACTTGGCTCCAACCTCTCCCGTTATCTGGGTGGTCTTGCTCGTCAGCATCAAATTGGTCATAGATGTTGTTGCTGGAAGTTTGGTCACTAGAATTATTGTGGCGCTCAAGGGCGGCAGAGAGCAGTTTTGGATCCTCTTCACTACCGCCAAAGGCTACTTCTTCACTTCGTACACGGCGGATGTAGGTGTCGTCAAAGCGGACCCATTCACGTCCATCCTGCCGGCGGACTTCAACCGTGTAATGCCCCCCACTTGCACTCTTGCCATGATGATAGATAACTCCAATGAGGCGGTATTTGGGGAGGCTGCCGTTCTGGGCAGAAAGGGCATTACGGCGGTGTGGGGGGAAGACCTCCTTGGGTATCTCCAGTTCAAGTGGGTATCCAATCTTCTTCCAGATCTTTTGCGTGCCATTGGTGACGTTATCATACTGGAAGCGCTTGAGGTGAAGGATGAGGACAGGGGGTAGATTCTCAATGAAGACTTGTTTGGTAGCATTGACTTTGGGTCCACGGGATGATTGGAAATCTCCATGCATGGTTTCGGGCTTGGTAAGGCCCTTGAGGGCGTCGATAATGTTGTTGACCTGAGGGGATCCAATGTCAAGTTGAAGTGACTGATAGGGTTCAAGAGTTACAGAGTTTTTGTTTCCAGGCACCCTGAACTCTGATCGGATTTTACCGCTGAAAATACGTGTAATGGGCGATTCGCCAGAGCTATCGCCGGACGACCTGGTGACTGATGCTTTCTGTTTGTGGCCAACCTCCAGCCAGCCGTCACCAGTAGAATCATCTGCGATGGAATGAGCATCCACATCAGAAGAAGTAGAAACGTCGGACTTGTCTGCCATGGCATTCTTAGTTGCCAGGAGGCATTCATCATGGAGCTCTTCGAGAAGGAAGCCAAGGAATTCCTGGGCATCTTGCTGATGACCGCGCTATGACGGAGTTAACGAAACTGACGGCGTATAAAAAAGCAAGCGCCAAACTTACTCTCATGTCCCTAAAACGCGGGAGATGTCGAATAACTTGATAAACATATTCTGGAATAAAAGATTCGCCGTACTCCTCCAATTCGTTTTGTTTCAACCGAAGCCTTAATTTTTCCACCGAAGATGCCGCATCAATAACCCTGAATTCCCGTAGAAACATAATCCTAAAGAGTACATTAGCACAGGGAACAGAAATATTTAGTCAAGAGCAGACAGAGCGCAACTTACATAGCATCCACTAAAGGGCTGTCACTTTTGAAGCTATGGGCCGCACGACGGCCAATCTGATCAAGAAATTCATAAAACGGAACGCAAAAGATTAAAACTTGTAGGATCTGAGTAGGATTGTCAGTGCTGGTTGAATTGATATGTGTGTGTGTGTGTGTGTGTCACAGGAGGGCGACTTACAGAATTCATATAGCACATATTTCCCGTATTTACAAGGCCACGAGGTTCTAAGAAAGCAATTTTTTCGCTATACTGATCAACATTCGAACCAAAGCTGTTGAGTGCTTCAGCCAAAGATTCACCCCGAGTGAGCGCCAAGGCACCGGCTTGAGGAGAAGCAGCAGTTGATTGTTTTGCAGCGGCCTTTGAGCGAACAAGGTCAGCCCAAGATTTTGGGGCAGCCCGTTGCGGTGCTGGATATGGGGTTGTGTTGCTGGTAGTCTCGGAGGAAGCTGGCGGCTGTGATTCTTCCTCGGTTGGAACATGTCCGTTTTCCATGACTGTTGGAGCTGCTGCCTCGGTTGCACCCGTTTTCTCAGGAGTAGTCTGAGCTGAAGATTTGGATTGCTTGGAGGCTGATGGGCTTTGGGCAACTAATGGAACGACGGGGACTACCGGAACACCTGCTCTTGTAGTGCTAGCCTGGCGGGCGTGTGCTGGAGTTTGTTGAGCGACGGTGGCTGAGGGCAGAGACGGAGTATCTGCTTCGGATTGGGCCACAGAAGCTGGCTTAGCTGGTTGGTCTTCAGCATTATTCCCCTGAGGTTCGGTGTCTTCAGTTTCATTCTCGTCCTTGGAAGGCAATTCTACGGCGAGGGAAGAAGGCTGAGTAACACGGTTCTTACGGCGACGTCGTGGAGGCTTGGAAGGAAAGGGAGCCTCTGGAACGGAAAGCCAAGGTAACTATTAGGTTAGTAGAAAAAGCACCTGTCAGTAACTATATTGATATAATTACAGCTTGCCAATTTTTTTCGTTTGAGAAAAAATCGAGGGTTTGCAAGACCAAGCACCGGAACTCACTGGAGGTTGGAATACCTGTCTTACGCCTGACCGAGCCTCTGGTCTTCTGGCGGTGATTGGAGGTGGTGTAGGGCGTGCACTGTTGTTGGTAGAAGCATTGGTTGAGGCATTGCTGCCCACTTCACTGCCAGAGCGGGTTAGAGAATGCTGCGCAGACTGATCCTCCTGCGGCTCAGTGATGGCCGGTGTAGACAGGGAAACGGGAGGCGTGGGCGAGAAGGCCGACGGGTGAGATGTAATGGGAGTGCTGGACTGTGTCCGGAGGGCTGGAGACATGTGTGGTGGAGGCGGCGCGTGGTTCGGGGGTTGGGGCCGAGGATATGAGCAAACAATCAATGGGGTATTATACTGGGGGTAAGGCTGCATTGGAGGAGGGTGAGGAGGCATCTGCTGGTACGGGTACCAGTTCTGGAAGTTCTGGGGTCCGTACGGCGGCGGCATGGGCACTGGCCCGTGGGCGTGAGCGTGAGTGTGAGCGTGAGCATGTCCGTGTGAATGGCCGAGTGCGTGCGGGTGCGGATGGGGGTGGTGGTAGGCCATGTAGCCGGGCGACCTGACGTTGGGCGGCGCGGACGAGTACGGCACCTCGTGCTGCCGCCGCGGAGGGGGCATGGGAGGCTGCCCATGCGGCAGAGGAGGGGGGTGATGGTTCATCGCGGGCACAAAAGGACCAGTGGTGTCTTGGGAGTTTTATTTTTCTTTCCTGTGGTCCCTTTCAGCGGTTCTCGGAGGCGGCTTGACTGGCTGTCAAAATGCGCTCTGCTTGGACGCCATGCATAGTAGTCGACCAGACAGGCCAGTTCTTGCGGGCAGGAGGCGACACTCTTATCAGATTATCGAGGAGCCCGTCTGTCGGTCGAGCAGTGAATGGCGGTTGGCCGTTGGTCAAGGGGAATCTGGTCGCTGAGAGTGTGAGGTTAGTCAGGTATTTTCTGATTCTGATCGCTGGCTCGCCCACGCTCCACTAAAAAAATAATATTCCACACAACTCACAGACGACGGGCAACGGCCAGCGCAGGACGAGCAGCACGCGCAGACGTCGGCAGCCGCAAGAGCTCGTAGGTATCTCGCTCTACCGGGCGTGGGCGGGCAGGAATGTTGTCTGGAGATCGAAAGCTCTCTTTTGGCGGCGTCGCTTTTTCGGTTTGAGGTCGTTGAGAATTCCCAAAAAGGGAAATTTTGTCCCCCCGAGCAAGGATAAGGTCACGGGACCACAGCGCCAGCCCGCCAGGCGAAGCTCGCGTTGGGCAGCGAGAGAGCGACGGCGAGAGAGACGGCGAGAGAGAGAGAGAGAGAGAGAAATGGGCTTGGTCGGACGAGACGAGGCCGTAGAAGGGGCCAATGGGTGTCGCCAGCTCGCTCCAGACGGTTTGCTGGTCTCTCTTGGAGCCCTTTCTTATGGAAGGGAGAGGGAGGCATGGAGGAAGGCCGCTTGCTGTGTTATTTTGCTGGCGCTGCGGCAGGTTTGCGCTGTGTTTGTCCTGTTTGCATCCTCGGGTCGCCCCTCTTCCCTTCGTGGTGGTTGAAAAGCCGCGATGGAGACGGCGAAGACGACGACAGACGACGACGACGACGACGTGAGACGGAGACGGAGGAGACGAAGAGCGACTTTCCCACCCTTCCTGCGTGCATCATCTTCAGCGTTGTTGTTGAGCCCAGTCTCTACGGCGTCGGCGTCTTTAGGGAGGCAGAGGCGGCAGTGACATGACGGGCCCCGTCCTGGCAGCTTCAGTGTCATCGTCAAGCGGAGCTGGGAGACAGACCCCCCGGAGAGGCGCAAACAATGTCGGCAGGCCCAGGACAGTCCTCTGCGCCATCTAAACTGACCGGGAACTCCAGCCAGCCGGCGTCATACCATCCACCGTCGCAGTCACACTCGTTTGGGCCGGACTCTCCAGCTCGTCGTGTCTCGGGCCCGCTCGTGGGAGGCCAGTCGTCCAGCAACCTAGCTTCGGCCAGGAACAACCAGTCGAAGAAGGCGAACCACAAGCGTCAGCGGAAACCTCGTCTGGTGGACGAGGATGCTATTGCTGAAGCCGTGCGTGTCTTTCATAGTCCTTTGTTCTGAGATCGTTAATCCAGAGAACAAACCCCCCTCGACTGACTCAAGATGTAGGCAGCCATGAGGTCAACTTCCAGCAGAAAGGGCCAAACCTCTATCACTCACTTGATGAACTTTTCGCTACCTCCACGGCCTCACTCATCTCCTTTCCGGCCCCATCGTCACGTAACCTACCATTCCGGCTCACACCGTGTTGATAAAGCGAGGTACGGCTAACCCCCCTAAATTCCGGCACGGCAACAACACAAATGTCAGAGACCGAGACCAGGCTGACTGAACGGTTTACATGCAGATACGTCAATGCAAACTACCGGTTTATAGTGAATCCAAAGAAGAATTACCATGCACAGGCCACTAATGCAGACGTCCACCTGGATTGGGACACTGTGCTGCAGGTGTTGGTGTCGACGTCGTCCTCCCAGCCCACCAGCTGTCCCATCTGTCTCTGTGTTCCCGTAGCTCCACGGATGGCCAAATGTGGACACATATTCTGTCTGCCTTGTCTTATCCGCTTTCTACACACTGTCGATGACCAGGATGCACCTCCTGTCAAAAAGGCGAGATGGAAGAAATGCCCAATTTGTTGGGATCCGGTTTACATGTCCGAAACCAGATGTGTACGGTGGTACTCCGGCCAGCAGATCGATACGTTGATGGAAGGCGGGGATGTCTTTCTCAGGCTAGTCATGCGTCACCCTGGCAGCACTCTTGCACTTCCCCGGGATGGGGCCGACCGACACCCTCACGGACCCGAGGACGATCTCCCGTGGTATAATGCAGCAGAAGTAACCGACTATGCACGGTTCATGAAGGGCGGAGAGGAGTACATGATATCTCAGTATGATGCCGAGCTCGAGGCTCTTGAGAAGCAAGAACAGGAAGACGAGCTTCTTTTTGGGCAGGACTCAACATGGACCCAGAAGGCCATGGCTGCCATTAGAGAAGCCAAAGAAAAGATCAAGGGAATTGGTAACCCGCCTCATTTCCATAGAAATGACGGAAAAGAGGACAAACATGAACAGGATCTATCCCTATCTAACTCACCACATACAGAAAAGACCCCGGCTTCGCATTTGCCTGGAACATCATCACATTCAGTGCATGACACAACACCCAGAAATAATTCAGGAAACGCAGGTGAAGTTGAGGATATCTCGTCTAGGGTGTCTAAGCTTGATATACACCATCAGCCGCATACCAAGCAATCAGCTCCATCATCGGATGAAAGGACAATCCACTCGACCGCCAACGAATCGGAAAGGGGCCATCCTCCTGATGTGCCATACTATTTCTACCAAGCTCTGCCCCATTTCTATCTCTCGTCTCTTGACATACGAATTCTAAAATCTGCGTTTGGCGACTTTTCAATGTTCCCATCCACCATACTACCCCGAGTCGAGCACATTTCTACAGGCCATATCATGGACGACGACCTACGCAAACGTGCCAAGTATCTAAGCCATCTACCCCATGGCTGTGAGCTGACCTTTCTAGAATGCGACTGGACCGACCTGGTCAGCCCCAGCGTTCTTGAGAAATTCAGTGTCGACATTGAACGCCGCCGGAAGCGAAATCGCGAGAAGGCAGCCCGTGAAGAGAAGGAGCGTATCCGTGCTGAACGGGAGGAAGATGAGAAGCGGCTAGCAGGAGCTAGCCGACGGAAGAGGTCCAGCCTGTCGTCTCCTAGTGAGCGACCCTTCAGCGCTAGTGACTTCCAGCCACTTGGCCCCGGCGCAAGCAGCCAGGCCGCCAACGACGACCATGTAGACACCAGTGTTTCCACCGCCTCGCCTCCATGGTCCTCTTCGCAGAGCCGCAACAACCAGAACCACCAGTCGTTTGCGGCTCTAGCAACGCCGTCGAACAGCCCCCCTTCCCGCCGGACAGTATGGGGTACAGCTGTGGTCGAATCCAGCTCCCCCACTGCCGGTTCGAGTCGGGAGCCCTACCCTCCCAACCATGATGACGGCTGGCTTCAAGACTGGGAGGCAGAGCTCCTGGCCGAGCAGCGGGAGCTCATCATGCATGGCACCAACTCCAATAGTGGCAATAGTAGCGGGACTGGTAAGCACACACCCGGTGCCACACCGGGTAAGAAGAAGAAGGCTAAGAAGATCACACTCATGTCTACCAATGCACGACGAGCAGCATAGCCGTTCGCAAGAGGCCTGCCTGGCTACAAGTCAGCTCGCTTCAAATAATACTAACCACACCTCCTTCAGTATCTTTCCTATCCTACTTCAGTGATAAATGGCAGATTCAGCCTTTCTGGGGTATTTCTGAGCCTCATCTCCTGGCTCATTCTCTCAAATGTTAATAGAATCCATCTGTCGACAGAGACAGGTTTGCATCCGTATATAATACATCAAACATCAAACAGGCAGTGCAATAATGGCAACGCGGCCCCCGTCCTACCTTGCATATATCTTCCAGTAGCCGTCCAGTCGATATTATAAACAAACAACGCCCAGCCGCGCCCTGGCTAACTGCATCGTCGCTAGCCTACTGTCTAGCGCTGCCTAGTGTGCATCTTAGCCTCTTCGCATTCGCTTGCCAGGGATTCTCCAGCTTTGTTGCTTGCTGCAGCCAGAGAGTCAAGACGGGATCCAGCAAAGTCAATTGGACACTCGGCTCTACTCTGATAAACACAGAAAGAAATAAATAAAAAAAATAAAAAATAAAAGTCATAAAAAAGGACGAAGAAGAAAAGAGGAAGAAGGGAAGGAAAAGGGAAGTAGAAAAAGAAAAGCTGAGGATCTGCCTGAATATTTGGGCCTCTCTGGTCTTCTCCATTTAATTTCAGGTACCCTCAGGGGCTCTGGTTGGCAAGCAAGCCCTGCCGGGTCAGGCCTGAATGCTCTCGCTCTCCCCCGCCAGATTTGCCCCCTATTATTTTCTCTCCCCCTTCTCTTAATCTCTCGCTGGCACACCGTCTGTTCCGTTCCTTTTTTTTTTTTTCTGCTGCAGAAGCGCCCTGTGGAATATTCAAGTATCCGTTGCTTCAGCTTCGCCATGACGGTGACACGATCACAGACCGGGAAGACCCCTAAGTAAGTGGCCCCCCAAGCCTTTTTGCGGCAGGACAAGAGCGCCCCGTGGGAATCTGAGGCGCGATAGATAGATAAATAGCTGGCCTGCGACGCCTGCCAGCTGGTTCCCCCCGATCTCTTTTCTCCTCGACAAGGGCAAAAGGGAAATCATTAGAAACAAGTACACGGCTGACGGTTGGTGTTATTGGAAACCTCTAGAAAAGCGCAGCAGGACGCATATCTCGAGACTCCGCGGCGCATCACACGGAGTCGCTCGTCTGCCACGCCCGAAGTGAGCTCAGATCTCGCAGACTCGATAGAGAAGCCGAAGATGTCCAGTCCTCGCAAGCGAGCCACGGCAAAGAAGGCGGAGGAGCTCAGGGAAGAGGTCGAGGAGCATGTCTCGACTGCCAATGGCTCCAACGGCGCTGCTAACGGCGCTGTCAACGGTGCTGCTGCTGCGAATGGCCACAGTGAGAAGAAAGCCGAAGCAGAGCAGACTACGGAAGACCACAAGATCACCGACCACATCGAGTTTGGCGGGACTCCAGGCGTGACGGCGATGATGATAGGATTCCCTGCGCTGATGTACTACATGTGGATTGGAGCAACTTACTACGACGGCGCATTCCCAACTCCCTCAGAGGGCCAGTCCATGCCCGACTTCCTGCAACACCTCCTTAACCTGGTATATACCGGCGCATTCCCATCGCTCAAGGCATGGACGATCTACTGGGGGTTTTTCATCTTCGAGGCCCTCGCATACATGTATCTGCCCGGAATCACCGTCAAGGGCAGACCATTGGATCACCTGGGAGGAAAGCAGTTGACCTATTACTGCTCGGCTGTTTCGTCCTTTTATACTACTATCGTTCTGGCGGTTATCCTTCATGTCACCGGAGTGTTCAAGCTGTATACCATCATGGATGAGTTTGGTCCGATCATGAGCGTAGCCATCATCACCGGCTTCGTCATCTCTATCATTGCTTATTTCTCTGCCATTGCCCGCGGTGCTCAGCATCGCGTGACCGGTTACCCTATTTACGACTTCTTCATGGGCGCAGAATTGAACCCGAGACTTTTTGGGATCTTGGACTTCAAGATGTTCTTCGAGGTCCGGCTGCCATGGTACATCCTTTTGCTTGTGTCCATGGGTGCTGCTGCCAGACAGTATGAGCTCTACGGATACGTCTCTGGAGAAGTAGGCTTCATCCTCATGGCACACTTTTTGTATGCCAACGCATGCTCAAAGGGAGAGGAGTTGATCATCCCTACTTGGTATGAACCTTTGGCGCATAATACGTTGCTCTCCTATAGCATCTAACACTTATCTCTTTAGGGACATTTACTATGAAAAATGGGGTTTCATGCTTATCTTCTGGAACTTGGCTGGTGTTCCGCTCAGCTACTGTCATTGCACTGTCTTCCTGGCCAACCGTCATCCTTCAACCTATGCCTGGAACAAATACGCCCTTGCCTTCCTCTACATCGCCTACCTTTTCGTCTACTGGGTCTGGGACACCACCAACAGCCAGAAAAATAGATTCCGCCAGGAGTCCCGTGGCCTCGCTGTGATCAGAAACACCTTCCCGCAGCTCCCATGGCAGACCGTCAAGAACCCAAAGACAATTACCTCCAAGAAAGGGGACACCATCCTTGCCGATGGCTGGTGTAAGTTTTGCGAGATGAAATAAAACATTGTTGTTATTATGGCTGTGCTAACGTTAATGTCAGACGGATATGCCCGAAAAATCCACTACACTTGTGATCTCTACTTCGCCATCAACTGGGGCTTGATTACTGGATTCACCAGCCCATTCCCTTGGTTCTACCCCGTCTTCTTCGCCGCCATGATCACCCATCGTGCTACCCGAGATATCCAGCGATGCCGTGCCAAGTATGGAGAGGCATGGACAGAGTATGAGAAGCAGGTCCCTTATCTTTTCATCCCCGTAAGTCCACCAACCGCATCTTTTATGACTGGCTTACACCAAACTAACCTGTTTTATTCCAGTACGTAATTTAAGTGACCGAAGATCACTATATTAATCACTTGAAGTCGAGCCGTCGCCAAAAGTTTTAGCGCATAGACTTCTTGCCTTCCTCCCTTTTTATTCTATCGTCTGCGTCTTGCGCCCTTCGCTTGGCCTTGGTTTCGTTCTTCCTTTTATTTTATTTTCTCCCCTACATATATACGTCTTTTATCCTACTATCATTTTGATTTAATTGGAGGTACCTGTTTACCTTCCCTACGGCCAGGGAAAAAGGAATGCGAACGAAAGTGAAGATAGAAAGATGAATTACAACATACATAGATATGTAAAGAAGAAATGAATTATCTGCTTGCAAATGCACACGCTCTCTCCTCTGCTCACTCGGTCTCCCACCCGAACCTGCTCGACTAGCTCGGCCTTCGACCATACACAAACCTCATCTGAACATAGAGGTGTGACTGAGGGTCGGTAAAGTCGTTCCGCACAGCTGTAAAAAGGACATCAAGCTCTTCCATGGTCCAACCAAGGACCCGGGTAAATACTGCCATTGAGCCAGACTCCAGCCACTCCTGAATATTCATTGCTTGATAGTGACCTATCTCTTTCATCTTTGGGTCTGGTGACCATCGTCCCACAGGCACCTATGCATAGGAAGATCAGCTCAACTTGCACAACACCAGCCTTGTGTATCACCAACTGCATCATACCCACCTTAATTACTTCTTCAACAACGTCTACAAATCCTGCTGCCCTCATCTTTTCCGCCCAGGTCTGTTCGACGTTCAACGGTTTGCCAAATTTCCGATACCCTTTTACTAGTAATTTTTGCCACAGGTTGGCTGTCACTGCCCGTTCCCGAGTTCCGTCATCCGAAAAGAAGTTTGCTTCGGTACTTTGCACTTCGAGATATCCGCCAGGAAGCAGATTTTCGTACGCCTGTGCAAAGAACTTATCATAATCTGATATAGAGCCTACCAGGTTGCGGGCATGGATGTAGCTGAAGTGGTATGACTCGGGGTACTGCCATTCCTCTTCAAAGTCATCTATCTCGAATGTGCAGTTACGTGGCATCCTGAATTGAGAGGTAGAGGTAAGTAAGTATATTTAACCTGCCTTTCTATTTTCTATTAGCTTTCTTACCATAGTCTTTGGATAGGACTTAGATCCGTCCCTGGTTAGTTCCACGTCAGTAACGTCCACCACAGTTTGATATCGGCGGCAATGCATGCATACCTAGGACCTCACAGCGAGGATGGCGCCTTTGATATATGTAAGGTTAGTAATGCTTCTTTCTACCCCAGCAATACCTCTCGCGAATTTGAATTGGTTATCTCACTCCGCAAATTCAAACGCCCAAGTACCAGTCCCAGTCCCTAGGTCAAGTACACGCTCTGGACTTCCCTTCAATGGGGCTCGATGTAGTTTGCCGTTTAGAAGAAGGTAACATATCCTATGCTCCTTTGTATCAAATCAGTAAGAGAGACACGGGGAGGCTGTTCCTGGTTCATAAAAATGAACACTTACTAAGTCCATACGATCCTGTTCTCTCTTATCATTTGGCTTTCCAGGGGTATATAAGTAAGTTCACGGCTCTCTACTTGGATAGACAGGTGTTTGTATATCCTTGGCAACTAACCAAAAGGTATGCTCCATCGCGATAGCCGTGGTATCGCCGTTGATTCTACAGTCAAGTTGGAAGCCATGTCAGACTGGACGGTGTATTTCCTTCTGCGACCAAGTCTGACACTGCAAACAGGTCCATAAGACGAGGTATACCAGGGTTAATGAACCTACTTCATATCTATGTGGTTACACAATGACTAGAGTTAGCAAGGCTCAAGATTGGATGGAACTGTCGTGGGGAGTCAGTCACCTATAGTTGTATACAGTTGAAGAAACAGATGTAGTTCCGCTGCGCCGAGGGACACGATGACGTTAGCACAGAGCAGTCCGATTCATAGAACCCCAGCTCCCTTTGAGAGTGCTTTAATGATGGCGGTTTACTTACAGGTGAGATTGTGACCAAATATCGGTTTCATACTCTGTAGGGGAGTCTCCGTTATCCTACACCGAGTTAGGCATCACAAAGCAGGCTGAAGGCCACGATAAACAGGCATCTTACACTGTCCACCTCGATTATATCGTCCATACTCATGGTGTCTTGAAATATCAGAGGGGCTTGTTATATATTATGGGGCAAAGACTCAAGACGGGTATTGTTCCTGAACTTCGAGTATTAGATCGAGCACTCCCAAGGTCAGAAGAAAGTCTTTTCGGATGGCATGCTTTCTTATCTGCAACCTTCGAGATGCTGGGTATATACGAGACAAGGTCCCTGTCCCGTAAAAACGGCCCAAGAAAAAATATAGCTGGCTGCTTTGCCGTCAAAGTGTACTGTTTAAGTAGCTATGGAGTACTGGCACGACCGATATCAAATTCTAGGAGCAGAGCGCAGCGATCTCGGGGAAGAAGAAGAAAAATCACAGGGAGCACTCTCCCGTGAAAGTCAAGACAGGGCAAAAAGCACGTAGGCGAGAGCCTTTTTTTTCCCTCTTCCTTGTTTGCACTGCAGACTGGTCTATGTTTGCTTTTTGGGCTGAATCCAACAGGCCTGGGCTTGTCTTGTCTCAACACAACTCGCCGGGTTGGAGGCCAGTTCGCAGCTCCTTCAACCCTTGATCCTGACCGCTGGAGGGCTACCATCTACTTCGATACAGGCCGCACAGTGAGCTAGCTAGAGACGTGGGCGTCCACTGCTGTCTCTGTCGTCAGCAGCGCTGTGGCAAATATCCTCACGGGGAATTCAGGGGCACCACCACGCGAGACCTCCAGCATCACTAAGCAGCTTCCTGAGCCCACCAGCCCAGCCAGCTCTCAGTCCGCCCGCTCTACCCATGCCCGGGATCCCCACCGGCGAGCCAATAGCGCCCGCCAGCCTGGTAAGTTGCAGGCGATGTGTCCGAAGAACCAGCACGCCGGGTCGTCCTTGCGGCGGTGCGGTACGAGCAGCGCAGTGCCCGCCTGCGTAGCCAGCCTGTCTGGGGGGCCGTGGCAGCCCGCAGTGTAACCGGACAGCAGTCAGTGAGCTAGTCAGTTGACTGACTGACCACTTACTCGACGGTGCTCCACGGTTGGATGGTGTGTTGGCTGCTTGTTTTCGTCACTCACGGTGTACACTGCAATACACAGGACGCAATCTGGTGCATCCGCGGACGGTATAGGGAACCAAGTTGATCACCATTAAACCCTCGGATTCTCACGGCGAGCCACTCACAGCTGTGTGCAGAGTCCAAGGGGAGTCACATAGGGCTAATACACCGATGCAATGCAGGTGCGGGGACCTTTTCAGTCCGTTTGGCTACCTAGGGGGCTACTTGGGGCCAGCTTCATCGCCAATGACGGTCAAATGGCGCAGGCTACTCCTCCTGGATTATACCCATGGCATCTCAATAGTATAGCCAATTTAATTGCCGCAGCCGTTGGCCGTTAACCAGCTACGGGTCGAAGTATCAACACACTGCAAACTTACCACTTTCTCTACACTATGACATGGGCGTGACGTCAGGTCAGAGAGGTATCAATATAACAACTGGACCACGGCTCTATCGAGAATGAAGACTGTCTGGCATATCGCTGACAGGGACGAATTAATCAATCAACATGGCTCTATTCTTGCAAGGCTGTGAGTTTGCTCGGCAATATACATCCTCCCTTTTCCATGGCAGATCCCAGCCCTCTAAGAGGGCTCTTAAACTAGGTGTCCTGTCAAACGCTAAGATAAGTGCTGCTGCCGGTAAATACCTCCATCCCAACCACTTTATTTGATGTATCAACTGATACCGATGACTATCAGTCGTCTACCCTGCGCTAAGCCACCCGGACGTGGATTTATATGCAGTTGCGTCTATGGATCCCCAAATGGCGAAGACCGCAACAGAGAAATACGGCTTCTCAAAGTCCTACCGCTCCTTTCGGGACCTACTGGATGATCCGTTGATCAATATTGTCCATATATCCCTACCACCCAACATATTTTTTGAGTGGGCTACGAATGCATTAACTGCCGGAAAACATGTTATCTGTGAAAAGCCGTCTACAGCAAATGCAGATGAGGCAAGAACATTGATCGATGACGCAGAGAGGCGGGGCTTGATCCTCCAAGATGCCGTAGGTTTCTTATCCGCTCTCTTCTATAAAACACCTTTAGTAACCGCCACTCTTCTAGTTTCATTGGCAATTCCATCCGGCCGCTCATCGGTTCAAGGAGATTGTAGATTCAAAGAGATACGGAAGAATCATTCGTACTGATGCCTGGATGACATCTAGCCCTGCTGTGCCCGATGCAGATCCAAGATGGCAGTATGATCAAGGCGGTAGGCGTACTAGCACCAATGCACGTCCATTTCTGACTCTTTTTTTGCTTATCATGATCCCTTTTATAGGCGGTTCCTTGATGGACGGATCATATGCCTTATCATTCACTCAATATGTGCTCCCGTCTAAACGTCCAAAGAGGATCCTCTCGGCAGCTGCTCGTCCATCAAGGGATGATAGCCGTGTTGACGCTGCAATGCATGCACTATTGCTCTTTGAAGACGAAAAGGGTAACCCCATTACCAGCCGGATTTACACAGACATGTCTCGCAGCAGACTAGGCGGTATTCTCCCTCGTGTCTGGGAACTACCATCGATCGAGGTGGAGACGGATGCCGCAATACTCTATTTCTACAACGCAATGATGCCCCATATCTATCATTACATCTCCATCACTGATAAGCGGACTGGGATCACGGAATACAAGACACAGAGCTCTGGAGGCCCTCTCTGGGATGAAAGATGGACTACAGGAGGAAAAGGAGGGAAGAGTCACTGGAGCACATATAGATGGCAACTGGAAGCATTTCTCGAGAAAGTCAGAGGCAAGGAGCCTATATGCTGCATTTCTAATGACGATGCCATATACAACACGGAATGCATTGATAAGATTTACAAAGAGGCTGGAATGCCCGTTAGAGCGGACCCGGAGGAGATCCGGACAGGTGAAAGAGGCCAGATGCCAGGGAAAACTGAGAAGTCCAGCGGATAGGGCTACTCGAGAGCCCAGACTATCGAGTAAGTATGATGTAATAAAAGCTCTGACATAACTTAATTGTATCCAATTTGTTTAATATATTTAACCTTTCTATTTTCCAACTTGATAATCATCCACTTCCACCGTCCATTCATCACCCACTGGTGAAACCGAAGTATATGGCCCACTATTGGAGGCAGACCCCTAGTATGATTTACACTCAACTGACCCATACCCATTTCCTTCCCCTGCGGCCGACCTACTACTGTTGTTTCTGTCCTTCGTTTCTACACATTGACACTCGCTATTCAGAGGCGAGCAAAATGCAGTATCCTATGCTTTAGCATATGCCCCCCTCTGATGCAATTTTAGTCTTTGACCCTCTGTGGGATTGCAATGGTCGACTCAGACGAGGGCAATGTATTATCAGGTTCATTGTCGTCCATATCATTGCGTTCCGGAATGACGGTACGACCAATGCGAAATGCCACTGGGGTTGGGGGATCGTCTCGCGGACGGCCACTTCTCGTAGGTTGCTTGCGGAATCTAGCTGGTATGAAGCTTGGAGTTCTCGGAGCAGGAGTAGAAGTAGCTATACTTGCTGTATGTTGCAAACCCGGGGTGTTGACTCCCGAGTGTGGGCCACGCTCGGAATCTATATCAATGCTCGTGCTGAGGGCACTAGAAAGTGTGCGTGGGATGCTAAAACCGAGCTTTCCAATAGGAATGGACAGCCCATGGACAACCTAGGAAAACCATTAGCCTATCTAGAACAAAAATGAGTAGTTTAATGAGTCTGGGTTAGCAACACTTACAATACTGCAGATAGTCAAGAACCAAACGACGATGTACATCGTCTCAATAAGACGCTCCCCGTCTTCCCTTACCTTCCCATCTACTATAAGATTGTGCCTGACGTATTCCAGGCTAACATATAGGTAGAAGATGGCACTGACACCAATGGGACCGAAAAATCCGACGAAAGCGGCCTGGCGAAACTCCTCAATCTGGTGGATGTATCTGTGCATAGCAAAAACAACAGGAAGCCGGCGGAATAGTAGAATTAGGATCCCTAGCCCGATTAACCTATATATGGGAATAATATTGTTGTTCAAGAAGATGGGCCAGGGGCAAACAGCGCCAAACCACATGAAAACAGACAAGTTCAGTAGCATGTCAATGGTTGGCTGGAGAGAATCATCAAGAGTCTCAAGGCGGAACCAGTCGCTGTCTCTCGGGTTAGATCTTAACTCAGGAATCCTCAGTAGACTTTTTAGACTTACTCAATGGTGAAGACGTTGCCCGCAATAAAGCAGGCAAGTACATCGTCGCTCCCAATCATGCCACAGGTACCGATGATGAACAACTGGGTGATGTATTAGCAAGAGTGAAGTATTTTTTTTTTTTTTTTTTTCCTAGTAACAGAAGACGAAACTTACGGCTAACGCAACAGCAAAGACAAGGAAGCTCTCCCTATCGATGTATTTGTTCTCCTCCGCCCAATGGAGCAATTCTTTAGCTACCCAGCCCACGGCGATTCCATACACGACGCTCAGCAGAATAGTGTAACCCCATGTCTCACCAAACCACAAGCCCATTGCTTTGCGCGCTCCTCCGGCTTCATTGTACTGGATGAGATACATGGCAAAGAATAAGAAAGGGTATCCGAGCCCGTCATTAGCACCGGACTCAGCTATGATAATCCTCTGCAAGGGACGTGGTATATTTTTGTCAGCGAACTTGCCCTTGACGATAGAGTTAGACAACACCGGGTCTGTGGGGGTGATGCATGCGGCAATAGCAAGGGCATGGAGAAACGGCAGCTTTGGTACGAGGGCAAAGATAACAAGACTGCTGCATATCCACATGCCTAGCATCCCCGGGCCAAGGAGAAGAGAAAGACTCTTCCATTCTTTAAGGAGATAGCGGCTGGGTAGTTGGACGCCAGCAAGAACAAGCTGGACCCCCAGTACTAGGCGGCTGAAGTAAAGAGTGATGTCATCTAAGGCTTCTCGGCTGCCCAGAGCATAGTCTATCGGCTTTATGAGATTGGCAGCATGCGGGGAGAAGGTAACACCCGCAAGAAGGGAGATCACTACATAGTAATGTGAGATGATGCTACTTTGACCCGGTGACACAAGGGCTGAGTAACTTACGTGCTTCCGACAAATAGAACTGTTCTTTAAACAGGTACGAGACCAGACCAAAGAGCGTGATAAAGCCACCCAAGGTAGCACATACAACGTTGAAATTGGTGACTGCAAGAGTAGGCATGCCGGGCTTTTCCACCGGCTCCTCCGCTACAGTGTCGAAAACCTTGGAGGCTCTGGTTCCACCGCTGTGGATGTCCTGCCGAGGCACACTCAAACTCCCACCGAGGCGGAGCGGAACGCGGCGAGTGCTTGGACAGCGGAAGCAAACTTAAGACCCCACGAGCAATCTCGCTCAGATGTTCAAGCTGAGGAGTGGAATTGACACTGGTGAAGAGGGCTATCTGGATATAACTCAGCTCGGGATATCAAACAGAGTGCAGATGTGGAGCAGCTGGTGTGACTAACACTGTCTCCAACAATTGTTAAGAAAAAATGAAGAAATAACCAAGGGTTTCCGTAGTTAAACAAGGCCGCGGAAAGGCGACAGCGGAGGCGTAGTGTTATTTAATCAGGCTCATTCTTATACTCCAGACAACACTCTGATGTCTTCCTTCGCTCATTGGAGGGCTCGCTATTGAAACACAGAACTGTCGGTAACTGCCACAGGATCCCGTAATGGTATGATGTATGCAACGGACTTGCTGTCGGTGAGAACGACATATGGGCGAACGGGGGATCCAGGGAAGATTAAATACTTTCTCTGCGAGAATCACTGCTGATTCCGACAGCATCACTGGGTCCCTTTCTCCCCTTTAGTTACAGCAAACCTTGTGGGTGGTTGGTTTCTCCACCAATCTGCGATCTCCAGATGACAAGCCGGGACCCAGAGGGTTTGCAAGGAACCCAGAGGTTCACCTTAACGGCCAATTAGCGGCACGCAGTATGACGCATCGTTCCCCCGTGCGATTTTCGTATTAATCTAATTGTTTCCCGTTCCCTAGTTAAATAATATGCAGCCTGACGAACTACCTGAGTGCCTGGGCCCTTCAGTCACCGCCTCGAGCCGAGCCAAAGGCCAGAATATGGGAGCTTAGGGCCGCTATCCCTGGCCAACTACAAGCCATATATAGCCCTATTAACGATTCTTTCGTTCGGCGCATCCAGACAGCACGCTGCTGCTGCTACCGAGTTGCTCCCAGTAAGCAAAGTCGAGCTTTCGCGCCTTTTCAAGGTGTTTTTATGCCAAGAGAAATAAGCAAATTTGCCAAGTCCTTTGCGGGATAAAATTATCACGTGGAGATAAGATAGCCGACGGCAGCTGACTCAGCCAATACTTCGCGTGGGAAAAAGCTTCTTAGGCGACGACAAAGAGACAAAAGGGCGAAACGACGACGGCGAGAGAGGCAGAGTGCAAAGGTCCGAAGACGAGGTTGAAGGGCAGGGCGCGGTGCCAGTCTCAGGGCAAGGCTGCTGACGGAGATTCAGGGTTCTTTTTGACAGGGTGAGAAGCATATATAGCGTCACAGCATGGATCTGGTAACATCACCGCCCACGCAGGCCCCAACGGCGGCCTCCACTGCTCCCTATGGCCGAAGCACCACCACCACCACCAGTGCGATCACCGCCTTCCCTGGCTCGGACAACTACCCAGTCTTCCCTAATGGCAAATACCTGTCCAAATTCTATCTCGTCTCGGGCCAGTACTCCGGCCTAACCGACCTAGATTACCACCTCTACAATGTCTGCTATCTGCCCTACCGCCCCTTCGATGTTGGGACATCGTTTGACATCGACAGGAGACGGGTGTCCCATACAGACTCCAATGCACCGCGCCCAACATATTTGATTAACGAGCCGCCATGCAAGCGGCAAGCGGCGATCAATGCCAACTGCCACTTCAAAAATACCAACGGCACCTTCTCAGGCTTGGAGCCCTATACCAACGATTTTGACGTACAACAGCAATGTTACTGCGAGAAGTATCCCTTTTTTGACTCTGCTCTTGGATGTATGAAGTGTTTTGAGACACATGGCGGAATTGAGGGTACGTGAATTGCTCGCTCCGCGTGTTGCTTCCCCTATCTACAGACAGAGTTCCAGCTAATTGCTCAAAAGGTTACCACTGGTTCCCCAAGAGCTATGTAGATGCTGCATCGAAAGCATACTGTGGGCATGTCCCGGCACCAGCTGAGTTCTTCGACTTTATAAAGGCGTGGGCGAAGACGGACCCCGCTGCAACTCTGCAAAGCACCACTGCATCAACTATCCTTGGTACGCAAACTGATGCCAGTCTGTACTACACGTACGCTGCTGCTTCTACCACCAGTCCAAGCAGTGCTGTTCCAGCTAAGCCTCCGGGCCTAAGAAAGATACTGCTTGCTGCCCTAGCTGTAGGAGTTGCGCTTTACCGATGACCTCGACCTCCGATACTAACGCAGGCTGTTCTGCTTCAATAACCAGCTACTATACACGCATTTTGTCTTAATAAAAATGTCTAAAGAATACCCCGAGCTATTAGTGACCTACGATAAAAGGTTTTCAAATGCTGATAGAAGAGATCTTCGCTAGAATAGATGTAATGTATACATACACTGTGCAATTTATCTAGCCTTTCAAATGGAACCCAAACGCCATAAAGTGTAGAAACATATACACCGTATGCAACATCAAGAAGGCCACTGGCCTAGTAGAGAGCCTGAAATAGTAGAAAAACAGTATAAAAAGTGCTAAGAAATGGTCACATCAGCTCCGCTTATAACAACTGATTAGCCACTCTCCCCCCAGATCAACTCTTGGCCTTGCTTCTGTGTTTCGCGCTTTCGGCACTCTCAGACAATTCCTCAGTCTTTACATCCTCCATATTTGCACCATTAACAGCTAGCCGATCAGCAGCTTCGTTACCAGCATCTTTGTTATGCCCCTTTACCCATTCAAATAACGTCTTGACCTTCAGCGATTTGCGTTCTTCGATCTTAGACAGGATAGCTTGAATGAGATCTTTGTTCTCGACTGGTTTTTGAGTCGAGGTTACCCAGTTATTCCGTTGCCAGTTTATGCACCATACAGTGACGCAGTCGATCGAGTACTTGCTATCCGTAAAGATTGTGACATCGCGGTGCTTGGGCGCTATATCAAGTGCTCGGGAGATGGCTGTTAATTCAGCCCGTTGATTGGTCTGACGGCTTCCTGCAAGGGGTTCCGAAACATTTCTGCTAGATGAGAGAGAAGGGAGCAGACTGTGTCAGCAAAGCAGATATTAAATAAGAAAAAGTTAGGGGAACGGCCTTGAAAATTCGCTTGTTACTACGTACCTTTCGTCATCTGGTCCAAAGTAAACGCCTACACCAGCCCTTGCTTGAGACGTTCCATTCCTCAAAGCGCTTCCATCAGTGTAAATCTTCAGCATGCCTGGAGGCCCGGAAGGCTTAGGCTGGATTTTCCTCTCCTGCTTTTGTTCAGGTGTTTTATACACTATCTTTCCAGTTGTAGGATCCAGTAGAATGTTAGGGTCAAATCCGTCCTCCGCACCAGGCGGAAGTGGTCCTGTTCCTGCAGCATATTCGTCGCCAGCATCGTCCTTTGGGTTACCCTCCATCAATCCTGGTGCCCCCGGTAATGAATCCTTATTAGACGGTGTCTGGCCATTCCGTACAAACGCCTCAGCTGCTTCTCGGGTAGAAAACTTTCGATATCGAGGTCCTCGGAATCCTCTCACTTGGTCTTGCGCCTTCGCCCAGTCCGTGTATACGCCGGGTACTCTGCCCTTCTGGATGCCGTAAAACTTCGTACATGCGGAAGTTGAACCATCCTGGGGGGATGGAGCTCTGTTGCCTGTGAGAAAAGCATCTGCTTCTTCCCGTGATGGAAAGGATTGGACTAGGCCCGCGCATATCATTAGCACACCCCTTCACCCATCTTTCCAACGTAGATAGGATAGTCAAAGGGAAAAAAAGGGAACGAAGGAAGGAAGGAACGAAAGCCGCTGGGATTTCACGTACAGACTGCTCCTTTGAACCCCGTAACTTGAGCCAAACACTCGTTCCAATGGTTGTATATTCCAGGCTGAAACCCGATCTTCACTGCGTAGAACTTTGGCTCCCCATTGCGTTTCCGCTTGGTGCCAGCAGCTACATTTTCACTGACTGACGACATATCTGGCTCGAACTGGTTGATAGGCAGCGTAAGGAAAGGTTTTGCGAGTTCTGAGATTACGTCTATGGATCTTTTTATTCTCGGAGATGCTCTGGATGGCAGTCGAAGGGCTAGAGAAATGCGACAAATCGAGTTCATCAGGGTGCAGTTCGTCTGGTAGAGAGGTGTTTCTTGCGTTCTCTGAACGTCTCGAGACGAGTTAGAGAACGCCCTGCTGCTGGTTTTATCCTTGCTATCGATGTGAGGAGGATTTCAAGGTACCCCGCTCCATGCAGTGTAGGTGGTTCGACGGCAGCGTTGAAGGGAAGTTCCATAGAACAAGCCGGTAGCCGGTGTCAAGGTAGATAACGCTGCCTCGAGGCCGCAAGTGAGCGACCTTCTGATGCTTTGTTGAAGCACAAAGCTGGCGTTGGAGCAGTTAAGGCGGAAGTCCGGAGTCGATGGTTGCTTTTAGGTAGCAGCAGGCGGTGGTGGTTTAACTAACTAGCCGGCGTGCTTGGGCGGGAACGTCAGCCGCAGGGCTAAACTCTTTAGCTAAACGCTTAGCCAGGGACCTGGTTTTAGCTATACCTCCCAAGCTCCAGGGCCGGTTGCATGGCTAGGCAGTTCTAGAGGATGTTCTTACTTCTACGGGGTACGATAGAGCAAGGCTGCAGTCAGAAGCTCATATGATAGGTGATATTTGGAGTCCAAAGACTGTTTCATCATAGGTTCCAAATGGGCGATCTCGATACTTAACTAACTAGCAGAGTGCCAATCAAGCCCGGAATGAAAGAGCTGTAAAAATGTCTCGCTCAAAGCTGCTGCTCACAAGAATCCAAAAAAATTTGTTGTCACTTAAATCTTCAGTAAGTCTGGTTACTGAGGTGAATGCTGTGGCTACCAGAGATTATATCTTTGCTTTGATATGGGATCCCAAGATGTCGAGGCCAGCACCGCCGTCGTATAGTTGCTGCTCGACAGCTCGAGCATTGATCTAGACAATTGTCAGATATCTATAACTACAATGTCGAAGGTGAAATAGTGAATAGCCCAACTTACATGCTGCATACCGAGATCTTCCACTTTATCAACTCCCAACAACCGCATTGCTGTCATTGTTTCCGCACAGAGAACTGCCACTTATGTCAATATATCATAACACAGAAGGAGCAAAAGGCAATCGTACTTTCAAGCATTCGTTCAACTCCTTCGGGGCCACCAGCTGCAAGACTGAAGAGTGCATTCCTACCAACACCAACCCCCTTGGCACCCAGACACAGTGCTTTAACCACATCTGTGCCTCTCTTAATCCCACCATCAATCCAAACCTCGATTCGATTAAAAACTTCAGGACAGTATTTGCGGATCTCCATCAAGGTATGGATGGAAGGCGGAGCAGTGTCCATCGCTCTTCCACCGTGGTTCGAGAGAATGATGCCTTTTATCTGAGGGGTGTGTAGAGAAGCAATGTAAGCGTCTTCATGGGTCTGGATACCCTTAAGTACAATGGGAAGGTCGGTATGTTTCAACAACCATGGTAGGGTATCCTTCCACGTTAAAGATGGGTCTGTGCCAGCAAATAACTGTTGTCCTAGACCACTTCCACCAGCAATCTCGTGTCCCCCCGATGATTTGACTATGTCTGCGACGGCAGGAGTATCTGCGATAACCTTTGTGCGTTCATCAAGCTCTCTCTTTCCCGGTACGGGTGCGTCGAGGGTGAGGCAAATAAATTTGATGGCTTTGAGCTTGTTTATGCGTGCCAGCATAGCTTCACTCTTCTTTCGCTCAATTTGCACATATAACTGCCATCCAAACACTTGATCTGGGGGAGCCCCTTTGACGATCTCTTCTGGAGTCATGGAGGCATTGTTGGAGATAATTTGCATAGCACCGAATTTGGCACATGCGGCAGCAATACCAGCTTCGCCTGAGGGGTGCGCAAGCCGTGCCATTGCAGTAGGGGAAGCAATGATGGGGGTATTGAGCTTGTAACCCAGCATACTAGTGGCCAGACTGCAGTTTTTGCAATCCACAAAGACTCTTGGGCGAAGTAATATAGATCTGTAGATACTGTTGTTCAATGATTTGGAGATCAGATCATCCGCTCCAGAAAAGTAATATGCCCAAGCCTTGTGGGTTAGCTGCTTTGAAGCAGCCGCCTCAAAGTCATCCATGTTCAAGAGAGTCGATAACGGAGGAGGCCCTTCGGTGGTCTTTTCTGCTTTGGCTGGCTTTGGGGCAAGTTTTACCAGAGACTTCTCATCTACTCTGCCTACCAGGGCCTCTGGAGGGAGACTATCCTCCAGAGTACCGGTAGGATGAATTGGATCGTATTCTTCGGTTGCATCCCTCCCAGCCAGTTGCAGGATGATATTCGCGCCTCCCGGATGATTGGGGAGGAAATTCGTAACCTAGATAAGCGAATATGAGCAAGACAAGGCACGTTAACGTCATGAGAACTGGAATATTTGACTTCGGCTCCAACCAGCTGCTCTCATCAGACAGTCAATTCCGGCACAATTGCTCCGTAGTGCCTCTGATAATCAAGCAATGCTCATTCGTAAATTTGCTTCTCAACCAGCCCAGCGCTTTGATCGCCCCGGAATCACGCAGGGCAGACAAGGGACGATGAAGCGAAAAAGGAAAGATAAACGGTCTAGATGTAACTAGGTATGGGGAGCACTCACATCGTACACCTTCCCGTAGAGAACCACCCAGCAGCTATCCGTCTTGTTGTGCTTGGCGACTGCAGGAAGAGTAACGAAAAAGCAAAGCCAGTCAGTCAGTCAAATTGATTTCAATCCGCGTCTATCTGAGCCAATGATGGAAGTCTTGCAAGTGTTTTTTTAAGAAAAATAACAAAATGGTGGGATGAAAGGAGGAGACCCTGTTACCTTCTTCTGCATCAATCATCCTCGAGGATGCCATGGTTCCACTGGATTTCGGATCGGCCTTGCAGGAGGGACGACGTTGAATATCAGTCTGCAAGGGATAGTTAGCAGATGGTGCAGCTAACTAGTTAGATGTTGGTTCCTCCGAAGTTCCTTTTTGAACCCCCTTGCTCACCCCTGGGGAATATAACTATATAATCGGACCGGATGGCAAAACTGTCCAGTAGCTAGTGACTCGTAGCAGGATCCTGACAAACAGGCGAGAGGCGAGACGACGATGAATGAATATAAAGGAGGCCCTGCAGCGAGAGGGAAAACAGGGCCACCGGCCAACACCCCGGCACCAGTTCGGTTGCTTCCTCAAACCCGCAAATCAGCCGGCTCTACGTATCCACTGCCTGCGATTCCCGCCCTATGGGACGAATGTTGATGACCTTTTCTCTCCACATTGCCAATGATCCGGGGCGAGGTAGCTCCCCAGCCAGAGATAAACGGCTGTAGCTCGGTAAAGCATCCAACTTCATGCCTCGCGGGCGGATTGCTGGTCAAGCAGGTCTGTTGCTTTCTCTGTTTACATCCTACTCCGTACACTGGATCTATTAGCATTCTGACGACATAATTCATGCAGGCTGCTAGAAGTAGTTATACCATGTCGAGGGGTCTATGTCACTCCACTGAATAAAAGCGGCTTCTTGGTGCCTGGACCTTCTCACGCGACTCGGCCGAGGGCTTAGGGCGCGGCTAAATGGAGACGGCAAGGTGCAACCAAGAGGGATCGTGATATCATGATACGTGTTGAAGAAGAACATGTTGATTATGGTTGCAGAGGCAGTTCTCTGTTGTTGTTGTTGTTATTGTTGTAGTTGTAGTTGTAGTTGTTGTTTCTGACAGCTACGTGTTGCCTATCTAGCTAGTTGGTGGTTGCTGTAGTAGAATTGGACTTCTACTACAACAACCACACAGCCAGCACAAAAGACTTACACCCCATCACTGCAGATAAGAAAGGAGTCCTTTCTGTACCCTGCAGCCTTCTTATCCATCTGCAAGTCTTTGACTAATCTCTAATACCGGTATGCCCGGAGTCTCTCGAGGGGCCTTCACTAAGTGACTGCGCGTTTTGATATACCATCAACAATGACACAAACACAACACACTACTTCAACCAGATCCAGAAAAGCGAAAGCCATGGGACTGCTTACGATCCCGGTAGAGGTACTGGACGAGATCGCCGGCTATTTAAGCTACTCGTCCCGGTTCGCTCTCTCCCTCACCTGTCGAGCACTTCATACCTGGATCGACAACCCATATTGTACTTCGAAAAAGCGTGACAAACTTCTTTCTGAACGGCTATCACAGTCCCGATGCCCTGTGATCAAGCCCAAGGACCTGTTTGAAATTGAGATGTGGCCAGCATACATGAAACAAGACAATCTCCAGATGGCTCACGGCTACTTCGCCTGTGGGGAGTGTGTCAGACTCCGGCGCGCACGACACTTTACAAACGCCATGATGAAAGGGAAGAGAGGCAAGATTGGGTCAGGCACCATTGAGCAACGGTCGAAACGAGTCTGTATCCAGTGTTGTTTACGACTTGGCCGGTTTTCCCCTGGAACAACCTTCTACTTTGGAGGAGCTGAAGTCCATGGATTTGGCATCATTTGCGCGAGATGCCGCAGATACGAAGGATATGAGGATTATCATTGGAACAGATCTGACACTTGCGGCGGATGCTTGCTCATGTATGAAATGCCAGTCAGGCACTACTCGTTGTACGAAAAGAGTGTAGAGGACTATCTTGCTCAAGCTCGGTATTATCAGCAACTTGCCGCCTCTTATGCTAAGACTCCTTTTTAGCCTTCCCTCCCGGCTTGACTGTCTAGTATCATGTATCCTGGGGCCTTTCCTGCCCAGCGGTGGCTCTTGTTCCGACACTGATAGCTAGGTAGCCTTAAATAATAAATTAATTGATATCTCCATCTCCATCTTCGCCTTTCTGTATCTATATAGACACGTGACCCATCTGGTGATCAACCAAAAAACCGCCAGCAGCCAGAGAAGACGCGAAGAAGAAGCAAAGAAGCAAAGAAGCAAAGAAACGCAGGAGGAGACAAAGAGAAGACAAAAGACAACGGCTGGGGATGCGAGTCTAAGGGCGACCGAGTCCCTCCTGCTCTCCCATCTTCGCGTGTCCTACCCTGACAGCCGAAACTTCCCCCTTTTCTGAGCTATCGACTTAGTGACCGGCCAGGCATCATGTTCGAGGTAAGCCGAACAAAAAACTCCCCGGATTCTCGCAAAAGACCCAGGGCCTGCTGGGCAGGAGAGAAAGAGGACGTCAAAGACGTGCGAGCAGACGGCTGACATGTCTCCCTCCAGCGTCGAGCAGCAGACCGCTACCGCCTGCACCGCCATCGCGCGCGGTCCGTCGTCCTCACGCCGGAGGAGATGGTCGAGGTGCGCGCCGCCCAGCGGACGTTCGAAGGAGCCTACATCCGCACCTCGATCTCGCAGTTCTCCTTTGCCCTGATCATTCTCAAGATCTTCACGGCCGAGTTCTACAGCATCGGAGCGCTGTTTGCTGTCTACGGGGCCGGCGTGATGACCATCGGCCTGTTCAGGAGGCAGCAGGGCAACAGGCAGTTCTTCTCCGAGGTCGACGAGGACGGCGTCCAGCGACGGAAGTTCAGGACAAGCGGGAACGTCGTCGTCGTGCTGACCGCGCTGAGCATCGCGGCGTATGTGTGTTTGCTTGCCTTGACGCTGAACCTGGACGTGTAACTCGCTGTGACCGCTACTCTCCTGACGCAGCGATCGAACCGATCGATCTGCGGCTTCACCATCTTACGATATCGACTGCTTTTTTATTTTCGGGATTATCATCTACACTCTCACCTTCTTTCTACCGCGGAGTGGGACGGGTCTTCCGTGCGTATTATTTGGTACAGGTACGGGGGGTTGGACGGCACGGCGTTGTTGGAGCGGATATGTAGCTGCACATGGGCCGCGGAGGATGAGGATGCACAAGGGGGAGAGAGAGAGAGAGTCATCTTTCTTCACCCAGGCCAAGGACTCCGAGTCAGGCGGACTAGATGTCCTACCCATCAGGCTGTGTGGTAGGGCGGAACCGCCTGGCGATCTTTCCGGCTTCCTGGCTTCGTTTGAGTAGCTACCTGTTGCACTCGCCTCATACTCCAGGAAACATGTCTGGACAGTCGAAAGGCGCGAGCGTTGGAAGGGCAGGCCGGCATCGAGCAACCCAGCAAGGCGCTGCAACCCCTGCCTTGCCTCCCAGGCCGCCCGATGGACGATGCTGACCTGTTGGCTGCTGTTGGCTGCCTTCGCACAGGCTGCGCAAGAAACGCCCTCTGTCTATCGGACAGAAACACGTCCCTTGCCTGCCTGCGGGCTGCCTGCTAACGTGGTCCAACTCGCTGCGGTGCCTGGCCCCGAGCCTTAGGTAGGGCGATTGATCTAGATGTCCGTATCTATATAACTGACAGCCTCTTATAAAGAACATCTTCACACATCTTCACATAAAAAATACGTAGTCATAACTACATCGCTCCCTCCAGCCCTTCTTATGTTATGCTTCCTCGAACGGCTGAGACGACGCCACTGACTCGCCGTCTGCCTGCCTCCCTGCTGACTGTCGCTGTGTTTTTTAAGTCTGAAGCAGTCAACTACGGTTTCGTATAAAGTATCTCCTTGCGCCGCCGCTGCTTCGATCTTCTTCCTTCTCCTCCGCCCTTGTACCGCTCGACACTGCTTCGTCACAGCGCGCATCCGCAGCATCCAGCGACTCCCATCCCATCCTCCCAAGGGGCCTCCTCAGTCTGTCCTCAGCTGCATCCGTCCGCATTCTCTCTCTTGTGTCTTTTCCTCCTGTCCGGTGAGGTCATCGGTGGACCTAGCCTGCTGCTGGAGCTGCACGTCGCAGCCAGTGACATCCCGTCCACCAGCGCCATCAAGCCGCGATTAGTAAAAGAAAAGAGATACTTAGCTACCGACGGGGCAGAGGAGAGTGACATCAACAGCGAAGGGCACAGCAAGGGAAAAAAAAAAAAGAGGTCCCGGCAAGGCAGCTTTCAGCTTCATGGCCGCTGGACAGCAGACGCCATGCCAGCACCAGCACTCGCATCTCGCTAGAGCCGTCGTGGTGAGAAACTCCAGCTTCAGCCCGTCGCCGCCGCCAGCATCACTCTCAGCTTCTTCCTCAGCCAGGCCGAAGAAGAACGGCTTTCCCAGCAGCAGCAGATCTGCCTCTTCGCTCTCGTCGGCCTCCTCGTCGTCGCCTCTCGCGTCTAATGGTGACGGCACTGCCGCTGCCGCCGCCTCCTCCTCTTCCTCCAGCATGACAGACATCCAGCACCACCAGCATCATCCTCCCGCCGGCACTCCCAGCCCGCCGTCAGCGGCCTCTCCAGGAGTCCACCAGCATCACTATGGCTCGACGCTGGCACCGCCTGCAAAAACGGTCGTGGGCAGGGCCCTGGGCATAGATCGCTTCTCAGAGCCCCAGCAACGCCGGACCAGCGGCGACTCTGCTGCTCCTGGTGGCCTGGCTGCACCAGGCTGTGGCCTCTCCATGGCCGATACTCCACTCCCCAGCGCCCCAGCATCGCCGCAGATGTGAGTTCTAAGCTTATGTTTTCTTGTTCGAGCTCTTACCCTGCGTACTACTACCACTACTACTATGAGCTAGTCAAGTGTCTAACGCCCGGGGAAGTAGGACACCTCGATCTCATGGCTCTGGAGCTTCAACCCCAGGCAAACACCGCGCCACCACTCTTGATATACCCGGGCTGACCAAGTCCAAGGTCTCACCAGATGGCCGCATCGCACAGCGTGACATTGGGTCGAAACTTGTGATTGTCATGGTCGGCCTTCCCGCCAGAGGCAAAAGCTACATCACCAAGAAGCTTTGCCGCTACCTCAACTGGCTGCAGCACGACACGAAGATCTTCAATGTAGGAGAACGCCGTCGAGTCGTGGCCAGCTCTACCCCGCAGACCGAACCAAAGAAGATTGGCCCCGTTGTCGATGAGAAGCTGAGAAAATCCGTGCGAGAGCTCAGCATTGGCGAGCTCCCTCCAGAGGAACAGGCGGAGCTCGATGCTGCAGAGAAGAATATAAACACTTCTCAAAATGGTGTACCGTCGGGCGAAATACCACCTCTTGATATGCCGCCAAGCTCCGTTCCGTCTGCCCAAATATTTGTCAATGGTAAGCTTCAGGATGAACCGTCACCGCAGCCTGAGCCAGCTCCAGACACGGCGGCAGACGGCAGTGCTAACGGGGAGCCGGCCACAGCTGCCAAAGCTGAAGAGGGAATGGACCAGTCTGCCCAGTTTTTCGACCCAGATAACCAACGTGCAGTCCAGTTGAGAGAACAGGTTGCCCTAGCTACCCTTGACGAACTACTGGATTACATCCTCGAACAAGGAGGAAGCGCCGGCATCCTAGATGCAACCAACAGCACCCTGGAACGACGGAAGTCTGTCATGGCACGTATTCGTGAACGAGCCGGACCAGAACTAAACGTCCTCTTCCTGGAAAGCTGTTGTTACGACGCTATGCTACTAGAATCAAACATGCGTCTCAAACTCTCAGGACCTGACTACAAGGACATGGAACCAATTGTTGCTCTAGAAGACTTCAAAAAGCGTATCAAGCTATATGAACGCAGCTATGTGCCTCTAGGAGAGTATGAGGAACAACATAACATGCCATACGTCCAGACAATCGATGTCTGCCGCAAGGTCGTTGCCCATCAAGCCACTGGCTTCATGGCCTCCCAAGTTGTCTCCTACTTACTGAACTTCAACCTATCCCCTCGCCAAATCTGGATATCCCGTCATGGTGAGAGCCTGGACGACGTCAGTGGAAGAATAGGCGGAAATGCACCGCTCAGTGAAAATGGGACTCAGTATGCCAAAGCCCTTGCTAAATTCATTGACCACCAACGCGCACGCTGGGAAGAATACCAAAAGATAAAGGCCCTATCAACCCATTTCCCACCCCGGCCCGGCGACAGTACCCCCCCAAACCCTCAGTATGCAGCTCAAATCATGGAAGGCGGACGAAACTTCTGCGTCTGGACCTCAATGCTTACCCGCTGCATCCAGACAGCGCAATTCTTTGACGAGGAGGAATACGATATCAAGGAGATGAGAATGCTCAACGAGCTTAATGCGGGGGTAATGGAAGGATTGACCTATGACGAGATCCGAGAACGCTTCCCATCCGATTTTGAAACCCGGAGGAAAGAGAAATTGCATTACAGGTTCCCTGGCCCCGGTGGTGAGGGATACCTCGATGTCGTCAACCGGTTACGTGCCGTTATCGTTGAAGTCGAGCGAATGACGGACCATGTCCTTCTGGTAGGGCCTAGGTCCGTTGCCAGGACACTGCTAGCTTATTTCCTCGGCCTGAAGAGAGAGGATCTCACTGATCTTGCAGTGCCTCTGGGTATGATCTACTCTCTGGAGCCGGTAAGCATTATCTCTCTAATCACATAGTTTCCGCTCCCGAATGGAACTAACCGTCTGTGTATAGAAACCATATGGCGTTGAATATAAAGTCTACCAATACGATCCCGAAGCCTGCTGGTTCGATGAGCTCCCGAATTACAAAATCGGCCAAAAGTCTTACTACTAAATACGCCTATCTCTTTACTCATGCGGCATACACACTTGGATAAGCTCGGTAGTACGCAAATTCTTACGCATGTTGCTCATCCTTGCACGATTATGCTTCCTTCCTCCTTATGCATTGTTCTTCTCAACTCACTTTTATCCTTTCCCTCTATTCCTTATCTGCACTATTTTCAGTCCGAGTTCAACTTTTTGTTTTCATCTGCGGTGTATGGGGTTTGTTACTATTTCATGTTTCCACGGATGGAATACGGCGCATAAGCCTTCTCGGTTCGAGTTGAGTCACATCATGGCGGTATGGGTTTATTCTAACATGTCTTTTGCTTTTCCATTCCATGTTGTTCGAAGCCCTGTTGTGTTGTGTCATATTTTCCATCCTGTTTGTTTCTAGTTTATTGCTGTACTGTATTTTCCATTTCCCTCTACGTGGATGCGTGTCGTTATTGATGTTATGATGTCTAATGATCGAATAATCATCACCTCTCTATCAAGTACATATCCTAATATATATGTGGTTCCTCTCAAGGAGCGAAACGCCAATTCTGAGTCCAAAGCAATATACAGACGACATAGGAAAGAATACTCTCATTCATGTACACATATCTCAGGCGAATTTACATACAAATGCCCACGAAACATCCAGAAGAAGAAGCAGGTAGTCCGAAACAAGACAGGAATAAAGATAAGACCAATCAATCATACCGACGGCCAATTCATATATAGCGAGATAAACATCATTTAGTGTATGGTATTATGTCGCTCAGTTTCTACGCAACAACGGTAAACGTAAAAAAAAAAAGCAAAACGTAAGGCATAAATAGTCCTTAAATCGACAATGAGATAAATCGAAAAAATGGGAAAGTGCTCACGAGATGTAGAGATTAGACGTTTGGCTGGGCCTGGAATTGAGGCCGAGCTGTCATAAATGGAGCAGCTTCGGCGATGGTTCCGGTTGGTGACGGTGCGTTCGGAGCAGGGTCTGCCCAGACAATAGAAGCATACTATTATGATACGAACGGGAGTTAGTGGACAGTTACACGAACCAAGGAAGAAGCGTTGAGAGAGGTGATGTGTTCAGTAATGTGACACATCACTAATTTATCGAGCAAACATTTCATTTTTTTGTAGTTTAAAAATGGGACAGAGGGGAATGGGTGAACGCATACCTTGAACCAGAAATTTAACACCAAAACAACTGCAATACCCAGACAGACGACAAGAGGTCCAATGACATTATCAAAGTCCTTTCCACTGCGTTCTCGGATCAGTCGCGAACGAGACTCATACATCCACCATCCCCAGGCTCCAGTAAAGATGGCGAAACCAGTATAAACGAGCGCTAGATAGCGGGTGACAGTTTTATCGGGTCCGGCGGCATTATACATTGTGAGTGATATACCAGCGAGGAGAATGCAAATATGCTGCCATTTGACGAAGGTACGTTGGTTGGCGAGCCAAACTTTAGCTTCCACACGGACGGGGCCAGTGTCCTTGAGCCAGTAGCTTGGCATAGAGACACCAGATGGTAGCTGGGGTTGGGGAGAGCGATGGGCAAGCGCATAGCGGGACATGGAGAATGGGATGCGAAGCAACGAGGATGTTGGCCGGGATGACGGTTGAGGCTGGGCTCCGTTGGCCTGCTCGGTAGATGGAGGCAGACTAAGCTCGGGAATGGGAGCCCTGGGAGTTAACTCAGACTGGGACTGAGACTGGGATAGAGCCTCGGGACGAGGGGAGGTAGGCTGAACTACGCCCTGGATACGAATTTGGGTCTTGGGAGTTGACTCTTCTGTCATCATGTGGCTGATAGGGGAGCCGACGAGGTGCTGGATGCTAGGAATCGTCTGGCGGCTACCAAGGAAGCTGCCGACAGCGAGCTCATCCTCTGCCTGCTTGGCAATACGTTCTTGTTCTTGCTGGAAGGCAGTTTCTGGGTCTTGTCTGATATCTGTATCGAGATCGCTGAGCCAGAAGGGGAAACTGTTGATGTGATCTTCGAATAGCTGCGCGACACCATGAACGAATTTAGAGAAGCGTGGCGCTTCTTTGACAAGATGGGATGACATGAGGTCGGAGAGCCAGGCCTCAACATTGCTTCCACGACGCTTACCACTAGTATTGCGGATCTTAATCTCTAGAAGCGCATGAGGGAAGCGCGAGATCTCACCGCGAGGAATTTCCGAGAAGGGGAATTCCATTCTTCGGCTATCGATGTCTGAACGATGCCAGTCCTCGGGTTCACGACATGGACGCTCGAAATCTAGGGTGTCCTCGCGGATAAGGGCTAGATCCGTGTCGAGGGAGATACGGAGGCGATCGTCACCAGGGATCTGGAATGCGGTGTGGGTATAGTTTGCACGAACCATGGGCTCCAACCCATGGCTCTTGATAAACTCCTGGATCTCTTCAACATCTCGTTTGAGGTTATCAGCACGCTGAGGATCGCCGTTGCCTTGAATCTCGATCTTGTGGATGATTTTCTCCATCTTATAGGATCCGTTGAGGAAGGCATTGATATGTTTCTTCTTGAGACGGATCCTGATCTCGCGGCTGCTGTCGCCATCGTTCATTATCTTCTTTTCCAGGTAGACCTCAACCTGGTCGCTGAGGTGGCCAGTCCAGCGCAGGCGAAGGGAACCGGCCGCGGGCTTATTTGCTACCTTTTGGTTATACAGGTCGAACGAGCGGTTGTCAAAATAGAGCGAGGTGAGCGAGGGGTCCCGTTGGGCGACATCGAGCTCCTTTGAGGTATTCGGGTTATAGACAAGCACGGGCAGACGGCGCAGAATGTAGGTCTTGACCTCCAGCAGGTTGTCGGCGTGGACCCAGAACTTGTGGGAGGTATATGTCTCGCGGCCGGTCTGGGTATCAACCGCAGGCCCATCCTTGGGCATTGGCTGTCCCTCCGTTCCCAGGATGGACCTGACGAACGAGAACATGGCCGACAAGCGGTACAGCAGCGGCGAGTAGTCCTCCGAGTTGAATGGGAGCTGCGACATGCGGACCTGCAGCAGCGGGCGGACCTTGTACTTGGCTCCACGCTTGCGGTCGTGCTTCTTGGCCGCTTTCAGGAAGCCGGTGAAGTTGATTCGGCTGAACTTCTCGAGCTCGCCCAGCTCCTCGGTGATGCGGTCAAGCTTGCTGAGAGTCTCCTGCGCGACGGCCTCGTTCTTCTTCACGTTCTCTAGCTTTGCCTCGCCCTGCTGCGCGGCCACCGGCTCCAACGCGGCCTCGCACTCGGCTGTCAGCTCCCGCAGTCTCTTGTGAGTCTCGACCTGAAACGAGTTGACCTTGTCGAGCTGGACGTTGATTAGCTCCTGCACGAAGTTCTCCTCATCCTCGTCGGTCCACGGCCTGCCCTCGCCGTCGTCGCCATCCTCAGATCCCTCATGCTCGCGGAGCAGCTTCTTGAGAGCTCGGTAGTCGATGTAGTGGTCCTTCCATGGCGGATAGACCGACGTCTGCAGGGTCTTGCCGAAGCGCATCCTGACAAGCTGCAGCTCGCTTTCAGCGGCTGTATCTCTCGCAGCAACAAAAACAGCAGAAGCAGCAGAAACAGCAGAAACGGCAGCGTCCAATTGAGCTCTCACGCCGTCTACGGTTTCGTCTTTGGCCTGGCTGCGAGACGGATCGCGATAGAAGCAGGGCAAAATAAACCAAGGCCAGCGCCGGCGGCGAGAAAAAGGCGAGAAAAGTCGAAATTTCGCCAGCTTCGGAGATGCGCCCGATTGGGACTAGCTCCCCACGTGCAATGACGACACTGATGATTATGTAAATATTATCTAATATATTTATATCACATGACATAATAGAATCCAATGTCTTGGCATCAAAGAAAGGTAAACAAAAAAAGGCAGAAAGGCAGGAAAAAGGCATCAAACAGTAACAGAGACAGAGCGACGGCGAAGAGACGGGCACGGGAGACGACGAGAATGGCGGTACAGAAGCTGTATCCGCGGGCGACGGTGAAGCGGATCGTCAAGTCTCATACGCGCAAGGCCCTGACCAAGAATGCAGACATACTGGTAGGCGCGGGAGGGAGAAGAACCCAACATCTATAACTATCTGCGCTGCGCTTCCGCTGACGATGCACCAGATATTCCTAGACTACATGCTATTCATGCAAGAGTCCGCTCTCACTGAATCCTTGAGACCAGGCCCATACTCACTGTTGCAGGTTGATGCGCGAAGCCTCGATCCAGGGAAGAAAGCGCGGCGACAAGGGCATCACGGCCAGAACTGTGCGGCGAGTTACTGAGGTGAGCAGCCCTTTTAAGGTTGATGGCCCTCCTCTGGCGCAGATGGCCGTTTCTCATGAGAATTACACGTCTAGGGGGCGCTACGCAAGTTCAAGGGATAGGCGAAACATACCTGTCTTCCGTTGGTCGACATGATCAGACCATAGGCTCGAGACTAGACATATGGCGTTGTTATAATCGGTTCGGTCGGCGTTAACTAGGTTAAACGTATCGATGGCGTCCGTCTGAAGACGTCCAGGAGGGCTGAGATACCCCGGAGTCTGGAGTAAATTATGAATATCTGATGGCTTCTTGCACTTCTTTCTGCCTGCGCTCGAGTTAGATGCTTCTTCGCACTTCCATCTCATTCTACCATGTAAACGGAAGAACAACTGTAAACATCACTCGAATATCAACTGAAGAAAAGGGGAAAAGGTAGAATAAAAAGGAAACTCCACAGAAGATTAGCATTTTCTGGTCGTAAATTACCTCGCACAGTTGAGCGTCAGCTTGTGGTGTTGTGCTGTCTGTGGTTGTAGAATACCCTTTTCTTCTCGCTGGTGCTCATCCTGCGGGATAGGACAAAAAAAACCTTTTACACCAACAACGACCCAAATCCCAAAAACTCCAACGTCAAAACTTCTTCCATCTCCGCTTCTCTCCTGCACTCACTCGATCTCTGTCTTGCTACTCGAATCGACCGACCTTACGTCTGCTCTACGACACTTCAGCTCATTCATCTCATTATTCCATCTGTTTCCCTGCT